CTAAAATCTCCTTGCCCATTTCGATGGTGAGGAATGGGACTTCAATGTAACATCTCTCTATGGGAAGACTTCGGCGCAGATTTGATAGAATTTGGTGATAATTTGGTAGTACCGAAATTACAATCTTGATAAACTGTGGGCACTTTTTGGGGAGCCAGTTCATTAAATGAGCATTGTTTGTTGCAGACAACTGGTCTATCGAATCCAAGATAAGAACCAATGGCTTAGCAGCACTGACAGGCAAACGAGTGACAAGACCGTGAAAAAATCGTACTAATTGAGAAAAATCTTCTAAAATATCGCCCTTTGGTGCCTCTAAACTGTATACTTCACATATTTGGAGGCATATACTTGTTATTGTGAATCGAATCGATGAACTGTCAGGGGAAGTACCGAGAAAACGGAAAACACATACGGTGCCATCTCCGAGCCACTGCCTCGCCGACTTAGCGACAACAGCCATAATGGACGTTTTACCAGAGCCTGACGAACCATAAATTACCAAAGGCTCGATCTTTTCAAAGTCTTTCAATGACGTTCGTATCTTCTGAAGAACATCCTCCCGACCTCTAAATGCTTCGCACTTGTCTTGGCAAAACCAAGCATGATGCAGAACCTCTTTGTACAAGCTGGACTCCATCGCTTTTTCTCTTACCGCATTTTGTAAGCTCTTATTGATCAATCTCTGAACATCTGATTCAAACTTGTGACAGAAATTGTTTAGGTATTGTTCGTGCATTCTGTCTGAAACATTTATTCCCCCGTTGCTCCAAGGAATTTCAAAGCGGGTGATGTTGTTCTCCCCAAGCCTCTGAAGCAAACGGTCACGTTTCAATTTGATCAGGAGGTCTTGTGCTTCGAGGTCATGTTCCCCTTCGGAAACGTCGGTATACTTTCGGGAATTCTGGTCGGTAAGATTTACTTGGATATCCGAGATGTGGCGTATGTAGCAAAGAGTTTGGTCGTCAGGGCTTGAAGAACCAAGAATACCATGTTCAATTTCTTTCTCGGTCACTAAAATATGATGGTAAAGATTACATCATTAGAAACTAGAGTTTAACGGGACTCGCTGTCTTTTGAAACCGAAAAAAATCAAAACCAAAATTTTATCTTGTAGGTTTTGTTGGCTTTAAATTCTATTTTGGCGCATACACTTTCAATGAAATTTGAAAGCTCCAAAACATTAATTTGGCTCGCTCTGTTGCATTACTCTACTTTTAATGCGGTTTGTTTCGGATAACTACAATTTCAATTGGTGACAAATCCAAGTTGGCGTTCATCTTAAAATGTCACGCACAAACAGCACTATAAAATGGCCCGCGGTATATGCCCAATCTTCTGATATCAGTGGTGGCCACATGTTATTTATAAAAAGTGAGATGTCTGTATATGATGCGTCCGCACCTGAGCTGAAATACTTGTGAGCTTGTTGCAATGTAATTTTCCTCCTTCCTGTGGCGATCCTTGCTGTCCATTTGAAAATTCTCTGAAACGACTGGAAGATCTTCCACCACTGGTCCCTCTCCTGCCTGTTCAGCTCCTCATTCGCCTCACTTAAGTCAGTGTAGTGAGGAAAATGATAAGTGATCGGCTGAAGGACGTATTCTGCTGGGATGGCGTTTGTGTCCTGTAAGTCAAAAGGTAGGAATTGTTCACTCCTTATAAAAAAATTTTTTTAAAAAATACAAAAAAGTGTACGGCAATGTTTGTCAATCTTAAAAAACTCAAGGATAGCATTTGCCTTTACTAATCCTTGTTCATGTCCGCTATTTTTAACCATCCTTATCCCAATGAAGGATCCATATGGAGGGTCCATACCCTCCCTATCCCCCTGGGTATTTTTACGACTTGTCTGAAACCAAAATTCTTCCAACTACAGGACTGCATTGGACCCCTTAAAAAATGAATGGATTCACCCTAACGTCCTTTTTAGTCTCAGTGTTCTCTTCCTTGACAGATAATTGTTTCCGGGTTAAACCTTTAAAGGAAACGTGCCTCAGCTCTTACAAGTGATGGACATGGAGTTCAGAGAATTCATATAAATGAGCTCAAAGTCATTTTACCTTCCAGAACCATTCCAGAAGTAAATCAATATGTTCAGGCTGGTCGTAAGTTTCTCGAGCCACTTCTAGCAGGACCTCAAACTCAGTTGCTTTGATTTTGTGAGGAAATGGTCGATAGCCATATTTGTCGCCTAAAAGACACTGAATTGAATTCATTTGTAGAATTATCCCGTAAAAAAAAACAATGGAACCTTTACACTAAATGTAAACCTATGATAACACGATATCAACATAACTCTTTGGTTCTTTCAAAAATGTAAACTTACCACAAAATTTGGCCCAGGCGTGAGTCTTTGACAGTTCTTGATCTCCTGCATGCACAGCTCGTTGGTTTTGTGGTCAGCGGTAGCCTCATCTCGCACGCCCCACCTCATGTCCACCACTTGAAATTCTAATCCTCGTTGCTGACAGAAAGTCCGCAGGCTCGGATACACATCCCTTATGAGGCGATTTCTCTCTTCCGTGGTATCTGAAGATAAACATTAATTATGAGCCGAGTCAGGAGGAAAGTTTTTATCCATATTCAATAGGAACTTTGAACATTTCAATCATTCATTCTGAATATTACATATATACACTGAATGTCTGCTTCCATGGGAAACAGTAAGTTTTGGTTTCCTGAGACTCGAAAGCAAAACAAAACTGACCATTACCCGAGGGACCAGTATATATGAATATCCGGAAAACAAGCTAAACATGAGTGCTTAGGATGGTATTTCATTTCTCTCCCCTCCCCGTTAGGGAAGGAAGTAGGGAAGAAAGAGAATGTGTGACTGCGATCGACCTGGACTGTAAGAGAACCAGGGAATGTGACTGCGATCGACCTGGACTGTAAGGGCCTATTTACACGGTGCGACTTTGTCGCATGCGACAAGCTTACGACAGGCTTACGACACGAATTGTTTCGTGTAAATCAAACCTACAACTCGCTTACGACTCTTAAGTCATGTCGTAGGCCTGTCGTAAGCTTGCCGCATGCGACAAAGTCGTGTCGTGTAAATAGGCCTTAAGAGAACCAGGGAACAAGAAGTTCAAAGAAGAGAGCTTTAAAAGTATCACGCCACAATCACACCACCCTCTTCAAACACGTCCCGATCACGTGCAAAACCTGGCCATATTTGTACCCTGAGCGGGATACATCTTTATTTGAGCAGGGTCACGTGACAGCTGATTTAGAACAGGGAAAACTGCGGGTGTATAAAAACTCTCTATGACTTGTTCATAATGTTTCAAGCTCCTATATTTAATCAAAAGGATTACCTGTGAAGGTCGAGCTTGTAAATATTCGGACTATGTTGGATTCCTTTCGCGGTAAATTCGTGACATCTCCAGCGAGAATTCGTCTGATGTTGTCCGCCATGTTTATCTCAGATCTACTAGAGGGGAATTGGCATCTAGGCTATAGGCAAAAGGTTCACTTGACAAACATATTCAGGGCGTGAAATTAATTTTTTTTTCCGATAGCCACTTGGCTCCTAAATTCTTCAAAGTGGTAGCCAAGTGGAAAAAAGTTTGTCGCCATTTTCAAAGACAAACAAAACCTTTTTTTAAGCTGTCGGCGTTCTAGATAGACCCTCCAAAATTAAACTTGGGAAAAGATCTTTAACGTGCTACAAAGTGGACACTAGGATGGACGATATACAACGTTAAAGCTCACCTAAATCCAAGATGGCGTCTAGTTATTGATCGAGATGCATGTGTTGCGTTTTGGAAACAAACTTAACGAGGAAGTTCGCCGCGGATTTATCTTTGCAAATCTTTTTAATTCACTATATCTCTTGGTAAGGTTATGATGAAACATTCTAGTCGCCAATTTGGCGACTAATTTCCAGGATTTGGTCGCCAAAGTGAAAAATTTAGTCGCATTGGCGCCTGTATTAGGCGCAATTTCACGCCCTGATATTGGAAGCAAACCTGTGAAACACAATTGACGTAAATTTGAAAAAAAAATTACATTTTGGCTATTTTCAACCTAAGAACGAACAAACAGCCTGTACATTTGAAATTCAATAAGAAGAAAATATTAATGATTTATAACCTTGTGCTTAAAACTCTAAGCAGCTTAAAAAACAATCAGAGACCGATCGAAACCAGCATTGTTGTCCTAATCGTTAATTGAGTAAATCTCTAGTTTTCCTTTCTCAAATTTCTGTAATCAGTTACCTCCACTCTGTCTCATTAGGAGGTTACTTTGCTATGTAATAGCAGAAGCTACTCAGGTCATGAGAGATAATTTGCGATTTCAAACGATTACCCAAACAACCGAAAGAAGTCTTATGTCTGAAGAACTTCTTAGTTTCTTCCCTATTAAGAGATGTAATGACCGGATTTTCGATGAGAGTGAAAAACCGAAAGAACGTTGTTTAAATCAAGGCTCGCTCCGTAAATTGAGTTTACTATCCCTGGAAATGTTCTTAGGTTATCAAATCGATCTTAGTTATAGATAATACTTCCGTAATGCAAAAATTCTCACCTGCCCTTCAAAAATGGCGTTTCAGTCTTGATTTACGGTTAAATAACCGGGCTTTATCAGCAGTTTGAAGGCATTATTTTAAACAATCACTATAAACTTACTCTATGAACAGTATGCAAATTGTTCGTAAAAGTTAGTGCAATACTTTGCATAACAAAAAACCTGAAAACCTATTTGCATGTACGTAACGGAAACTTCTGACTCCTGGACGTTCATCTAAAGGAAATATTCATCTCAAATCGATAACAGTCTTTTTTCTGTCTTCGTAAGCTGAAATTATAATCAACGACGTTAAAATGAAACTGAATTGTATCCAATTTTCTTGAATGTAAGTTGTCAGATGTTAACTGTCTCTTGATCAAGCTTACCGGAAACGAACACTAACTTCCGGTTCTCTTAGCGCCCGCGCCAGTAATGGAAATGTGACCTGGCCTTCGGTCTTCGAAGAATGAAACTAGTCACGGATTAATGCATTTACATTTGGTATCACTGAATGTTATATTTACGTGGCTTTGGCGGTCTTCAAATCTTCCCTTTGGCTACGAATTGAATCGGAGGAAATTTTAGTGAGCCAGGACGTGTCACAATGAATTCGGTTTTGAACGAGGCTCAGTTAAAACGCCTTTCAGAGCACAAATACAGCGCGCAATGCGTATCGATTCTAGACCCTTGCTTCCAAGTTTACTGGCGATGGCTTGTGGAACAACTTCCTCTGTGGCTAGCTCCAAACACCATTACAATCTCAGGATTAGTCATCAATGTAGTCACCTCCCTTATTTTAATGTGGTATTGTCCTCAAGCCAAAGGAGAGGTAAGATACGATGTAAAATAAAAGATAACTTTCCGTTTCAGTTTGTTCAGGCTTTAGATAATCGCGGTGTTTGAAGCGAGTCCTGTTGGTGAATAATACATGTTTTGTTCTGTTTCATTCATTTTAGCTTGTAATTGGATTCAATAAAAACATTCTTTTCCAAACTAGAACTGATAACATAACTTCAGCTTCAAGATCTCAATTGCTCACAGCAATGAATTTACACGAAAGCAATGAATTTGTCGTGTTAAGCCTGTATTTAGCTAAGCTCTGGAACTTTAATAGCGTGCTTTGATAGTAAATGTTTACTGATAGAATGATTGGTTAGTTTGAATTGCCGGCGTAGCATAAATCATTTGTGTGAGACTAATTTATTCGCGGTCCCATCAGTCAATCAAACTTGGAACGTTCACGAATTTCTAAAGAAAATTCTACCAACAAATTGTTCGTGTGTGTCATTAAACCGTGATATTGTCTATTAAAGGAACTAGTAAATGTATTTAATTAAACGCTGTATTTTACGCAGTAATGCATCCAGCTGTGACATTTTAATTTTCATTATCTAGCTTTTTAGTAAGTTATTATTTTATGTAGCCCTCATTAAATTAAACCAATGTATCATCCATGCATTTGCTTAAAACCAGGTGAACTTTTTAAAGTGAAAACATTTTATTAACCTTTCAAAGATGACCTGACCTGACATGATATTTGTTGTTGTAGTTGTTGTTGTTGTTGAATGATGGGTATCACATAATCAAGTGGAGAGAGAGCAAAGTTTATTTATCAGTTATGTATCCATATGTAGAGGAGATCTAAATTGTAGATCAAATTAGACATTGACACATGTAAGCATTTGGTGTCTAGATGGAGCTCAAGTGTAGTTTGACAACTACTTGTGGTTTAACCATTTAAGTCTTGCTAGTGACCTAGACAGAATTTCTCCTTACACTATCAGTACAACGTCAAGCAGATAAGTAATGAGAATAAAGAAGAATATCAGTTAGGTGATTATTGGTTGATTCAATTCCAAATTCTCAAAACTAACATCATATGAATTGTATGGCAGACAGTAAGGAGAAATACTAATGAGATCTTGGGAGTTAAAGGGTTAACTTGCATTTGGATCGCTGAGGTAAATCTCTCATGTAAGGATGCACATGTGTTACACACACATCTGTTACTGAACCTTTTAATGACACAAAAATACCAAGATTTTTAACCTGGACATTGATTACCATCAATATTTGCATATAGCCATATTTATGATGGTTGATATTCTTTATTTCCACAGGCACCATGGTGGGCCTTTTTCTTGAGTGCTCTGGGACTGTTTGCATATCAGTCTCTTGATGCAGTTGATGGTAAACAAGCACGACGTACAAAAAGTGCTTCACCATTGGGAGAATTAGTAGATCATGGCTGTGACTCTGTTTCCATGGTGATAATGATGTTGGCTATCAGTGTTGCAGTAGAGCTTGGGACACACCCTAGCTGGATGTTCTTCATAACATTCACGGCAACCTTCATGTTTTATTGTGCTCACTGGCAAGCATATGTCTCTGGTACTATAAAGTTTGGAACGTAAGTGAATAAAATTTTTACTTCTGTTTCAACTGCAGGAGAAAGTATAAGCTTTTCACATAACTGATTTAAGAGAAACTCCACTCCTAAAGATGTAAACTCCTATAGCAGGCCTGGCTTTTCTCTAAAGGAAGTACCAGTGGGTGAAAGGTCTCATTATTGGAAAGTTAACCAAACTAGAGTTACACAGTCATACACTTGCATGTACATGAAGCAAAGTTAATAATATTTTGGCGTGTTGAAATTTCAGTGTGGATGTAACAGAGATTCAAGTTGCTGGTATGGGTATATTCATGGTGTCTGGAATCTTTGGTGTTCAAGTATGGTCCCAGCAGGTAGGCCTGCTGCTATAATTCTAATATGTCACATGACTAATGTTGGGCATTTATTGACGAGCTGTATACATCTGTATTTTTTTAATGTATGTAGTCATCCAAGGTAATCATGAACTGTATTAGGATTGTTGATGAGTGACCAAAACAGAATTTCTTCCTACATATCAAACAGACATGTTATGAGAACAAAGAAAATATGAATTAGGGGATTTTAAGGTGATCCAATACCAATCTCAAAACTATATTGAGAATTGTAAGGCAGACAGTAAGGAGAAGTACCATTGATATCTTGGAAGTGAAAGGGTTGATGTACACATTTGTGAAAAGGAAATGCCAGGAGATGATAATGAACAGGTGTCATCAACCCAAAATGTGGCCTTTTAGGAACTGAGTTGAAAAGTGGCTTGTTCAGGGCTCTACCTGGCAGACACTTAGGAAACAGAGCTGACTGCCCTGCAGGAAAATAAATCCCTGCCTGTATGAGTGAATGGCTTCTTCAGTCCATATTTCCCCTTTCCGTATTATTTTTTTATATATAAACGTAGTGTACTTCTTTTTTCTCTTCACATTGTTGGGTTAAAGAAACAATTGTTGAGTTCCCTGATTTTTGATCATGTGCAGGTTCCTTACTTCAGTGTCACATACAAGGATGTTATCTTCGGGGGTACCCTGTGTGGAACAATTTACAATCTTTCATCAATATTTCTCCAAATATATGAAGGTGGAAAAGGGAAAAATGGATCAACAGTTGCTGTAAGTTTTTTTTAACATCATGCAATTTGCCTTACTGTTGTAGCTGGTAAGTGCACAGTGAGTAGTGCACTTATTGTAAAATGAGTGCAAGTGTTTCTCCCCCACCCCCAACATGGAGCATGCATGTAATTTCCAAGAACTGCATTTGCTTGACAAGGGTATAGTTGCTGTATGTATGAACAACAATGCAATTCTGATTCTAAAGTAACTTTCCTGGGTCATCTAGATTTAAATCTTGCCTTTTCAGTTGTGGTAATAAGCAATCAATTGTCCTTTTTCCAAGTTTTTATTGATTCAGAAATGTCGTACTATTAAGAAGTTGAAATGTGATGTTAAATGTTTCAGTGGGTAAAAATATTTGTTGAAAGGGAGACTGGAAATTGCTACTGAACTGTACTGTGCACAGAAATCTCAAGGAGTTTTGAAAACCAATGACTGTGGTAACCATAAATAAACATTTTATCTGTACCTACATATAATTAAGAACTTACAATTTATCGGCAAAAGTTGCAAAATCATGTGCCTGTTTTCTAAATTACTTGTCATACAAAGAATCACTTAGTTGTGTTTGTCTTTCAGGGCACTAGTGTTTTATCACCATTGTTTCCTATTGCTGCAATGTTATACATGGCTTATCTTACTGCAACAACCTCCTCCACAAGTGTATTCCATAAGCACCCATGTCTATTTGTCATGGCGTTTGGAATGGCGTGTTCCAAGATTACAATCAAACTAGTGGTATGTGCTATTGTGGGGAGTGTTTTTGTTACTACTATGTGATTGTGTTGTGTCTTAGTTACTTTTGTTTTATCCAGTATTAGGGGCACAGGCAAAGTTCTTTGTAAGGGGACATGAGTGGGCAGAGAGAGCTATACACTAGTTTAATGTGTTATTAGCATTTGGGGCATGCCTGAGGGCTTTGTTATTTATGGGTTGTCTGTTATTTGGGACTAATATGGAGGTCATATTATCTTTTCATATATAATTTTTAACAAGCAGGAGATTTCTTGACAAAAAAATGTTAAAGAAAATTGTCTGAATTCCTTTGAATTTTTACATATGTCATTTCTCAGAGACAGAAACAAAGTGAAAAATTAAGAATTATGTTCCTCTCATAATGGGAAAGCTTCATACAAAACATTAATTGCCTTGGAGGATCAAATGGAACAGCTAGGCACCTCAATTCTTTCACTCTCACAAATAATTAGTGTCAGAAACTGTACAAGAGTTTCAATACACAGTGGGAAGACCAATTCCTAACCCATAAAGAAGCGTATTGGCATCAGAGGGCACAACTTTCCTTCAGTTCTTAGATCAGATCTTAGCAAGCAGATTATTACTTCGAAACTGTAAGAACATTTTTACCTAGAACCTTTCAGTTGTTCATCTTTTAGATTCCTCATTAACATTTTCTTCACTACCAACAGGTTGGTTGTATGACACGGAGTCCTGTTGAATTTAAAGATTCCACAATGATCGGAGGAATTCTTCAGATTCTTAATATTCATTATGGCTCCCCAATTGATGAATACGTTTTATTGTGGTGTATGATGGTGAGTCTTCTTGTATTTTTAAATCGAACACAATGTAAATGTTCAATTAAAAAAAAAATTGGGAAAATTGCAACCACAAAATAAGTGAAAAGTGCAAACTTTTAGAAATGGCGTCATACTTTTGGCCACGCAACAAAAATACGCGAGGCTTTATACCAGAATCTTAAAACAGGGAAATGGATTTTGCTGTCCTTTACCAAACTCATCCAAAACTGTTTTTGTGATGACGGGTGAGTGTATGATCAGTCCTTCGCTGTGTGTGCCCCAAGGCTGTGGAATTCTCTTTAGCATGAGGTATCGTTACTTTCCATGAACATGTTTCAAGCGCTCAGTTAGTAAAAAAGAGCGAAATTGAAGACGGCGCTGTAGAAGCTGACGCGACCCGGCCCAAACCTCCCTTGTCTTTCATCCCTTCACTGTTACAGAGCTGTTTTACCAACTGAACGCCTGGAACTGGCCATTCATGGATAGAATGCGAGTTCGTCGCGCGCAACCCCTCCCCTCCCATCTTTTCCTCTTTCTACCGTACTCAGGATTTCCTGACAAGTTGCTGGCACCCATTCATACTGGTTGGAGAGAAGCACTTGAAGTGTCTTGTCCATTGTCCATTGCCCATCTTCTCCATTGACTGTGTCTTACCCCTCTATTCTAGGGTCATGTGTTGTTTGAACAGCTACGGTACAACTTCGCTCTTGGTACGGATATCTGTGACTACCTTGACATCAGCTACTTCAGAATAAAACCTATGGATAAGGAGAAGGACAAATAGTGCGCCGTGACCTTCCACTTGTTAAGGGTAACCCCTGCTTTTCCTCCCTTTGATCTTTTTTCTGACCATTTTGTGAGCTGTGTTGAGCGGTATTTAGCGTGAAACTTATGTAAAACCCAGATCAAATGGGATCAAGACTCGGTGTTGGCTGGGTTCTTCCTTCAAATGTCATCAACTGCTGTAACTTTACAGGAAAGCTTGCATTAGGTGAAGGTCGGGATGCGCCGGGCAGTAAGTCGGTGCTACAGATTTCCGTGTGCATTGCTTTCAAAGCAAGTCGATGAGGGTGAAAAGCAAGTCGATAAGGGTGATAGGCTTGCTGTAATTATACGCAGGAATTCAAATAAGTTTGTTTTAACAATGCGTGAAATAGAAACTTTATAGGCTTTCAAACACAAAAATATCTCTATTTAACTCAAGTATGTAACAATACTGCGGTAAACCTTTTGCATAGCATTTGATGTTTTGCTCTTATTTTTATCAGAGTGAATTCTTTTTTTTTTTTTTTTTTTTACCCCTGGGATGTCTGTTCGTCTTGTCGCCGCGACTTGTTGCTTGGTGCGTTCCGACCTTAACGAACTATTTCATCTGTAAATCTGTCTGTCAAAAACGCGATAAATTTTTGAAAATTTTACTAAGCCAATCCAACTTGTCCTTACAAGCGAAAAAGCCCTTTACGTTTCGCCGACCGTCGTCCAATTGGTTTGTGAGTCCGTTACGCTGTTAGCATGCTAACGATCCCGTTGATCTTATTTCCTGTGTGTCTTCCCTATTCATGAACATGCTGTTTCCTTTTCTTTTTTTGACACTCAACTGAAAATTGCTCTGAAGCGAGCCACCAAACAGTGGCTTTTTCAAACCCTCCAATAGTATTTTGATATACCAACCGAAAGGACAGATAACGTCTGGTATCAACTGATGTGAGAAGTTACCAAGAACTGATAGGTCATGTGTTGTCGTTGAGTAGGTGGTTGGCAAAAATAATTCTTTTTTTAAAAGTATGTATTGTAATTTGTATTGGAATTTGAGTTATTAATCGCATCTGATAACGCCCCCTCACCCTGAGATAATTAAGTGAGTTTATATCAACTTTTTAAGTTCTAAGGTTTGGTTAAATAGACTTTTTCACTTCTGGGTTTAGTACGGTAGGTTTCTTAGTTAATTGCGAAGACACAACGGTTTATTGTTCTACTTTCAGCTTTAGTCAGTTCCTTTTGAAGTAAATTAGATACTTCCCTTCTTAAAAGTTAGGTATAGATGCAATACTGTCGTCTTTACGAAAATTCCTTAAACAACACAACGGGGGAGTATAACAAACTTTGCTTCTTGTCGTCGAAAGTCAGAATGCAGCACATAAACAGTCTGATGTAATTTTGATCTTCTGTAGAACACAATTTTCATTTTTTTTCTTCTCTAATTACGTTCCATTAGGCTTTCTTTGAGTTATTGTTACCAGAAATCTTTAAAGTCAATCTTTGCGCTCCGTATGGCTCTTGGGAGATGAGTACATACTTAGATTCGCTCATTAGCGAAAAAGATGTTGAAATATTATTATCCTTAACGAATAACTTATTAAGTAGGGAGTGCGCTTGTACCCATCACAAGTGTTAAAGCTCAGTATGTCAGAATCCAAAGGAAATCTTTCCATTAAAGAGCGCATTTCGATTGGGTGTCGTAAAACCAAAATCCGTTTAATCAGATCGAAGAATTAAATAAAAGCACCAAAGCGCTAGTTGTGTTTGTTTGAGCATCTTTGAAGGTTGAAAGGATGGCGCAAATTTTAATAAACATACACTAAACTTAGTAAAACAAACCCATTGTAACCCCGAATTAGTCTTGACACTCGATTGAAAATGGCTCTGAATGGCTAGATTACAATTCGAAAGGGTTTCTCGAGATTATTTTTGCGATCTCTCCACTTAAGACCTGTCTGAATCGGAGTTGCGATATGAAGGGAAGATTATTAACGTTATCTTGCGTAACTGTGACATCAATCCATGTTACATCTTGAAAGAATCGCACCGAATAATGTCCATTTAACCGTAATTTTAAAATTTAGAATGCGAAGAAATTTTGATTTAGGCGTGTGTGATGCCGATTTATATTGTAGCTTATTTTAAATACTAATTTCTCACTGCATATCACGGTGGTAACATTATCACGAGTGTATGGAAAGATTATTTATTTGAATACAAATTCTTCAGTTTTGTTATTGACTCAGTTTTTTGGTAAGTCCTGTATCGGTTTTGTGACAGATTGAGATGGAAAGCACACGCTGTTTAATTTGATGAAAGATGGAATAGATTGGAAACAATTTTCACTGAAATACTCAGCATGGTTATGACGTTTGGTTTTGCGAGCCTTCTCGAAAACGCTCGCAAGACAACTATTTGAGCCACTTTACTACCTTCACTTAACAATTGGTCATATGATAAATATTTCCCGCGAGTAAAAAGTGGCAGAAATTTCATGGACGCCAGTTGAGCTAACTAAGTGAATGCCTTGCCTTCTACCCTAGTGAAACAAAAAGGATTACCGTTAAACATCTACAACAGTTCAGCGAGATACGCCGGAAATGTTGGTGTGTTCATTAATAGGTAGCACTCGACAAATCCTTTGCAGTCGACGATCGCATGTTTCAAGGGGCATCTTGCTGGAAGAGAAATGGCGCAACAGCCTTTTTATCCCGGCAGGGTGTCTCTCCATGTGATCGCCGCTTGCAAAGCATACATTAATTACAAGCGGCAAATAAGAACAAATTAGCTCGTTGGGATCATTTGGATTGGATACGAATTGATTCTTCCACACAAATTTCTAAATATATTATTAAAATCATTATTCTCTTGACCATACAAAAAGAAACGTAACCGAAAAGAAAAACGTAGAACTGAAAAGTTCATGACGTTGATAATGAGGATGACGATACTGACAAATTTGAAACTTGCTGTTAACTCAAGAATCAGAAAATTAAGTTATTACGTTTGAAGGAAAAGTGTAACCTGGTCTGATGCTGATGAGAACAAAAATCAAAAGGGAATTTTTCCCCATTTTTATTTATCCTAAAAATCTCAATCAGTATTTAATCATTCCTGAACATTTTGTCAAAAATTTAGTCATGTTTTGGTCTGTGATCTGCTTTATCAATACCACTATCGGTTTCTTTATCGTGATTGATTGCAAGACAGATGTTCCCCGTCCCGTGAAAATTTGAAACGAGTCGGGGAGAGGTTTGCCGTGGATTTGGCACTAATAATCAATTCTTGACTGTCCCTTGCAGACCTCTCGCGGGCTCACTGGTTTTAAGCTTTCCCGCGGGCAAAGAAACACTGGTGCCGAAGCGTTAACAATGACGAGCACCTGCTTGCAGGCTATAACACTAGTAACTTACGGGTCGTCCATGTATCTAAATGTTTCATTCAGTGCCACAGCTCCCAAAAAAAAAATACTTTGAAGGTAAACAAAAATGATAAAAAAACACGAGGTGTTAAAATACAAATCCCAGACACCATTTTTTAGATCTAGATCTAGATCTAGATCTTTTAGATTTTTGGAGCCTCACTAAAAACCTTTCAGACGTTTCTATTGGTCCATGCCAAGTGGCTAATATTCAATGACAGCGTTGTTTACGAGGTTTTAGTGATAATTTGGTTCTCTCGTGAAGTCGAACCGTTTAAGACCACTACGACATTCTGAGCGCCATGGAACGGAAAAATTGTTATGTTTCATCGACTATCAACACTGCCTCTGAGGGTTACAAGCAAAGCTCTCGTACTGTGCAAAACGAGTCTGGTAAAATGTTCATAGAGACCGAAGTTCAACCCCAAGCCGGAGACACGATCTTAGACCTCGGTTGTGGCACAGGAGAGCTGTCTGCATATCTTGCTCAGCTTGTTGGAAACAGTGGAAAGGTTGTGGGTGTTGATCCTGACAAAGAACGCCTTGAACTTGCTAAAAAATCACACAGTAATATCGACAATCTTTCGTTTATCGAGGGGAGCTCTTCAAACTTCCCTGGTATGGGCTCAGAATCCTACGACATTATCTTCAGCAACTACGTGCTGCACTGGATCCCAGACAAATCCAATGCGTTTCGGAATATGTACGCTAGCCTGAAGCGGAGTGGTCATGCCAAAATTGCAGCTCAGTACGGCAGCTATTTATTCCCATTCATAACAAGCGCCTTTAAGGAACTGAATCCAGAAAATGCCGAACATTTACTTGACATGTTCAATTTTGAAGCGAGGTCAACGATCGAGCAATATTGTTCAGCAGCCGGGTTTGATATTGTCAAAAGTTATGATGCTCAGATCGCACAATATGTGTTTGAAAGCACTGAGGCGCTTTTGAAGTGGCTTTGGTCCACTACACATGGTGCTTTTGATCCTTCGCTAGTAACCGAAGATCGCCTACAGAATTATTATCCATATTCAAGTCGAAATGGTCAACCTCCATTTGACTTCAGCGGAATTGAAGAGGAGTCAACTATTTGTCGATTGGTGGCCAACAAACAAGTTTCTTAGAACACCACGAAACATCCATTTACTTACACTAACATCGATTGTCTGTTTGAGGACGAAAGAATTATGTGCATGTCAGGTAATTTGAGGAGAAAATTACGAAACTGATAGTTCACGAGTGTGAAGTTTGACAACGATTCGCCAGTTTACTTTTACTTAGATACTAGGAATCGCTATCAAAAGTGAGTCCTTTCGACCTCAGAGCTTTATGTCATGGAAAACCTTGGCAGAAATCAACGTTTTTGCAAGTTTTAGCTTGCTGAGTATTGTTATCTTCCAGTAAAACAACAATGACTTTCCAAATTGTTCCGTAGCGTGACATTCCAATAACCGACATTGAAAAGGTTGTTTCTTTGTCATAGGAAGACTCTGTTTTCGAAATAATTAGTGCATCGTAAGATCAACCAACAAAGAAAACAATCAAATAAAAAACTGAAAAACAGCCGCATCTCTCAATTTAAGTGCCCCTCAAATGTGTCAGTTTTATTTTTCATGACGTGACTTCGCAAAAACCTATCAATATGTGTAACTAATCAGATCGAAACCAATACGTCCAACATCACTATCACAGAGGAAAAGGAATACATGTCGGATGAAGTATCTCATGAACTACAACACTAAGCAGCTGTGTTAAACATGAAGTCCCTTCAATCTCTTAACAATGTAACCTTCACTAGGCTGACAGTCATTTTGAGTATGGAAAAACCAAAGGCTAAAAATTCAAGACCGCTACAATTAAAACTAGAATTTGAACTAAAGTTCTGGTGATCGAGGATAAATTGGAACGCAAATTATATGAAGGGATGGGTGAAATTACTAGGGGATTTCGACCAGAAATCTAGGGGAAATACAGTTTTATTGGATTTGACGAAGGGTTCGTTTGAAATGGGTTTGAGTCTTTAGGATTTAATTGTGTTGCCCCAAAGAGAACCATGCCTTTTCTGTAAATACAGTTCAGAGCCGCCTTAAGTTTATGGGGGAACTTTAAAGTGGCTCTGGTACTCAAGATGTCCAAAAAATAATGATTTATAGACATAATTTTAGAATATTTTAATACCATTTTCATTGGAGAACACACGAAATAAGTGTGTTCATATCACTCTACCCAAGCACTGGTGTTAAAAAATACCAAAAGCATTTTGAGCCTCTTAACACAGGGCATGAGTAAGATGACAGCTGCAATGTACCTTATTTCCAAGATATTCACAAGTCTTCATACCAAGATATGCTCCAAAACCGTTGCAAACGAGAACATCCATGATCCACTATTAAAAGAATAAGTGTCTTACATAAATTTCACAGCACAAATAGTTTCTAAACACACCAAAAGCCAATGAGACCAAAAAGTGAAGTCAGGCAGAGTCGGCAAACAGCGTAAAACGCGTGAAAACGCGAGTGATCGAGTCCCGTGATTGGTTAAGAGGATGGAACGAGTTTAAGGGGACCAATCAATGCTTAGCGGAGTAAAATAAACCCAATGCACTCCCGGATTACATAGGGCACTTACTTGAGAATTGTTCTAAAGCAAGACACACCAAACAATCTGTCACTTTCAGTTTATTAGTGCGCCCACAATTTGACCCACACTACATCCTTTTTCATTTGTCCATATTTATTTATCAAAATCGCGTATTAACATGTTTCTCTACCATAAACTAGAAAAATACGTCTTTTAACTTAGTATCGAGTGTTCATGCCTACATTAGGTGAGTGCCTTCAGTTACTTCAACCAATAAATGTTGAGCTAAAATTATCACTCGCTATACACGATCGTAAATTTTACTAAAACAGGCACCTGGTTTCTTCACGCTAATAGTGCAAAATTTGACCACTACTACATAAAAATCCAGAAGGACAATGCTAATAATTAAGCACAGGATCGAAAAAAAATGCTTCTGCCTTGTGAAAAATTTGTCTATCCTTGAATAATTTTCGTTTAACACCAACCACGCATTACAGCTACATTAACTAAGATTTTGGTTCTTGATGTGAATTAATCAAAAGTACATATTTCTTAGGTTCGGTTGGAGATGTAAAAATATTTGCGGCCCCTGTCTCGGTGATAAGAAACTAGAATTTCCTCCTCTTCTTCTTCTTTTCAGGCGTCACACTTTGAAATATAATTTAAGTCTGGCCCTCCTACTACAGAACATAGATATCACATCACTCTCCTCCCATATTGTTTATAAATACGCAATACACAAGCCTTGATCTTCCTTGGTTAACGAGAACCATTTTGATACCTTCACTTAACAATTGGTCATATGATAAATATTTCCCGTGAGTAAAAATACGCTGAAATTTCATGGAACCCAGTTGAGCTAACTAAATGAATGCCTTGTCTTCTACCCCAGTGTAACAAAAAGCATGACCGTAAAACATTCACAACAGTTCAGCGAGATACGCCGAATTGTTGGTGTGTTCACTGATAGGTAGCACATAAAAAATCCGTCGCAGTTGGCGATCGCATGTTTCAAGGGGCATCTTGCTGGAAGAGAAATGGCGCAACACCCTTTTTATCCCGGCTGGGTGTCTCTCCATGTGATCGCCACTTGCAAGGCATACATTAATTACAAGCGGCAAACAAGAACAAATTAGCTCGTTGGGATCGTTCCGATTGAATACGAATTGATTCTTTCACACAAATTTCTCAATATATTGTTAAAATCATTATTCTCTTGACAGGACAAAAAGAAACGTAACCAAAAAGAAAAACGTAGAACTGAAAAGTTCATGACGTTGATAATGAGGATGACGATACTGACAAATTTGAAACTAGCCGTGAACGCACTGTTTGAAAATCATTCTCAAAAATTGGCAAATTACGTTCTTTGAAAATCATTCTCTAGAATTAGCAAATTAATTTATTACGCTTGAAGGAAAAGCGCAACCTGCCCTGATGCTGATGAGAAAAAAAATCCAAAGGGAATTTTCCCCATTTTTATTTATCCTAAAAATCTTGATCAGTATTTAATCATTCTCGAACATTTTGTCAAAAATTCATTCATGTTTTGGTCTGTGATCTGCGTTATTAATACCACTATCGGTTTCTTTATCGTGATTGATACGAAAGCCGCCGATAATCGAAGGCCAAAATTGCCACACCGTCCACGCAGTCCAAGAGCCGAGGAAAAGAAGCCAGAATACTGTCACGTGTGTAGGAAAGGGTATAGTGATGGTTTCCCAACCGAATTTAACGCAGATTAGCACTTCTGTTGCAACAATAGCCGCGACCACCCAAGCCTGCTGTCCAAACCGCTTACAAGTGCTGAAATGAAAAGAGAGCAACGGAGATTTACTAATACCTTAAAGCTTCTTACGACTATTTTTCTACAAGAGATCAGTTAAGTCTTCATCTAGGTGGCCTTTTAATAGCCGACCAGTTTCGCTTTTTAAGCCAGGCTGTAAATTCTTACGTACCATCACTCCAGTCGATCACGCTAGCTATGTTTTATTTTTATTATTAAGTTGGACACCAATTCACTCCTTTACTTACATAAATTTCTAAAACTAGTAGCCTACGTGCTGGTCCTCATTACAAGGGCTGTAAGACAGATGCTACCTGTCCCCGGGAAAATATGAAACGAGTCGTGGAGAGGTTTGTCGGGGGTCTGGCACTAATAATCAATTCTTAACTGTCCCTTGCAGACCTCTCGCAAGCTCACGTGCTGTAAGCTTTCCCGCGAGCGAGGAAACACTGGTGCCGAAGCGTTAATAAAGATGAGCACCTGCTTGCAGGCTACAACATTAGTAACTTACGGGTCGTCCATGTATCTAAATGTTTCATTCAGTGCCACAGCTCCCATCCCAAGGTACAGTGCCATACGAACTTGCATGATGAAATGAGGAGGAGGAATCCACAAAATAAACTTCAAGTAAAACAAGTTTAACTCGGCCATAAGGAACTGAAAAATTAATTAAAAGCTTTTTAGCGTATTTGATTGCAGACACGAAACAGAGCAAGTAATCCGAAATTGCATTGATTTGCTTTACTTCGTTAGGTGATTGGTCCAGAGAACTCGCGCCACTTTCTGAACCAATCAGATTTCAAACCAAAACCAATTGTAACTTGGTCACCCGCGTTTTCCCGCGCTTCAGGTAGCTTTCTTATTTTTACTTAAAAAACTCATTGGTTCCTGGTGATATTTTCCTTGCTATGCCAGGCTGTTTTGATCGCTTCGGTGTTGGTTTTACGACACTCATTTGAAAAGCGTTCTCAGACCCCAAGAACAGCAGGATTTTTCACATACCACAGCAGCAATTCCACAGACAGCCAGCCATCTTGTAAGGCTTGTGGTGGCTTTCCAATCATAAGATGTCCACGAATAAGGAGTAAATTGAGCAGCAACTCTTTTGAACATGCCACTAAGAAAAAAAATTGTCATAAAAGGAGTGTTCAAAAATTAGAAGATAAAAGCAAATAGTTATTTGAGAGTAGAACGGAAGGCGTAAGATTGAAGACACCTCATATCAACTTAATCTCGTCACCTAATTCACGATTTCCACTGTTGATTCATAATGCATACTGTACAGTTTTGTGCAGTTCCGAAATCACTCATTCGTCATCAAGTCTACTTACATAAGTTCTTTCGGAAAGCTAGAGAGATTGTTTTTGTAATTCATGTGTTGTTTTCAAGCTGTTATCATGTTCAAAAGTGACAAATCCCTTTTGCCGTTGCGGAAAAAGAAAATTTATTCGCAATTTGCATCGGAGTGGAAATTTTGTTCACTGATAGCGACAGGGGTTCCTATTAGACTGAAGAGATTCATTGGCCAGAGTCTATGTCTATCGAAGTTGCTGTGGGCGCTAGTTCGCGATAAATTTCGCCGACAGTCCATCATCATTCGCGTAGCATTGCACTTCGAGCATCGATCGTTGAAAAGCTGTTTTAAATTGTGTTTGGAGTGTAGCTCTCCTTCCTCTCCCTGCCCTCTTTTCTCCTCTTTTTGCTCCTTCCATATCGTCACAAGTAGCTACACATCCACACGTGTTACTTAACCTTCTCGACCTAACTCCTTGTTCGCTCTTTGCCTCTAGCACGCGTCAGCAAAACAGTCTCAAATGGCTCTCTCCGATGTGATTAGGTAACAGCCTTCATAGGCGTGACCAACGCCCCGAAAAAAATCTGGTAAAGTGTTTTGGCTTGAGTTCTGATTTTTAATGATTTTATTCCTGGCTGATATTCGGTAAATAACGAAGCGCTAAATGCAAATTCTAAACCTTCTCTTTTAAGTCAATATGTGCAGATCACGTTCCGATAAAAAAGAAACGTGTTGAATAAAATGCGTCGTCAAATAAACGTATCTCGAAAAACGTCTCGGCGTGAATAAATAAGCTCCTATTTTGTTCTGTGGTAAAAATCAAGAAAATAATAAGTTACATATCCGAAATCAGTGTTTATTAAGCGTTAGGAAAATGTAGACTTTTACAGGGTTGGCGCGCATAATTTTCACGCTACCTCAGTTTGAATGGAAAAGCTAATTTTCCTTCTGTGATACCTCAAACCTTAAGCGTAACACCTGCTGATGAATTATTCTTCCTTCTAGGTGTCCTTAATTTCCTTTTTATTTGGCAGACAGAATTTGATGTTCGATCAAGCGAACAAAACTCTTCAGATGATAAGTTTGTCACTTCCAAACAATATGGTATTTCTGACGATTGAGTCTGCGAATAAGGCAGAAATAAATATTTTGTTGGCACGAGATACGACAAAGCCTGGGCCTTGGGCCCGAGCATCATGGGTAATGATGCAGTGGTATATAAGGGGAGTAAACACGTGGTGTCCATCTAGGCCTCAGAATCAACCGTCCACCTCTGGCTGATGACAAATTTATTTTAGTTTGAAAAATTATTTTCTTCAACTGTGAAGCCTCGTAGGACGGGCTGCCGACTGCTCTAAGTTTGGGCCATGGTTCCTACCCAGATTTCCTGTCATATTTTTCCCCAAAGGCGTTTTTTCTGGCAGGTTTTTTCTGGCCTCCGTATAACTGTATTAATGTCCTTGTAAGCGGTTGCCCTTCTCAGTTAATCCCGACTTGGTGAAGTATGCATGTTAGTAATGTATACCTATTTTTGAATGCGTAAGGAATCGACTGTTTATCAGGAGTGTATATGGAATATCAGTTGCGAATGTATGTATGTATGCACGCCTCGGGCAATATATGCCTCGGGTTCGTTCTCGGCAGGCTTCCCTAAATAAACTTATTTGATGTTCACTACTGTGTTATTTGTTGTGTGGTGGAGACTAAATATGCTGGATGATGCATTGATCTTGTGAGGATAAATTTACATTTAAGAAACCCCTGGGAGTTACAGAGTTAAATTAAAAACAAAATTAAAGTCACGAAACCGAGATGTCCATCTCACATCTGATGTTCAAAGCTGTCAACATTTGAGGGCCTTCTTATTAATGCCAAAATGACGTTAGCTGATGTCATGATTGAGGCACCGAGATGAATTGTTCATGTTATCAACCGTCTAAAGGAGCAGTGAGCGTGACGAACGTTTTAGCCTCACCTTGCGAATGTTACTATTGGTCCATGCCAAATGGCCACTATTCAATGACGTCACTGTTTACGAGTTTCTATCGATAACTTGGTTCTCTCGTAAAGTCGAACCGTTTAAGATCACTACGACATTCTGAGCGCCATGGAACGGAAAAATTGTTATGTTTCATCGACTATCAACACTGCCTCTGAGGGTTACAAGCAAAGCTCTCGTACTGTGCAAAACGAGTCTGGTAAAATGTTCATAGAGACCGAAGTTCAACCCCAAGCCGGAGACACGATCTTAGACCTCGGTTGTGGCACAGGAGAGCTGTCTGCATATCTTGCTCAGCTTGTTGGAAACAGTGGAAAGGTTGTGGGTGTTGATCCTGACAAAGAACGCCTTGAACTTGCTAAAAAATCACACAGTAATATCGACAATCTTTCGTTTATCGAGGGGAGCTCTTCAAACTTCCCTGGTATGGGCTCAGAATCCTACGACATTATCTTCAGCAACTACGTGCTGCACTGGATCCCAGACAAATCCAATGCGTTTCGGAATATGTACGCGAGCCTAAAGCGGAATGGTCATGCCAAAATTGCAGCTCAGTACGTCAGCTATCTATTCCCATTCATGACAAGCGCCTTTAAGGAACTGAATCCAGAAAATGCCGAACATTTACTTGACATGTTCAATTTTGAAGCGAGGTCAACGATCGAGCAATATTGTTCAGCAGCCGGGTTTGATATTGTCAAAAGTTATGATGCTCAGATCGCAAAATATGTGTTTGAGAGCATCGAAGCGCTTTTGAAGTGGCTTTGGTCCACTACAAATGGTGCTTTTGATCCTTCGCTCGTAACCGAAGATCGCTTACAGAATTATTATCCATATTCAAGTCGAAATGGTCAACCTCCATTTGATTTCAGCGGAATTGAAGAGGAGTCAACTATTTGTCGATTGGTGGCCAACAAACAAGTTTCTTAGAACACCACGAAACGTCTGTTTACTTACACTAACATCAATTGTCTGTTTGAGGACGAAAGAATTATGTGCATGTCAGGTAATTTGAGGAGAAAATTACGAAACTATAGTTCACGAGTGTGAAGTTTCACAATAATTCGCCAGTTTGCTTTTACTGAGTTACAAAGAATCGCTATCAAAAGCGAGTCCTTTCGACTTCAGAGCTTCATATCATGAAAAACCTTGGCAGAAATCGACGTTTTCGCAAGTTTTAGCTCGCCGAGTATTTTTTTTTTATCTTCCAGTAAAACAACAATGACTTTCCAAATTGTTCCGTTGAATGACATTCCAATTACACGCTCGAGGAGCGTTCACTCGGGCTTCATATCGAGCGTTTTACTCGAGCATTCACCACTGGATTCATACTCCAATGCAAGATCACTATCTGTTGTTACATTGTTTTATATAGCTTGTTGATGTGTGTCATTATCATCTGCATCATTTTGTAAAGCTGTGAGGTTGCTATCAATAATGCTAATATCAACTTGTATATCTTTGTACAATGGATTATATACTTTGAGCCAGTTAAGAACTTGCTGTATGAACTCTGGTCGTACTGCTTGAAAATAAACATGTCCTCTAAATTGTAACTGTCTTTTAAGCTTTAGCATTATTATACCAGATCTGTCAGGTGGACGAGGGAGTTCTTTACATGCCTGATCACATTCTACAGGTACATTGCATATTGCACCTTTAATTTTTTCTGTTGTCCTTTATGCAAAACCACAATCTTATCAAATACTATTCGTTGAGCTATAGTATTTGTTCTAGTTTTTCTGATGTGGATAGTTCTGTGGGTATTTCATTCACATACATATTATTCACTATAGCCTGACATGGTAATTTTCCTTTTATGACTTTTGAATGACAACATGTGTTGCATAAATACTGTTTTCCATCAAATGACTGTTGAATATTGAAATATGTTTGGCAAGGGTACTTCTTGTTTATGCATGTTATTACTGATTTCTTATAAAACAAACAAACAAAACAAACAAACAAAACACTGCCCCTCAAATGTTTTATTTTTCATGACGTGACTTCGCAAAAACCCATCAATATGTGTAACTAATCAGATCGAAACCACTACGTTCAACATCACTATCACAGAGGAAAAGGTGTTGAATGGAGTATCTTATGAACTACAACACTAAGGACCTGTGCTACACATGAAGTCTCTTCAATCTCTTAAAATTGTAACCTTCACTAGGCTGACAGTCATTTTGAGTTAGGAAAAACCAAAGGCTAAAAATTCAAGACTGCTACAATTAAAACTAGAATTTGGACTAAAGTTCTGGTGATCGAGGATAAATTGGAACGCAAATTATATGAAGGGATGGGTGAAATTACAAGTGGATTTCAACCAGAAATCTGGGGGAAATACAGTTTTATTCGATTTGACGAAGGGTTCGTTTGAAATGGGTTTGAGGCTATAGGATTTAATTGTGTTGCCCCAGAGAGAACGACAGCGATAATATTTAAAAGATGGTTAAAATATCCATTAATGCGTACGGAAAGCTTACCTGTAGGTGGGAATGTTCCATAACCCTCTCCAGTGGTATGGCTGTGAACGTAAAAAGAAACGTCCCATATAAAGCATAAAATTATTGAAAAACAAAAAGCTTTTCTTCAAAACGTTCCAAAAAAATTTGCCCCCCCCCCCACGCCTTTTCTGTAAATATGGTTCAGAGCCACCTTATTTTATGGGAGAATTCAAAGTGGTTCTGGTACCCAAGATGTCCAAAAAAATAATCATATGTTTTATAGATATAATTTTACAATATTTTTACACCATTTTCAGTGGAGAACACACGAAATAAGTGTATTCATATCACTCTACCCAAGCACTGGTGTTAAAAAATACCAAAAGCATTTTGAGCCTCCTTAAGACAGGGCATGAGTAAGATGACAGCTGCAATGTACCTTATTTCCAAGATATTCACAAGTCTTCATACCAAGATATGCTCCAAAACCGTTGCAAACAAGAACATCCATGATCCACTGTTAAAAGAATAAGTGGCTTACATAAATTTCACAGAATAAATAGTTACTAAACACACTCCACACCATACAATGCGAACACATCTATCCCCTTGATCCAAACCAAATGGATCTTAATTGTATTTGAAGCACTTTAAAAAGGACATTTTAGTGACAAGAGTATAATTATTTGGCAGTCTATTTTTGCTAGCTTGACTGTTGGGTTATGGTCTATGGCCAAGTAAGGCATTCTAAGAAGTGAACCTAATAATAATAATTTAATAATAATTTATTTACTTCTATAGCGCCCTTTAACATTTATATGATCAAAGGCGCTTTACAATTAGTGTCTCTTCCAGGCCACCACACAGTAATCTCGTGCGTGGGAAATTAATGTCTCCTACCCCAACCCTGCAGGAGACGGGGCCTATGGTTTTACGTCCTATCCGAGAAGACGAAGCAATGTGAACTTGAACCCGGGCCGTCAGACCCAGAGTCCAGCACACTGACCACTGGACTACTAACAGTCCAGTCAATTGATAACAATTTAGGGCCAGGGGAGGGATAGGTGAGCAGTTGTTCAGATAATGACATTAATCAAAAGCCTGATGACCCAACCATCAAGCTGCATTGAATTTTTTTTAACCTTTTGATCCGGTAAATGATGATTTACAAAGGCTGAAGGGGGTGAGGATATCGAAACCCACAATTTTGAACACTTTAATGTACACCATCCAAGTACTTATCAGGGCTTTCTACCAACTGGACTCTTTTAGGAGTGTTCTGTATATTTACCTATAAATTAGTCAAGGGTTTGAGAAGCAACATCACACCTGCTTATCATCATCCCTTGTAATGAAACTGTTGAGTAGTTACAGGGAATCACAGGATTAAAGAAAATTATCATTTGAGGAGTTGAACTTACATGATCCCACCAACATTCACTAAAGTTTGGTAACTGATGCTCCAAGGAATACTCCAAGACTTCAAAGAGAACACTGATGACAGTCAATAACCAATAGTCACGCAGGATGAGTGCCTACAAACACAAAATTGGTCATAAAAAGTAAAAAGGGATACACACTTGGCAAGTTGCACAAAAGAGAGACGATTTTATGCCAAACAAGCAATTAGTCACTCATAGGATTCTTTCACTACCAACCAGTAACAGATAAGAGAACCCCCAGCTAGAAATGTCTGTAATCTCAATGCTTCAATTCAACAACTTCACCTTACCTTTGCCCACCATCCAAAGAAATGAGCTGGTAAAAAGACATCACACTTCTCCTGTGGGGCATTAAAGAATGACAGTGCTTAGAGAAGGGTACATTTAGACTCAAAATAATGTTTCCAACATTCTGAGGGTTCTTTACTTTAAGAAAATATTTTTGATTAAATAGAAATTTGCTAACTTGAACCAATTATGTTGCAATCTCTGCTGCTAAACAATTTATTTGATGAATGTTTGATTTTCAAAACACTCAGAACAACTACTTAATTTGGGGTGAAAAAGCAAACCCTGTATACCCCAAAATCAGTATCCATAATTTCCATACTCTTCTCTATTCATTTCCTATGGTGCTGATATTTTTTGATGGTTTAACTCTCAAAGCTTCCTAAGTCAGCAATTACCAGTATTTCCTTTATTCTGACTCATGATCTTAATGAATGATTCAGCAGTATTACTGTGAGGAGAAATTACATGTAGATGCCTGTCGCTCTTAAGTTTAAAGGGTTAAAAATTTAACTTGCACCTACAAGAAAGGTATGGAATGATCCATTGGGATGTCCAGGAGTGTACAACCTACAGTCTTCCCCATAAGATTGCTCAGGCAATGGTTTCCCCAAATCTTCGTCAAGATACTTCAATAACTGCCTTGCGTCATCAGTTGTCTGAAAATAATTTAGCATGCAAAGGTAAGTAAAAAAGAGAATAATGAGGGCCAAAATGAGAATATCAGCAGTGTTCATGATTGCAACAAAAAAATCTAAATAATTTAGTTAGTGTGAGTAATTGTCTAATATAAACAGCAGACTTTACCAGTTGAAGAGGTGTTAACAATGACAAATAACATATATTTACCAAAAACCCATACCTGGAATAAAAGAAAAATTAGAGCCAATTCATAAACAACACTCAGGCAAAGAATGATACGCCAGAAAGCTGAAAATCAAAACAGAGAGCTTGAGATTAAGAACATGTTATTCATGGGTTGGTCTGCAGTACATTTGTGGACAATGGTAATATTTAATGCCTTTTACAACATACTGATGCAACACTAGGGGTCAAACCTATGGTTGCCCCTTAGGAATTTGCCACCACAATGATAGATTTTGCCCCCAACATGAATCAACTTAATCAGCGTGCCTATTTAGCAAATAGAATTAAATAAGGTATAGCAGCAAAGTTTTTAACAGGACAGGGTGGGGAAAATTTGTCAGGTAGGGGAGACTTTGAAAATAAAAAAACCTCCATAAACCAATGCGCTTCATGGTGTTTAAAGCATCTTTAAAATTAAGCCTGAGTTTTTCAAATCTGTCATTAGCAATCTGTGTGATTGTCTTGATGTATTGATCTATTATAATTGAAACCATCTCTACCTGTATGTGGTTTCATCTCAGGTGTTCATCTTTTGAACAAAACAACTATTTTAAAGGTTTATTACATTTTGGCCAATCAATCACATACCTGGGTGAGGTCGTTTGAATGGACCATCTCTAATCTGAGTAACCCCAAACAACAAGAACACAGCTATACAGGCTATAAGTCCTCTGAAACAACATAACATGCAAATATCATGTTACACCCTTAAGAGCAAAAGTGTCACAAAAAGTAATTAAGTACTAATTCTGGTTGACAGTGGTTTTACTTTTCTATAATTAGTGATTGGTCTAGAAAGCTGATACCACCCTGACAAACAATTACATGTGAATCCACAACTAAAGGCACGACTGTCGTCAGGCACTACGCTTGTTTTTTTTTATTTGCCCCTTCATGCCCTGTGATATTTTCCTGTGTTGTCAGTGGCAATTTTGAGTATTTTAATTCTGGTTTAACAATACTCAGTCAAAATGTGCTCTAAATTGCAGAATTTGATCACTAATTCTCTCTTCTGGCTGATTTATAGTTCCTTATTAACTGGCTGTTAACCCTCTACACCCTAATATGAGTATGCATATTTTCTATACTATTTGCTATACATTTCCTTAGGTGCTGACAAGGGGAATTTGTGTGACAATTCAAATTCTCTTTTGGTTGGAAATCATTTTCTTTATTCCTGTGACTCTAATGTTTGATTCAGGGCTGATATTGTAAGGAAATCTAAGATGCTAGTCACTCTTAGGGTCAAGGGATTATGAAAATTGAGAGTTTATTAAAAAAATACATCTTAATTCTTATCACCTGTTTACTAAATAATTTCATATAGACTTTTAGGAAGAAATTACATGTCGATCACCACTGAGAGATACATGTTAGGGTAATGAGACAAAGTCATGTCTAGGCATAGTTTACTGGTTTTATCACATTTAGCCTGCCACAATAACATCCATATAAAACCTGCATTTTACAACCTCCAATTAACCACTTCAACACACATTAGATATGGGTGTTCATTCAATAAACGCAGAGCTCACATATTAATTTGCAAAAACAATTTTTTGCCCACCTCTCCATTGACTGTGATGCCATGGTCATCACCTTTTTTACTGTGGGGAGGATGGAGGCACAATCCCCCAGAAAATTGTGAAAAAAACGAGTAGGTAAGATGTGGATTCCTTTAACTGAGCACTTGTACAAAGAGTTTGAAGTGAGTAAAAGGGAACAAGGAGTAACAGTGGCTCTGCACAAGAATCTTCATTGTTGGAAAGAGTTTGAAGCAAGTATAAATGTAAAAAGGAGCAAGTTATATCTAAAAAGTTAATTAAATTAATTTTATTGGTAATTAACTTAAGCAGCAGATTACCCACTCAAAATCAGCAGTTTAAATCAGAAGCCTCTAATACATGAGAAATAGTTGTTTTATCCTTAAATATTATCCCTGAATCACACATTAAGGTCATGAGAATGAATAAAATGATCACCCACTGAAGCTCAGGATTGTCGAACAAATTCTCCTTGACAGCACCTCAGAAAATGTTTAGGGAACAGTAATGAGAATATGCTTACTGATTTTAGGGTGTAAAGGGTTAAACTATACTTGTGGTCACGTCCATTTTTTCTATAAAAAATATTCATACCTCTTTGTGTTGTATTCACTGTTTTCCTTAGTTTTCTCAAAAGCTCCAACATAAACCAACACACAAAGCATAATTAGAAGAACTGTCACTGTGTGTGCTCTCCTGAGAAAAATCATAAGCCATAATAATTTTAGAAGTAAGTCCCATCCATTTTCACAGAGCAACTTCATTAATTGTACAAGCATTAATCTCACATGCACTTAATAAGCCACTGATCCTCACTGCATCTGACTGTTCCATAACTGACACCAACTTGGAATAAAGGGTGTAGGTTTCTAGAGAAACAGTAGTGCGGCATTGGTGGGTATTACTAGATAATTTGGTGTTGTGGGCTGGTAATGTGAGTTGGCCACACTGGTCAGCTTTGAAACTCTTCATGGAGCCCAATTTACATTACCAACTCAGTTGATAAAACCAAATTATATTTTGACACCAGCTTTGATTCTTTTAATCTCATTTGGCTAAAAACCAAGAAGTGTCCATGATTACTTTGTGAACTTCTTATTTCAAGGGCAAGTCTTATGGGGATAAAGTGCACTTGGGTACGTGATAAAAATCTCTCAGGGCTACAAATCATCGCATCATGCATGCATGCATGCATGCACATGTTGCTACCATAGCATTGCTTGACCGGACACATACAAAGAGCAATCATACAGTAGTGTATATACATCGGATACATGTATGAAACCTAAACTGAGATAAAAGTTTTTACTTCAGCGGATGCAAAATACAGGAAAGTAGTAAACTGATGAAAAAAATAAAGCACTTCTGATAGAGCTTCATCAATCGAAGCTGCTATGTACATAAAGTAATCAAGACATGATTACTTAATACACCTGCTTGGGGAAGTAAATTTATCACGCAAATAAGGGCGATCGAGCGCAACGAAAACCTCATTAGCTATGGAGACTTCTCCAATATGACCGGCCGCTTGGCTCACCAGAAATAAGTGTTGGTTCCATCGTCAGAAAACTGCTGAGTCTGTTTGATGTCCCACTCGCACTTTATGCTGAATGGCCGCCGGTCATCTCCTTTATCGTGTCCATTAGCCCTAACGATGTCCTTATCATGTGCCTGACCATTTTGGTGGCTTGCACCTTCCTTAGGCTTTGTCATCCTCTCTGACTGCGACACTGCTTAGTGGACTAGCCAAGCTTTTCGCATTAAACTGATTTCGAAATAAAACGGTGACCTTACGACACCGAAAATGAGCAACAAAAGATTATGTAGATTTCCAGCATGCACATGCAAAAATATCGAAATATTACTGGACGTGGAAAGATTGGGATCTAGACTGAAACACATTCATCCCCAGGAGCTCTGGTCACATGCCCGATACTCGTCATAGTAACCTCTAGTAACCTTGCCATTCGAGAATTTTCAACCTTGCGTTGAATGACGTGAGAGATTCCTTTTTAATGTTGATTAAAGTAAAAGAACCTAGCCCGTTGCCGTTGATACGGAGAAAAGAAGACGAAAAAAACCGGGTTTTTTTACAACAACGCTCTGCATACTCAATAATATCCGTTTCGACGGTGTCAGTAAGCTGTTTGTGAACGTTTACTGAGTCCAAGGGCACAAACAAGGTAACAGTTCTCCCTTAGCTTTGCCCGGGTTTCCCCTTACTTCTGACAGAAAATTCCTTGCACCGAAAATCCGGCTGTAAATTCGAGCGCGTAACAGTATGAAAAATGTTTTGGCACGTTGAGGAAATTTTTTATTTTGTCAGGCAAACCATTCGACAAATTGTTTAGAAACTACCTGATGTAAATTCTGTTCGTTGATACACTAAGAGAAATGTGACCTTGTTAGAGAAGATGTTGAACGAACAAAACAGACCTGCGATACTCATTTTTGGGGAAATCATCATCCTTGCTATTTGAAAACTACAAATTTTACATTTATAAGTCGGAGGATGAATATATATTTTTTATTCCATTTTATTTTTCCATGTTAGTAACTCTATCGCAGTTATAGACTGTTTTACGAATAAAACATTACAATAATTTTAATCGGTAGAATATAATCATGTGATTAAAAGCAACATTTGTCACGGGGGGCGGAGGGGGGGGGGGGGGGGGAACGGAGCGAAGATCAGTCGTTGCTAACAGAGTGTAAAGGGGGCTTGTAGAAAATCGAATACCAGTGAGGCGGGGATCAGGTAAATTTTAATGTGACGCAACCAAAATCATCCGATCCCCCATGTGAAAACTAATGATTTTAATTTGTCCCTCTTCCTACCATGCATCCCTCGTCGATAAGTAAGAGAAGGTACGACGATCTACTCAAACTAATTCAATTTTATAGTCTCATCAGTTGTTGGTGGGACCATCTCTTGGTACTGAAATGAGAAGTCATGAATGAACCACTTCCACGGCTTAAGTGAGATAACATGTTTTATGAGATAGAAAAAGAGGTAATGGGGGGGGTTGAAATAAAGTTTTGCTTTAGTGATCTCAAAATGCAATAATTGAATCCAGTTTAATGCAGTCTTTATTATACTCTCATGATGAAATTACAAAAAAAACGAATCGAGACTTTTAAAGATTTGATAATCACACCTAAAGAGAGACTGGCTATTTTTGATGTAAATATGACTTCTTGCAGCTTGCTGTGTTGGCTGGTCTACCTGTGCATTAACAAAAAGAATAAAAGTAAGAATTTTAATGTACTTTAAAGAACTTAGCCTCAAGCCTGTCTATAGCCAGCTCACCGCCGCAAGATGACAAAAATGGAAAAATCAATTGAATCGCCTGTGTGCTGGCTAGCAGGGACGTTAAAGAACCTGCGCACTTCTCTCTAAAAGTAGGAAACCTAGCTCCTGATGTTGAGGTCTGGCCTTGTTATCGTTTACACTAGCTGAACTGGGCCAGGCTATCTAAATAACGCAAATGAATAAATAAATAAATAAATAAATAAAGATACTTTCGCTCTATATATGAAGTACCTGAACTCTCTAAAGACCACCATAGTACATGAACTCCGTGCAGCACACCGTATTAAATCCTGAACCACAAGTTCCAGGGGTAACAAGAAAAAGTCCAACCTCTTCTCCGTTTCGATCGGTGACTGAACCCTGGCAATTAGAGGAGGTGGAACAGTAACTCATCCTTGGACAACCGCCACCGCGCTTTTCCTCTCCGAGCATCAAAATATCTGTTGTAAAATGCAGTTAAAGTTTTAGAAGTCTGTCCCCGATCCAAGTGCCCCTTTCAGACAGCGCTTGAGGGCCACTCATTATTTTTCTCGGGAAGGGGGAAGGGGTAGGGCCGAGGATTTTGAGGAACATATATTTTTCATGTGGAACAAGGGGGATTAGTTGTCGCCAACAGAGGTAACTATGGAATGGTGAGTGCAGTTGAACAGCCAAGGAGGGGAGAATCGTTAGAATGTTACCTACAGAACCTAACCGAGGGATCATGTAAAAATCGTCCGCTCCCTCCCTCCCTCCCCAGCGATAAATTAAGCCAGCATCTTGTCGTGGTCTCTGTAGCATGAGGCGACTAGAAATATTTCTACTCTCCAGCATCGGATGCAAGTCCATTGCAGGTTAACCTTCTATGGGATTGTAGAAAGACTATCATAGTTTGATCCGTTTTAATCTGAGCATATGATGTCTTTTGAAATAAGACCTACCTCGCTGGGAAAGACCTGCAAAAGGATTTCGTGGTTTGCAAGTTGCAATTGTGACTACCGCCAACAAGAAGCAAAGGATAATAAGTTTTCCAGCCATGTCGTAAGTAAACTGTAAATAAGAAACAAAATGAAGTCTGCATATTTGAAATAGTTTACGGCAAGCTGCACGAATTTAACTAGTTTGTGGTTAAACCCGTTTGCCCCTAACGTTCAGACGTTCGTTTCTTACGAGATTTTGACGTGACTCTTATCGTTTGTTAACTAAATAAAGATTTGTAACGAAATCACAATCAGAGGTGACTTTCAGGCAGATCTAGTGGTAGATTTGAGCTGAGAATCAATGACCGCGCATTCGGAATTTCAACAGCGCAGCTCCAACCCGCAAGCTGAGAGCCCTATACTTAAGAAAATATGGTAATGTAAACATTTCTTGTGAGATGATGTATCGTCCTTCCACAGGAATTTATGAGCATATTACTCCACCTATTTGTCAACCGCTGACTAATACGACTGCGGCGTTCTTCGGCGAAGAAAAAACAAATGGTGGTCGAATTGGCACCCATATCGGTGGTTTTAAAATGTTTTTATTGCTTTCAGGACATAGCATCATGAGAAATGCCTATAATGGATCGCATATGAGGTATTGTGCTATGAAAGAGATCCGTTATTGTATTTTAGGAGGTAAGACTCGTTTTATTTACCTTTTTTTTTTTGTTTTGTTTTTTTATTTGTTTTGTTTTGTTTTTCTGTTTTTTTTTTTAACTAAATAAACTCTTTTTCTCCATTATTCTTTCTACTCAACCAACAGTTCTTTGACACAACATGAAGATTGAAAACCTGGCATGCACATTTATAATTAATTCAGACTCGTCTTGGGTTGTTAATGACTGCAATCCATGATGTACTGCAAAAAAGATTTGCGAGGGAGATTTATTTTAAAGAAAGTAACGACTCGCATTCAGTGGACAAGCGTATCATTGAGTTTATCGAGTCCCACAAGGTTTGAACCAATCACATGAAATGATGGGGTTTAACTGGCGGAGACATAATCGCGGATGATATCTTCAGCAAAAAGACTCGGATGAATGGTGTGCGTTAGTGCTAAATTTATACGAAAACTACCCGTTCTTGAAGTCTCTCAAACTGGTACTGGTTTCAAATTTCCTTACGACGACTTTTGGCCCAGTACTTCTGAGCTACTTCAGAGAAAAAAAAAATATCGCTAAGATGACTTTTGACATAACATCGCATTGGGCCATTTTTAATCCAAAATAATTTAAAACTTAATTAAAACACGATGAACACCACTCCTTAAGCCCAAATACTATTAAAAGGTTCGTAAAAAAACGCGGTGACAAATATCAGATTAAAAAAAAGAGACTAAAAGTCAGGCACCGATATATTAAAACATGTACAAATAACAATTATAGAACCACGACTGCTCTTCTACATTTTGGGAAATTGTCTTCTCCTGTAATTTTTCTAAATGACATATTAACTTTCGAATTTTCGATTGGGAAAAAGTCCTACCCATATCGTTTCAAAATTATTTGCATCTCAAAATTTTAGTATTGCAGCTTTGTTCGCTTTCTTTTGGTCAATTTAACCAGCAAATAACCTTCTTGATCACATTACCCTTTGCTTTGAAATATTTTTGAAATTCATGTGAAATTCCTCATTACCTTCGGTACAAGCAATGCGTTTGTTTCAAAAATATAAAATTTGAGCGGATCATTTTCGGTCATTGAGGAATAGAAATGTTTTGTGAATTTTATGTTAGTTTTGTTTGTTTTCTTTTAAAATTGCCTGATCGCTCTTAATAAGTAATGGTGAGGATACCAACCTGAGAACGAGATCGCTGAAGAAGTCGCGCCTCTAAAATTCTGAAAAGTTGTAAAAGAGGAACACTTCTTGTTAAAGTGAATCGACGCTTGTAATTCTAATGTATTTATACCACAACCACTTCCCGCAAAAATCTAATCAGCATCTGAATATGCAGAATGTGTACATTTTTCTCGAAATTCTAGATGTTATCTCCGATTTTCTCACTTCAAATGCACTGGGAGCGTACTTTAAATGGAGAAGAATCCGGTCTTGTGTTTTACAGACTATATCTATAAGACTAAAGCTTTATTGGCAATTGATCTAGATAGAATCTTTGGTAAACACTAATTAAGCACGGAAAAACGGTTACAACTCGAAGCACGTACATGCCTCTCGGTCATTTTTCAAACCAAAAACATCCCTGCCTTTATCATAGCTTGCAAATACTCCTTCCAATTAAAATCATGTTCGCGTTGCGCCAAACAATCCTTACAGAAGACTTGCCTTTAACATGAAAACATAAGTGCTTCATCGTGGTCAATAACACCCTTAAATGTTGTTTGACCGCATGCTTGTCATATGCTATCGTTCTTTTAAACACAAATACGTTTTCTCTCTGCTTAATTTTTGGTCTAGATTGCAAGTAACCGCAAAAACCTTCCGGTGTTTATAGTAACTTCCTCCTATTTCGTCTCTTTCTTTCGACAGTGGTAACCTAAAATTCATCATCGGTTTTGAGCTTTTTCTCGATCCACAAACTACTTATTTTACTTTATCTTAAAGTTGCATTCGTGAGTCAAATGCATTTTGGAAATGCAGTATGGAATATTGGATTATGCCTTTTTGAGCATCACTGCCTAATCACCGTGAATTTACATCACAATTATTCGTAACACTTCCCTAATCTACTATAGTTTTGATCGTTACGGGCAATTTATACGCAATTTTACAGTTGGTTCCCATGTATGAAATTAAATTTGAAAACTAAAACTCTATAATTTTTTCGTGGGACTGGAAGGAGCATTTCGATTGAAGAGCAAAAGTTTAATAAAACCCCACTGATTTAAAAGTAAAAGTTGACAATCAACAGTACATCGTTTTACAAGAAAATTCTTAAAGACGAATCGTACAATATAAAAGAAGCGTTTTATTGCTGCGGTTTTCGCGTATTTTTTCATTTCGTTTCAACCGAGGCGATTTTCCATCCAAAGTGTTTACACTGCCCATTGAAAAAAGGATTTTATCTGACCGATGATAACAATAATAAAGATAGTCTCCAATTGAACCAGTGGCTTTTTATCGTGTGAAAATTTCAATTAGTTCTCGCCTGAGCTTACCGTCCGATATTGTGTTTATCAACTCTTTCCTGTATTATTCTGAAGTAAATTAGCAAACGTATGTATCCTGAAGGACTCTTTTTGCACACTCACTAAACAACTCAATGCTCTGAACTGAAATTAACAAACACGAAATGTGTTGCAGTATAAAACCTACTTTTACCTTCATATGTTTCTTTACAGCTGGGGCACGCGCATCATATAACATTAGACAGTCCTATGTTTGCACCAGACTTTTTAGCTTTTAGTGCGAAGAAAAAATTAATCATGACATATTCAAATCAAGTTCTGACTCTATTTAGCAAAATGGTGTTTTGCACGAATTTCAACCTCACAAACTACTGTCGGAAGAATCCTTTTTACTCAAGATTCAATTTGCAGGTGATGTGAGAGATTTTCGTCATTGTTTTCAATGATGAGATAACTTAATTTCGTCCAAACCTGAGCACAAAATGCGTAAATATCGTGTTTTTTCTTCCTTTTTGCTTAATTTAATTATATATTTTTCTAAATACCCGGCAAAATCTTAAAGTGAATATGAGGGTTCTTATGTTCAGAAAGAAACGTATATCACTCTTATAACAGGAGATTGCAAATTTTTTCCAATTATGGTACTTACTGGGAAAAAAAAAACATTCATGGTACATCTTTTTTTTTTTTAACGCCTCGAGCGTTCTCAAGCTTTTCCCGTATTATTTTTTTTCTTATTTTCGTTTAAATTCTTTTTCAACTCGATGGCGAAATCGTTGGGTATACAAGGTGGAAAATATGGTCGTCAGATTTGGTCAAGACATGTTAAGGATCTCTTTATTTCATTTGGTATATTATTGTTGGATTAGTCATGAAACAATGCAGCGATATTATTTCTTGATATTTGTATTCCTGAATTTTAGAATTTTTTTTCATGTTTGTCGAACTTGTTTCGATCGCATATGCCCTCAAACAAAACATTTCATTTTGTTTTACTACTTCCTCGGTAGAATAAGTGAATTATGGTCAAAACTGAAGTCACTCTCCTATTGAGATCTTTATTTTTAAAGTACGAATTTAGGTTGTGGTTTAGATGTAATTTGATCCAGGATTTAAATCCTCATTTCCAAGTAGCGAATAGCGTGCTTCAGGCTAGGATCCCTTACTTAGGATGTTCGCCCGTACACAAAATACTTAAAAAGAGAGTATTGCTCTTCCTGGACCTCTCAGTTTCGGAGCAGACAAATCATTTATTTTACTCCAGAACGCTGAAATAAAAGCTGACGTGTATTTCTGGTAAGGCATAAACTATTTTGAACCCCCACATTCGCAAACTGTTTTCTCTGGAAAAGAAAACAATATTTGATGGGGCTCAATAATTATCAAATTAGACATGTTTAAGCTTGTTAAACTAACAGCGCATGCGCTTGCAAAAAACATCCGGAAAGTTAAGTTTACATCAAATATTCAAGAAATTACATGTTAACAATACCTGCAATTTGGTCATTGATCGAGAGCGTTTTTAATTGCTGTTTATGGTCCTGATCCTGTTTATAATAAATTATTCCAAGCAATAACTCGTATTTCTCACCAATTGGTGGCTACTGATTTTAAGGTGTCAGTTTTACACGATATATTGATTGCCAAAGTTAATATGCAAAAGACCATTTTGCACTTAAATTATTATGTTCGTTGTTCAATTACTCCAGTTGTTCGCAGATTGAGGAAAGTCTTGATGTTTGATTGACTTTACCAGAAAGGTTTGGAATAAACATCGTACCATAAAATGTAGCCAAAAGAAGTTGAAATAGAGATATAATCTCAGAGAGTTAGGACAATCAAGAAAAGTTGTATCTAAAGACATGAGTATATTTTTTTCTTATACAAATTCTCGTAGAACTGAATAAACAGCTGTCTCCAAACTAATAAGTCTGTTTCATCACATAACTTTAAGCCAACTTGTGCGCTTGTTGGACTTACGTACCTAGTGAAGTTTAAGCTGCTAGATTAAGAATTCTATCTTGGATACGAAACTTTGGATCATAGACTGATCATGCTTTAAAAAACATAAAAAATTGTCCGATATTTGTGTTTCAGAGCAAAAAGGTCCACATTTTCGTTTTTGTTACAAGAAAACATGTTAGAGTCAAAAGCATCAAACACTAGGGTTTTCAGCGAATAATCTTAAACCACAATGATATAATAACAGAATTCGCCGAGCTTTTGAAACGTAGAGACAGTTCACGGACCTTGGAACACATTAATGTATCATAGCTGTGTCGAAACGTACCAAAGATGATGAATTGTAAACGACAATGTTTGTATGATTTATCCATAGAATATTTCAAAATTTTCATTTGACGTCGAAGATTTGAAAATGTGTTAAGCGGAACATGTAGTTTTTGAAAAGTTTCTGACAAACCTTCACTGTTTGGTGAAATATGGACCAAGGATTCGATACCACACACTGTAACTAGCAGCCGTTGAGGTTCCTTGCCAATCTTCTCAGGTGTGGAGATGTGTTTCTGATTTTAAGTACGTGGTGTTGTTCAGTTAGGGCAAATTTCCGCACATTTATTTTATTAGAATTGCAAATAAGATTAAGTGATAAAAATTTCTTGATTAGCTAGTACAAGTCTATTTTTTCTGATTCTATACAGGTGAAATATGAAGTGAAGACCACCTAATTGTTTGATGACAAAACCGTAGATAACTTTAAGGAACATATTCCTCTTTTCCTATGTTTAAAAACGTGAAGAGAAATATTCCGTTTTTTTGTCGGAAATGGTTTGCTGCTTTTCATTATCCTCTATTAATCAAGCAAAGTTTGGCTTTGACATTGAACACGTAGATCACGAGGGAAAATTAAACAAACTCAGCGTTCTAGATCAGCAGTAATGCGTTTTCGTTCTCACTTTGATTTCCCATCTGCCATAATTCTACCCAAAAGGTTTTAATACATTTTATGAACGCTGAGGAAGAAATTGGTACAAATGGACCATGAAAGGTCTGCACGAACAGTCAGTCACAAGTATGTTTTATGAAATAGGACAATTGTCAGTACGCTACTAATAGGCTTTAATTTGTTTGATTATACAACCGTATGTCCTGTTTCATGAAGAAGCGTATGAAGTAAGATTTGTATTAAGGGAGGCTTATAGAGACGCTTACTCAACATTCAGCGCCAGTTTTAAAGTGCTACAGATGCCATGAATTATTCTATATTTACTGATACAATCAGAAACTCTAATTTCTCACTTACTGGTGTGCCAAAGAGAACCAGTTCTTTTTCCTTTTATTTGAAGGTGTCAATTTAGCGCCGCATGTTGTTTGTCCAATTAGTAAACAAGCGTCAGAGTACAATGGAGTTGTACTTCACTACCTTTAATTGATGTTCATTGAATTAATCCTTTATTTTCAAAGAAGATCCTCATTAAGCAATGTTATTTTCTGTGCATCCGTATTTATGTTTCCTATATATCGTATCTAAATAAGAAAAAGTTTTGCTGCGCGTTTTATTTAAGCGGAAAAGGATACCTAGGTTTATCCTCATGTGATATATGCAGTTAAGTGTGCATTAACAGTTAAAACCGAGGGCGTTAGTTTGAACATTCGTTTTTTCACTTGACGTGGAGTTTAATTAATAGAAGTATTTGAGAAAAAGAATCTATCAATCCTGAAAGACCACTGATATCAAAGTTTGTTGGTAATCCATCTTGCCTCGATCGCTCTCCCATAAAATTGTCAGACGGAGACCCACTTGTACATGAATGACATAAATACTTTGATGACATTTTCAAAGCTTATATTTGCTCTTTAAGAACCATCCAAATTTTCCATAACAAACTACGTATTCTATTTACAGAATCCAACTCAAAAAATCATTTACAAGCAACCAATACCATTTGCAAGCCGTCATTCCATCGTGGGATGGTTTCTCCGCATTGCAGACATGCATTGCAGACATGCACTGCAAACATGCATTGCTGGCATGCATCACAGACATGCATCGCAGACATGCATTGCAGACATGCATTACTCTCTCCTTTACTACTTATCACTAACACAAGAGAAATCTCCGCAAGCAAAAGCGCAGAGCATCGTCTTCGACGCGAAAGTGCTAAATCAAGAGTGTGGATAAGCAAAATTTTGGAGAGCCACTGGTTGTGGTGACATTTTTCTAGCTTTCCAGTTTCTTCTCATCACTTCAAAAGAAAGGTGGCGATATTTGCAATATCTTCTACCCTCAACCAATGAGAAAACTGAGATTAATTCATCTTTATATGTTATTATGTCCACAAAACCATAGATTCTATCTTTAAGGTCGTTATTGTTGTGTTGTTCACCCCACTCAACTCAAGTTTCCGAGTGCTTAATCTTACTGTATAGCCCTGTATGAGCATTCCTTGTAAGATAAGTATTGTCACGTGACACGGAAGTGTCGGCGGTCTCTTTGCAATCGAGGCAAAGTGGAGTGCAGTTAATATCTAATATTATCGGCCATTTTATGGCCAGCCTGCTAAAATATATGTTCAACGCAGTACTTACCGAATTTTTAATGATCTCTAAGGACGCCTTTGTGGCGCTCAAAGTAAAATTATGTGAGGAAAAATTTAGAAAGAAAAGTGAATTCCTTATTCAACAAACGATTTTTTTAGACGTAGCGTGTGTAGACAGTTAAAGAATTTTGTAGCAATCACTCAACTGATCACAATTTTCACGAAAGGTTGTTCCCCTTTCTTCTACAGGCTGATTTCTTTCTTCATTCAATAGATTGTCAAAAACAGTCCCAGATTGCATTCACTTCGATGAGCATTAGAATGGTAACATGGATTTAAAAAAGTCCCTATTTGTGAAAATATTTACTGAGGCGTGGGCTGAAACAGAAAGTCTTAAAGTGTTTTCTTCATTAACCATTCATGTCCTGTTACGCACTCCGAGTCACTTCCTTAATTATTTCTCCGCGGGTTTTTCCTTTTATCCTTTCCTCTTCCCGTTCTTGAACGAGATCTGAATAACCTTTTGGACGTGCATTTGATCTTAAACTGTGTGCAGTCGGACACGTGGGTAAATTTCTCGTTTTGGCCAACACAAATGCGAGTACAACCATCAAGGATACCACAAGATGAATTGCTGTTGGTATTCTGTCTTTTCATCTTCTTCATTTGCCTCCTGAGCAGGGAGCCCAACAAAGCCCCACCTTGTCTTCTCTTTCGAGGGCGGCCAATCGTTCGAAGGGTTGTATTCCTGTGGGATGTTTTGGGTTTCAAAGTTCCAGTGACTGTGGAGGATGAATTTTTGGTGGCTGATGAAGATAAACAAAAAAATTAGTGTAAAATGGGTCAATTTATTCCAAGGCAATGCCTTGATATGACTAACAACATATTTAAAAATTTCTGTGGCATCTTGAGAACGTGTCGGTCACGATGTTTAATTTCATTTTCTCCGTCAAATTTCAGTTAGAGCGCGGGTCTAATAATCTGATTCTTTTTTGAAGACGTAGAAAAAACATCTTCAAAAAACATTGAAACATTAATGAAGTTGTATCTTTGTGTTTAACTAAACATTAATCAAAATATAACACGAGTTTTTTCGAAAAAAAGAAGGAAGATGTGAAAAATGATGTCGTAACCTATAGCTATTCATAAGTTATAAAACATTTCAACTCCCACCCCCTCCCCCACCATTTGCCTCATTCCGTGAATCAGCTGACACATTCTAGCATGACTTAATGACAAATCAAGAGAGGATTAACGTCAGAGACCCATTTAGTAGAGGTGTTCCTAAGAGACTAGAGAGTTTGATTCTGAAAAAAACTTAAGGACGATTATGTTATAGATGTCTGGACTCTTTCTCTGAGACTTATCCTATCACGCTGAATTTAATACAACACTTACTCCCATTTTTCCCAGTTCCTCCCTCCTCGACAGTATCCCCAGGTATGAAGCGATATACATTGGCGCCATGGCAAAGGCTGCTCACGGCCTCGTCCCAGGTGTTGTCCGTGTGAGGCTTGACATGGGCATTGTTACGACGAGTCTGCTGAAAACGGAACAGACTATATTCAACAAAAGCTTTGATAATGAGAGGAGCAGGTGGAGTTACATAGCGAGTGTGTGTGTTTATACCTCAACATAGAAGACCATTTTTATTAGTACTAGTTTTGGCATTCCAAACAGTTTAGACAATAAATCACCCGCCTTTGACACGAAGTGGGAATCTAAAGGAGAAGTATACCCAAGATATATTAGTAAAAGAAAAAAACTTGTCATCGAGTAGAATCTCTCCTTCGCAAGCCCCAAGGACCTCAAACAATTTTTCTTGGTAAATCTACTTGTCAAGTCATCTACTCAAGCAAAAGTCTATCTTTTTTGTCTTTTCAAGTCCATGTAAAATACTTTTGTCCAGAACCAACGCGGCAATTGTTGGGGAAAATCTCAACTTGTTTTTATTTACAATACCAAGGGAAATTTGTAGGTCACATAAAAAAATAGGCTAAAACATGTCTTAATCATGGTCTTCGCATTCGCTCACGATTTGCTTCTTTTTTTTGGAGGAGGGGGGGTGGGGGGGGGAGGGCGCTCATGACTCTATTCCGGTACACATTTGTTCCTAGACAGCTGTAGGCGGATGAAAACAAATTGAGCTCGATTTTGCAGAATTATGAATTGTCCAAAGCTGCAAATCAAAGATCGATTCAATTCGTCGTCGACTTCCGCAAAGGTTTTCACCTTGTTGGGGACTAGACGTAATTTAAGTTAAGATTTCTGGCATTAAAAACTCCAAGGTCGGAGGCATTTCGCAATTTTTTTTTCGTCTCAGTGTAGTAAAGATATTTTGGGAAATTCTTAAATGATTGAGTTCGCTACTATGTAAAAATAGTACTTCCCCGAAAGTTTAAGTAAAGATTTATCACGCTCACAACACAAAATTGGCCTCGCAAAATATTCAATCTCCTAGTCTTTTCACAGATCGCTCAATAAGGATTGCACATGGCAAAGTTGTCTTTTGTAAGAAAATTCTAGGGGGTTTGTGCCTAAGCATTGGCACAAACCGATAACGAACAAGAAGGACATAATTTTAAGATATTGTAAGGAGGTATGATTGTGCCAGCGAATTACGCAAAGGAAATGGTGGGTAATTTGAGTAAGGATCTGCATTTGACGTAAAGGACGTCGAGCCCCGCACGTATCAAACGCCCCGCTGACCCTAAATGTCAAGTGGAGAGCAACAATCTAAGATAACTCAAAGCGAGCAGCATTTCATTTAAGTGTACTTGAAAGATTTGAGACCTCACCAAAGGTCTCTGTTTTGACCTTGGAATGTTGGACATGGGTATTTTCAAGAGACTTAAACGTGGAAAAGTGTATCAAGTACCATTTCTTTTGTGAACTTAAGTAGGTTATCATAAAGTAATCTTAAGCTCAGATGTAAAAGCACTCCATGGAGTCAGTGAGCACAAAACTTGTGTTAAACGTCATAAGAAAATGCAGATGTAATGTCAATCTTACCCAAAATCTAAAAAAGTAATTTTTCTTTCCCATCTTCCTGTTTGTCTTCATCTGTCTGTCTGTCTACACCAAAGAAGTCACATACTCACTATAACATGATAATTTAAAACCACTTACCGCATAGCTTTCCCTCACAGGCTCAATTCGTCGCTTAGTCTAGAAAATAAAGAAGAAGAAATCTGTTTATTGTGCTTCTCCTGAACTCGGGGACACCTGGGCAAAAAAATTGTGTAAGCCCTGCACGCACTTTGTCGATGCTATTTCTTTGAAGTGTCACTATCACATGGTTTTCTGTCCATTTTGTCTTTTCAACAACCACCAGCCCAGTGAAAACTAAATGCAACTTTTAATTCTTCCTTTGCGTTCTCCAACAACCCACAAATCTGATAGGTGGGATTTGGACATGTTCTTTTGCTTCAAAAACTGACCAAATAAAAGCTACCATGAAAGAAAAGAGATGTCTCCAATGGCTATCCTCAATTGTTAAAATGGGTATTTCCTCCAAATTAATACTTTCATTTGATCAGTCAACAAGGGCGGGAAAGTATATGCGGTATTCTTGGTATGGTAAAAAAGATACTCACATGTATCTAATGTAAGGACTGTATTGATCACCGGAAGCAGTAAAAATTCTAAAGTACTTTCAACTGATTTTATCCTTGGGTATTTCTAGCATCAAAAAATACGTTTTTCCAACCAGTTACGGTCAGGATATTTTCTGTAGTAGCGGTTTGTAATAAGCTTAACTTTCAGACAAAATAATGCCGCCTTTTTGCTGTAAATTGAATTAATACGAGTAATCCATCCTCAAAATCCCCTAATATCCTTTAATGAAACGCTTATGACAAGCACGAAAAAAACGCTGAAAATGATGAGGATATGAAAATACAAGACCATAGATCCAAGGAGACATTGGCTTAAATTGGAAAAAGTTCTATTTTATCTTATTTTTTTTTCACAGTAAACCTTGCCAAAAATAGTTTTTTTTCTTAAGTCGGCTGTTTTCGGATCACTTTAACTGGATTACGGTATCCTCCAAACTTAATAGACTTGGAAGACTGTCAAGATGTTTTTTTTTTAAGAGAATTAGGAACGCTGAACTTTGATCTCACAAGACCTCCACTCTCTAGTTCTAAAGTGGAATAATGTTCTTTTCTTTTTCCTCTTTTTCTTCTTCCCGAGCGTCCTCAAACTGGCATGCGGTTCAACACGTAATTCCAAACTAAATTTCCGGCTAAAATAACTCTGAGAGCATCAAAAGGCACGGTTCCGTTTAGTGATCAAAGCGTGCGCTACTCACGTCAGCATAAAAAAGGAAGTTGTTTTGAGAAGCTGCTTATCACTTACTGTACAAACGATCTATCACGACCAAAGAAACAATTGGGGTACATTGTGGTTCCAGTTTGACCCAATGAAACTTTTATCTTCTGCCAAACTATGGAAGACAAAAAGTACCAGCTTATATACTTGCTTTTGAGATAATTTGTAATCGGTCAATCAAAGAAAAATCGGTTGTTTTTGGTCAAGAACTTATTTGAAACCAAGACGGCTAACGCGATATGATTTCGACCGAACACGCCATGACAGTCTTAACAGCTGTCATTAACCGATTCACAGATAAGGCGATTGCACGAGGAAATAGGAACTCACTCCGAGAAATTTCGGTGCACTAACACCACAGACAACCATAAAAATTTGTGAAATGATTTTGAGAATATCTCCTAAAACAGCAGTCGATTCCATTAGAACACGAGCAATCGTAAAAGAGTCAATTAACTGAGACATCTAACCCATCTTTGACAAGGCCACGTCAAGACAACCATTTATCGATCTGTCAACGCAATCCGCAAGTTAATTAAGTTCTCAGTTGGGCGCTTTAAAAGTTGTCGAAAAATCACCATTATAAAAGTACTTTGTCTGCACTTTCTTTAGAGAGTACGTATCTATGTACTGTAGCACTAAATTCACCTAATAATAGCTTATGACAAGGAATGTAGTGAGGCAGTAATTATAGGTCAACATGTCAAGAACGAAGGAATCTGTATAACTTTCCAAACGACAAGTTGATCCCATTATAAATCATTTCTCGGCATCAACTTATTTTCCCATGAACGCGATCGAGAGTTTTCGTCCTGACCTTAACTATAAGGAAACATCTTGGTGTGTAGAAAGAACAAAATAAATTAATTGTTACCTGGAAAGTTCTTTGATGATTTACGAGACCTGTAAAAAATATTCACAGCCCCATCTTTCATGTCTAAACTCAGATGTTTTATTCCACGTGACTTTCAAATGAAAGAACATTGTATATAGTTTAAATTGTCCCCTTTTTTTTCCTTGTTTTGGCTGCCGATGTCGATAAACCTTTCAGCTGTGTAACGTGCTGTCAAAAGTGTTCTGGATCTTTTGCCATTCGAGACATCATTATCAAAGAATCTCCATTAGTTGGGCTGAATCATTTTCTCGTATACAGGAAACTTTAACTTATGGATAAAATCAGTTTTTGTGGTTTCAGCAGAAATGAGCCATTTCCCCGAGTCTCGCAGAATTTCATGGAGGATCGACAAACAAATCTCCTTACTCGTCTGAAAATGAGTTTAAAAAGATCCTAGAAATGGCGTCCTCTTATGTTTGCCTACGCTGCAACTTTCTCCAAAGCCTATACTTATCAAAAATACAATAAACATTTTGTACAACATGGGAAGATGGACCTTCATTACGTGTCATAGTTCCGGCAGCTACGCAAGCTAGTGACCCTGAAGCTTCGTGAACCAGGAGCACAACCTATGTAACAGCAAAAACGAAAAAAAAAAAAAAAAATTTTAAGTGCAGCCACATTACCTGCAACCCATGCAAGAGTAGACTCCATACTGTACAGTCGTTCAGACTTTCTTGTTTGAGGTCGGGCGTATCCTCGACAAAACAAACTGGAATTCTTGAACATGTTTCTACCTTCAAGCATGCGAAAGCCTGCAAAAAGAAAAGACACATGCCAAACTCAAAGCTCTTTTCAGAAATGAACGTTACTAAATCTCCGCTTTATAGTGTAATCAAAACCCAGGCCGTTTTCTACAACTTTGAAGTGTAATTGTACCTTGCTAAGGTCGACAAATGCTTGGAGTTCCAAAATGTTCTTTCTTGAGTTCTGCCCCGATTTACGGCACAGCTCCTGAAGAGTGACTTGCTTATGATCGTCTTTTCTTCCTTTTGATCCTTTTCTTTTCGATTCCACGGATGAAATGAGGAATAACAACAGCAGTACGAAAGATAAAGTGACAATAGCTCGCCAGAGTGCCATATGGTACAGTTATTAAGACAGCAGGCGTTCACAAGTGGCTCGAATGGTAGGATTGTAAAGATTATGCGGTCAGGGTTCGAACGTAGTTTACAGTTTTCTCCTCAGAACCGAATGCATACGATGTGGACTGATGATATGACTGCTGTTAATTTATGTAGTTTTCTGAGCCAGCCCAGGGCACTTGTGTCAGCTCGCGATGATGACATTGTCAGATCTTCAAACGATATTAAATATCTGTTTTTCCTACGTTAATGAATATTTCCGGATTCTTGCCAAGAAAATCTTTCCTGCATAAAAACTCCAATACGAGTGTGGTACCGACAAATTTGAGTGTAGAAAGTACTTGTCCATGCTGCGTAGAAACACTAGAGCTTAAAATCGTCATCGTCACGTTTGTATCTTCTTTTGTTGGCAACATATTGCAAAGCACAACGAGCAGAGTGCTATGTCAAAAGGTTAAAAGCTCGAAAGAAGCACAAATCGTTAGCCTAACACTCTTAGCGCTGAGTCGCTGGAGATGAAAGAAGCTTGCAAACCTTTCATGAAACCTCAGTATCGTTTTTGCCGGATACAAGCACGACATCATAGCGGGAGACACGTCCGTTTTATGTGGTTTGGAAATAGTTACCGTCCTTGGCATACTTTATCTTATTTGACAAGCAGATTTCCAAATTACTGGGACAACATAGCTGACCTCAATTTTCATCGAAAGAATTATGAAATGAAAAGGACTTTACGGCATCCTTTGTGATATATTTACGAATTCCAAACGAAAGTCAAATTCTTATTTAAAAAAAATAAACAGTCACAGACAGTGTAAACACATTTCAAAATATATTTTTAGAGTTCAGCGATGATTTGACCTTAAAATATGCAACTCAATCTTTTGTTTCATAAACTTTACATTCGTTGAGATGTCTATTTACAAACACAACCCACAAATTTGATTGAAAATAGTAAATAAGCAACTTTAATGAGTGAATATTAATTTAGGATTGCATTGCAGCAGGGTCGAGAGGACTTTTACCGTTCTAGTGATCTTCAACTCGTTGTTCAGCATAAGCTACGCTCTCTCTTCATGTAGTTACAGGAAAGCATTCAAACATCACACCATTTGACCGATTATCTTCAGTATCGTGATTAATAGCTCCCTTATCATTGTAACTATGCCCCTGTCACAATGATTAAAACCAAAACAAACCACGGATTAGTGGTGTACCGTGTAGATGTATTGCAAAGTCGGGTGGTGGTTTAGAAAAGCCTCACGAACAAAAAGGAAGCGTTGGTTTGGGGAGTGTGTGTGTGTTTTTTTTATTCCAGCGGCAACTGAATGAAGTTCTGTTGATGACTTTGATACTTCGCACCTTGGTTTATTTCTTAGTATCAAACGTTTGCAGTTTGCTGCTCTCCATAAATTCCACGTTTGGGCGGTTCTATGCTGCGCTCAGGAGAGAAGACAAGTGTGGTCGCACCGTCCGATATGGAGAGATTTGTTTGCGGAAAAGGCGTGAGAGTGTGCCTGTTTAATTATGGATTATCATACTGTAAAAGCACTTAATCCTCTCTGAGATACTGGGATTAAGGAACCATTGGCGGTTTACTGAAAAGAGGAAAAACTAGGATGGCGGTAGAACATAAAATTCCTCGTATGGTTCAGAATTGAACGTACTGTTTAATTTTTCGGATCTACATTACCTTGGACTGAATACCAAACGTTCACTAAATTCCTTACAGCTTCTCAAAGATTTTGCTTCCTATACGAGTGGTTGTGGACTGAAAGCTGTTACATAATGATCTAAACTGAAATTGTTCTTCAGGAGACCAATGATGAAAAAAGTACTCAACACGTTTCAATGTGCAACATGCATTGCGAGGACCACCACACGATTTCCCTGTTCATTAGCTTTCATTCAACAGATCGTAACTTTGTCATCAAAATTATATCCTCAATGTGATAAGACCACCGCAGACATAAACTCAGCAGAACTGCCTCGAGGTTCGGCTAAATAGCTGTCATTTATTTGAACGTAAGCCAACGTTTTCAGCCTTGACCTTAAAAGATTTTTACGTTGGTGTCTTGCAGACGAAAGCGAAAATGTCATCATGTGAGTTATAAATAGATTTAGAAAGACGGTCAAGTTTATTCATCTTTCACGAACGTGGGACTGAGGAAAATCTGAGTCACGTAAAGAAAGCGAAACTCACAACCTCGTATTTCACCGCAGTCCGATTATGCTCTACTTCTCCTCGTTAATTTTTTTTTCAATTTTCTACAATAACCCATGAACGAACCACGAATACGGAGATCTTAAAAGCTGCAGAAAGATCTGCATTTAATGAGAAAGTGACCACACAAATTTTGCCAACATTCATAATGATGTACTTTTTCTTAACGGTAAATTAAGGACTGTGCTGATTGTTACATGATTAATTTGGCTCGTGAAAATATCTGTGCTATTCATCGAAAGATCTCTCTCGATTTCCTTGCTTAAGTATAGACATGTAACACGGCTAATTATAATCCGATTAATTCTGTTCGTTGTTCGGTACTCCGGTGTGTTTTTTGAATCTCTTTGCTGATCTACAGTTGGTTGTCGACCCAAGCATTTTGTATTTACACTTGGTTTTACAACCAGCGAAAGCTTCTTTTGTAGTCAACGAAACGTTGGTCTAAAAATTATGATGAAAGACTTCCTGAGGGTGTGGTTGATTTTTTTTTTTTTTGTTGTTTTCTTAGCACTTGAAGTATCTACTTTATTGCGGGAAACTTCGACCTACTTCCTTAATTAATTATAAAGACAATAACTCGCCAATTTTCAAATATATGTCTTCCCCTTGAACGTTGATTTATCTCACTTCAATATTGCATCAGACACACTTAACCTTCTCATTCAACGGAAAAGTTAGAAGTCATTTAAAACAATATTAGCAATGATTACACGAAATTCACAATGGCCATTAATTATCATTTGTGTAAGTTGAATGGTAAGTTTTTCCCCCGAAGCCCAAGGTCAAAAAATTATCCAATTTTTGTATACTTAACGCATTTTTTTCTTAATGAGGAAATATTTAATTTGATTTGTACAGGTATGTATAGTATCAGTATAGGTTACTTCACACACAACCTTGTAATCGTTTTCTCTAATTTTTCATCTATACAATCGGTTAGTGTATTCGGGCCATAAAGAAGTTTCTTTATGGTCATTTTAACCACAAAAGGACATGGGAAGCGCGAGAACTCACCTCTCTTCCGCCATGGATTAGACGCGCCCAAACTATTATTACTGATCTAAATACGGAATATTGCGGTGTCGCAAACAGTAGTGAAGGTAAAATTCAAATAACAAAACCTATGTCCAGAGTGCAGCCGGGGGAGGGGGGGTTCGGGTCCATGCGTCCTATATTATTGTAAATCAAGCAGCTTATGATGGTAAAGCAACCCGTCGTGCTTTCATAAACCACTGAGTAAAATGCTGTTATGGGAACACACTCCAATCCTGCCTAAAACCTCATTTCTGTATCAGGAATTAAACCTTTTCCGATATAAGAGAAGCGCACCCAAGCCATTGTTTGTAATCAAAACACGGAATATTATGATATTATTTACAACCAAAATAACAAGGTTCAAATAAAGAAACCTTATTCAAGGGCGTGACTTAGGAGTGGGGTACGTCATGAAGGGCCGAGTATGCCCCCAATGGCTGATAAAGAGCTGTTGCAGGCCCCCCCCCTGAATATTTTGCTTAGAAATATGTCCGTGTATGTACAGTTAGCAAACTTCTGTGGCAAGACGTATCCTGTTTAAATTTCATTAAGTCTACACGAGTTCTTTTTTATTAATCTTATTAGTTGCTCACGAAAATGCTACTCTCCACAACGAAGATGGGTAAAACATTTGAAATTTTTGCCACAACTTTTAATTTTTAGGGAGCTCTTAAGAAGCGGTTTCATGGCCTTAGAGCAAACGCTTTCAATATGTTCATGATAAATATAAAAAAAATACAAATTGAATTTCAATTCTTGTTGAGTGTTATTCTTAACCAGACTCTGGCCAGTGTATGTTAGCCACCATAATTCTCTTACAGCTATTATTGAATAATATATAGATTTAGCCAAGCCTAAGTAGTCGATCTACTCAGTTTCTGGCCAATCAGCGGGGAGCGCATATCGTTTAATTTTTCTGATGTGATCGCGAAACTTCAGGTCAAACTAGAATTTCTCAACTATCTGTCTTTCTCAGCCAGACAAAATACTTGTCAATTATCATGAAATGTCGCGAATGACATACAAAACAAACTTCAATGTTTTTTTCAACTTCGTTTTTTTTCGCTCGCTTCGGAAATGTATTCGATAGCTTTAGTTTGTTTTCCTGACCGCTCGACCCCACCCAGAGTTTAATTTTATCAACCGGCAACACCCACAAACGGAAATCGCGGAAGTAACAAAAACACCCAAAGACATATCACGGAATCTTACCATCCCTCTTGGCGGACTTTCCAAATCAACTCGACGACATAGTCAGTACAGCATTACTGTGGCTCTATTCTATCAAGGTAATAAATTACCATCATTATGGTGACAATTTAACTGTTTCTTTCATGTTTTTGGAAGCATGATACGTTGGAATAACCCCGAAGTCTAACCTCCTAAACAGAAAAGGGCGTAAGAATTTTCGCCGCTCACTAATCCTGTTTCATCCTGCATAGTTACACGAAAATGTACTTAGTTGCTTCCTAACCCAATTAGATTCGTAAGTAAAGGTTGATAATTTGGCCATGTTTCTTAAGTCTTAAGTCTGGACGATTTATAGAGGTAAATTTCTTTGTACACTTGATTTTTAGATGGACAAGCCACGACATCACTTCTCAGAAAACTTCCGTTCACATGAGGTATACTTCAGAATCTCATTTGATCAGTAAGAAAAAAAAAACTTACAGTGAATGAATAAACCAAGTAGTTACAGCCTGGTTCAAGATGAAGAACACTGACACAGATTACATAAATTACATAAATTGAGGTCAATGTGTTTCATGAAGCAATAACTAAACAGTAATGGGGCTACCACCTTTACGGGAAGTTTGCGCCATCAGGGCAAAGCGGAATTACAGCATTTTGCTTTGTTGATATTAAACTTTTTTCTGTTTGTTGATTTATTTGTCTACTTATTTTATAGTCTGCCCTGCTCTATGACAGTCTTAGATCTTGCCATCTTACCCTGAACACTGCGTCTGCAATACAATAATATTAACGGGTTGACACGTAGCCGCGTTAAAGGTTACTGAGGATTTTATTTAACGGGGAAGCAAGGCCCTTAGACAACTTGGAAAGCAAGAATAAGACTTAAAGGTCTTTAAAACCTATAATTTATTTGATAAGGCTTTGTTTGAGGAAGTAGACCCTCCTTTGAGACTGTGACCGAAATTTAAACTTAATCACAGACGAAAACAGTCTCCATTGCAAAAACAGCACATGGTTTAAATGACATGTGTTGAAAGTTTCAAGTGAGCGAAACTCATAAAGGAAGAGAAGACATTCTGATCTGTTTTTATATGCAAAGAGCAAAAAGGTTTAGTAAATAACCAGACCTACTCACTTACTCAAACTATACAAATGTCCTTATTTTTTCAAAGAATTCGAGATGAAATTTTCTCAGGGGGCTGAAACACGCGGCTAGCTGAAATTTTCCAGAATTGCTACTAACTGTGTTGGAAGAATTCTTGGATGTAGCAAACCCGAAACGCATTTTGAGAGCTTGCACAACTGTTTCTAATTATCTCATACCACTCGTGTTACGATGAGATGGTGCAAACATTGTGTATGGAAAAGAGACTCAGTCAACATCTGGCATAACAGTTGGAAATCATGCTTAAGCAGGGCGTGAAATTAATTTTTTTCTCTGCTGGCCACTTGGCTTCTAAATTCTTCAAAGTGGTAGCCAATGCAAAAAAAAGTTGGTCGCCATTTTTAAAGACAATCCAAACCTTTTTTACGCAGTCATCTTTCTAGAAATTAAGTTAGGGAAAAGATCTTTAATGTGCTACAAAGTGGACACTAGAATGCATGATATGGAACGTTCAAGCTCACCTAAATCCAAGATGGCGTTTAGTTATCGATCGAGATGCATGTGCTGCGTCTTGTAAACAAACTTAACGGGGGAGTTTGCCGCGGATTTATCTTTGCAAAGTTTTTTAATTCACTATTTCTCTGGGTAACGTTATGATGAAACATTCTAGTCGCCAATTTAGCGACTAATTTTCAGGATTTGGTCGCCAAAGTGAAAAATTTAGTCGCATTGGCGCCTGTATTAGGCGCAATTTCACGCCCTGAATATAAGATTGTGAAGTTTGGTTTGAGCCCTGAATGAACTTGGGTGACTTAAGTCCATTCAAACAAAGTCTCTCCCCAACTTTCTGCTTTTACTATATTTCCATTCTTTTAGTTTTGTTCTCAGGAAAATTAAAAAAGAATCATTTTTACCAAGGGAGGCACGTTGGGTTAATGCTTATAGGGTCATTTTGTCACTTTCTTAGGCTGGACACTTTTCTCTCACCATGCCTCTCTCCATCCACGAGTATACATGGGCACTGGTGTTCTTTCAAGAAAACTTGATGAACTGCCTGAGGGACTGGGGTGGAGGTCATCTTTTTGGATTGGTGGAGAGACTGGGGTGAAGGTTATCAGCAAAGGACTGGTGGAGAGACTGGGGTGGAGTTTATCTCCAATGGACTAGCAACACATACTTATTCACCCCATGCTACAGGAAGTTGAGTCCACAACTTTGCAACTGTTTACTTTTTAAAATAATTCATAAAACAAGTTTATGACTAATTCAAAGTTCAGAACTAGGATACTAACTACTGAGATACTAATTGAAATCTAAAAACAAAGTGCAAGTATATATTTATGTATTGGGTCCTGTAGCAAGTGCTAAAACATGTTTCATATTGAATAAATATCAATTGAAAAGGCAACTGCATATTTTTTGTGAAGTTAAAGTAGAAATCAAAAGAATTAAAGAGATTTATGGTTATGAACCATAAGAGGTATTTTTTGCCATGACATTTCTAACAAATGAAGCAACACGAGGTAGAAAAACAAATGAAACAAAGAGTTTGTTTTGAAATGCAGTCATGCCAAAAACAAAGTCATGTCATTTGCTGCACTGATTGTAAAGTAAGACTGAATATTTTTTCCAAAGATTCTGATTATCAAAATCAAGACATGTGGCTTGTCAAAGCCTGTAAAAGAAGAGGGAAACCCTGAAAAGCTTACTATTTCCAGATCCTTACATGTACATGTATCTGTGTTTAGAAAATTGATATCTTTGCAAAGCATAAAAACATTTGGATGATCTCATTAATAAAAAATTTCAAAAACACGCATACATACATAGCAAAGTCTTGTGAGACTAGTCAGAGAGCACACTCTGTTTTTTTCCCTTTCAATTCTGTTTCTTAGAACTTGAGTGAGGAGAATTATACACATCATTCATTTCCCTTAATGTCTGATACATGATCAAGGAAGGAACAAAAATCCAGATAGAATTGGCAAAGACAAAGATTGTCCAGAAGTAGAAGACCTTTTCAAAGCTGTCAAAAGAAGGGGGCCAGTCCTGAAAAGATAAGGATAAACTTTAGGGACAGGTATTACCTATTGATTTCATTTATGGCTGGAAGTCTTTACTATATATCAAGTGAACCAGATCTGCAAGATTTACTTTGAATTTGAATGGAAAGCTCAGTGTACAGAAAGGAGTTGGATTGAAAGATTGATCTCTCCAGCTGAAAAAGGTAGCCTTTTAAACCAGTGTAATTTTTTTATTTAGAGAGCCCCCCAGTGCCTTGGCAGAGGGAAAAGGTTTTGCTGCTTAGACTGGACCAGGGCAGAGGATCTTAAAGTAAATACCAGTAACTGAGAAGAATGTGTTGCCTTTTTAGTGATAACTGTTTGCAAATGATTAAGTACTCACAGATGATTCAAGCCTCCAAATAATAAATGCTCATCTTTTTTTGCATTAAATATTAAATGGTTTGCAACTCACAAGAGAAGGACTAGCCGCTCTCTAAGTTGTGACTTTCTTTATCATGGATGGATGAGAAATGCATAGAAAAATCAGATAATAAAGAACTTTGAATAATCTGAGGGTAAGTAGTGAAAGTGTTCACTTCTCTTCACCTAGTTTAGTTATATACAACACACTTTATTTCCTACATTCCCCAACCTAACCGCTCAGAAGACTGTTCACATAGAATGATGTATCTTACCAGTGGAACATTCTTGAAACCATCATACACTTCTGTACCAACATACATAAAAGTACCCATGAGCTGAAAGGTTGATGTGATGATTGACATAAAATGGCGCCACCAAAGGTCTTTGACAATGGCTCTATACCTGCAGAATTAAAGTGAACATTTTTAACAAGGTATTGTAGGTGAATTATTTTATCAATGGTTAGTTGCCTCCACTGTCTCCAATACAATTCTTATGAGGTTTAAGTTCAAGAATTTGGTATTGGATCAGCTAATATTTCCATGATTGATATTTGTCTTTATTCTCATCACTTTCTGCTTGATTTTGTATGGAGATTGTAAGGAGAAATTCTGTCTTAGTCACTCAAAGGAGTTAAAAGGTCGCAAATATGTAACCTTGTGGTTAGTCTGATATTATGGCTGCCTGACTTTATTGTCAATGCAAATCCAAACTGTGCAGACTTGAAAATGAAATTCATTGACTAAATTTTGCATACCATAAAATACAAAGTGGCCCCATTATGGCGATTTCTATATATGACACCATCATCACAGTTGGATCCTTAGTTTTCCAGTAACGGGCATCTAGTTTTCCATACTCGACAACCATCCACTTGGGTCCACGACCAGTGGTGCCAATGACCCTGAGCAAATGAACATCAATCAGCTCTGGTAGTTTAATAACTAGTAGTTGCAGTCTTGAAAGTTGTCTCAGATTGCTTACAAAATACTTCACATAACTCCTTTAACCACTCAGATGCAAAACTTAGTTGCAACTTCATTGTCAGCAATTTCCTGCCCTTGAGTTTGCTCACTTACTAGGAGTGCCCATAGGTTCATTTTCACTTTGAACTCCTCACTGATTGGCTGTAATGATTACTTTAGTTCCAGTCGAAGCCTGATTTCTTTGTGGGAGGGGAGGGGTAGGGTAAAATTTCCCCACAGTTTGAGGTTTTACGGCAGAGCAAAACGGAGCCAAGATAATGATCCTCAGGCGTTCTTCTCTGAAGCTCAAATCTCGTAAAGCTTTATATTTATTAAGTAAATAATTTAAAGTTACTGAATTTGCACAACTTTCGTCAAGGATAAGATCACGATCGAACATAACATTCATTTCGCTCTGACTAAGGGCTTACGCTCGAAACGTCAGCTTTGAAAACTCTTTATGTCGCCAAGTTACGTTATCAACTCAGTTGATAATACTAAATTACCCTGTTATACTCTCCCACCGACGCAGCACCACAGTTTCTATAGAAACTTACCCCCTTTATTCAGTTGTTAAGTCAAGGTCCATAACTATCTCGTATTTCCTTCCTTGTAAACTCGTGAACAGCAAGTCCAATAGACTTATTTTCTTTTTCAGACACTTAGCTAGCAAATTACTCAAATAAAGTTGTTCTCTTACCCATCCATCCAACAGTGAATTATGCAGCCATTGAACAGAGCCCACCATGCAAGAGTCGTATGTTTACCTCGAGGAAAGCCAGTCCAAAGGAAACATAGCAACAACAGCACCACTGGAATCACATTCACAGGATCTTCAATGTCTTCTACAAAATATTTGGCTGTTTCTAAAACATTTGATGAATTGAAATCCATCTTTCAAACTCTGACGAACACAAAGAAAGCCCGCCAAGATTTTCTTTGACTGAACCGAGTCTGCGCGTTTTTAATCTGGCGTGACCGGATCGCGTGACTCCGGCGAGAAACTGACAAAACTCACCTTCGAAGCCTTGACTACCAAGCAGACACACGTTAAGAGAAATGCAAATCACTAAATTACCCTTAAATTGCTTTATTACAAAGTATCAAACGAGGTGTACCTTATTTCTTTATAAATGTAAGAAGCGAAATATGGACTGTTAAGTCGAGTTTTTCATCGCGCAAAACTACAGTCCTACTACATCTCGGGGCGGCTCGAAGGAGGCAACGGAAGGTGTAATAACCCGTGCAGGAACAAGAATGGCCCACAGGCAAACCATGACATAACTCCTTAACATTTATTTCAGGTTCGCTCAGGAATAATTTCAACAAGACCATGACAAGGCAATATCGCTTCTCTTTCAACGACTCGAACACAATAATCATTAGCAGAACTTTAATTTCACTTTGATGATCAGTTCAGTACAGTACGTCGAAGCGAAACAAACTGAGTTTATTCCACAAAAAATATTCAGACTCATCTCACCCGGACCATCACTTTACTCGATCAATTTTCGGTCCTGGGTTAAACCAATATTAACTTCATTATTTATTTTTTTAAGGGGGGGGGGAGGAGTACGCAGGCGGGGGGTGAAAGGTCGTTGGGAACGGATTACAAAATCTTTAACATGTCTGAAACTGTCTTTTATCTGAAGGAAAATATCACAAGTTCAGAAAAAGATCCAAACAAAACCTATCAATCCTTTCACTAAACTTACAAATTGTAAAAACTTTAAATTAAAACTAGTTCACAAGACATGTATACAAGCAGGGACGTACTTATACAGAAAACCTCCGACCAGCTATGCAAATATTGGGTTTTGATGACCACAAATAAAATTATACGAATTTCGAATAATTTCCCGTGTACCCGCCCACAGATAATTTCATTTTCAAGTGCGCTTCATGACCATGCTTGTACACATCTCACTACATTGATTCATTGTTTCTTGGCTAAATTCTTTGCGCTAACCTATTCACAACTGACACTGATGTTACAAATAAACAAATACAGGATTGACTAAAACTTGCTCAGTCATTTATAATACTTCCTTGTTTGTTTTTATTTACAGCGAATTACACAAACAAACGTACCTAGGTCACTTTAAATCTGCCACAAGGTGGCAGATCGTGAAAGGTATCTTCTCCCCCGAATAAAATGCAGATACTTTGATAATAAAAAGACAACAAGGCCATTATGTAGCCGTCTTTAGCGAACTAATTGGATCAACAAAGAATATGTCATATCACCATATGATTACGCAACAAAATTTCAGGTTTTATCAGTTTTCTTCGAGGTTTTCTCAGTTATTTTTGGCGACTTACGGATAATGCGTTTTGCGAGTCAATTGTTGTAAGAACTGCTGGGAAACCTTTAAGTCTTCATAAAAAATTGCCCAGAAATAAAGAAGAAAGTAAGAACGCGTAAACAAAGAGGCAATCTCGAGCAGGCAAGATCGACACATTCCACCCGATCAGCCTAACAGAACAAACTTTCCTTCACCTCGTCAACTACCGGAGTCATCAGAGCCACCCATGTTAAGATTATCGACTGTTGAATTATAATACCTAAGGGGCCCATAAACAAGCTCTCTCATTGACCAATACTTCATATTAAATCTAAAGCTTAAAGCCTAAGTCTCAAAAATATTGTTCATTCAGTCTTACTTTGCTAATATTACCCAGCAAGACGTTTACTACCGCAACCCGAACAATCGTCAAACACGTCATCTGTATCCAACCCAAACGATCAGAAAAAAGCACGAATTTTGACAGCTGTCAATTCGTCGCTATGGAGACTCGTCGCATTACCTTAAATATCAGCTGGCAAAGATTCCCGTAGACTCTTTTTTTCTCGACAACAGAATGTTTGATAATGACTTTCACTCAGGACCTTGAATCTACAGTAACCGTCACCACAAGCAGTCTTTTCCAGGAATACACTCCACCGATTACACCACGTGAAGGACTGTGTCGGTTTTTAGGTCCAAATTATTATTTTCGCAGCCGTTTTCGCTATTGTCACGTAAAACAAGTCATCATCTTGATAAAACTGACGATCGCAAACTTTTTTAATATCCATTCTAAATACACAAGTATCACACAGTCTTCTGGGTACTTTTGACTTCACTACTAAACTGTCGATACCAGTCTACTCGGAGAGGTCGCACCAGACCGCAAAGATTCGTATTTGTAAAGTCTGCAATATTTCCGAGAGGACCGCGACTGAAAAACAATTTAAATCGTTACGTACAGTTTTGAAAAGAAATCATGTTAAAATACTTAAAAAAAATCATTCCATGGTTTGATATAAATACACTAGGACAACGAGAGAAATGAACAAGATGTCCACGTGAATTTTCTATGACCATCGAAAGAGGGATTCACTATTCCACTAGACAAGAAAACTTGAGATACGCTTTGAGATACACAGATAGCCAATTAAATGGTCAAACTTTTAACTCATGGCTGAAAAAGATCAGTGCTGAAGTCGCCTTTTTCAAGAATTTCTCTTCCTTAACCTGATCGTAATTCTTGGGTAAATAACGACTCATTTCTGAAACTAATAGACCCACCAGCAAAGCAATAGTAGATAACAGACTGCGATTAATTTACCTGAACGGGCTCTGAGGCATTCCTTTGTCATCGCTAAAGTGGGCATACCTTGACATGTTCAAGCGTTCATTGGTCGTCATTGCCAACCAGAAGATCTTTGAAACAAAATTTCTCAGTTTTAACTTCAAATTGAAATATCCAAATTTACTAATTTGCAATTAGTCCATCTTTAACCGTCTTAATTTCAGACAAGCCATGATGATGTTTCCCAAGGTCTAAGAGGGACCTTGGGAACGAGGTTGTTGTATCTTCACTTTCTCCGAGCAATCCCACGACATGCGCAGATCCATTTCAAGTCCAACAATGGAAGAGATCTCTGTACGCTGGTGAAATGGTTGGAATCGTACCGAGTCCAGACTCCTTAACAATTCCATAGCTTTGTAATTTTCACCCTTCACCGACAACTAAAATCTCACAACCTACCATCTCCTTTATTCAGCTAAGATCTCTTCACGCTTTAATCCACAGATTTGACCCACACTTTGAATCACATATTAAGGTCAAGGAAATAAAGAAAATGATCACCAGCTTAAGAAGCTCTTGATTGTTAAACAAATTCTCCCTGTCTCCGCCTTAAGAAATGTGTAGAGAACAGTATGCAGAATATGCATGATGATGTTAGGGTGTAAAGGGTTAATAACGTAAAAGAAATGTGCTGACATTAAGAGTCAGTCATACCTGGTAACATTGACAGAAAAACAAAGCGCCCACCCACATCACGTGGAACAGGGCGTTGGCATAACCCCACGTGATCCAAGGGGCACAACGCGTGCTGTGAGCGATGGTTTTCCAGATCCCATCAGGGTAGGGACCACAAGCTGTAACATAATCTGAAAAAAAAACACAACACCAACAATAATTTCTAGTTGAAAAAAGATGGCACACTATTTTTAAACGCTGAAGGTTGGAAAAAGGCGAACAGGGAATCAATCCTTGAGGGTTTTAATGTAACTAAATGATTAAATACTTACAAACGGTTCCTCCATAGATGTACCAGAGAATCATACCAAACAGGAAACACAGGTATCCAAAAAAGTACAGATGGTTACCAACACCTGTTTAAAACCGAAAAAAAGAAAACAAGACTGTTAAGACCAACCTGAAGTTGCCTATTTGATTTTGTTCGTTGCACTAACATTTTTCTCATTTTTTTAATATTTTAAACTCAAGTCATAAAGTAATCTTTAAAACATGTACCTACCAACACAATTCTCTACCCAGGGGCAGTGATGATCAAACTTGGCTACACAGCGTTCACAAACGGAACAATGTTTTGATCGGACAGGTTTTCGTAACTGTAAAAGTAACAACATAGTCCGTTAAGTAACGAGTGGCACTTCTCAAATATGAAGTGTTTTTAGCATGTGCAATTTTGAGCATGCTCGTGCAATATCAATTGTTAATAACACTAACTTCTAACATTTTCTGTAATTTTTGCGTATGTCCGCTGTCTCCTCGTTCCAATCGCCCAAGGGGCAACCAGGCGAAAGAGACGTCATCCCTGGGGCTTGAGACGAGGAGACAGCTTACAATCCAGGCTACAGTTCTGCCAAAAGAAACGAACGTTGTGACATCTTACAACTTACAAGACAAGTCGAACAAAACTTTGTAAAGTCGAACGAATTCTTTTCCACGAGTTCTATAATGGTCTAAGGAGGTAAACAGACGACAACAATTAATTATATAAAACAATTTTAAAAGGCTCACAATTGCTAGAGTAGCTCGATGAAATTGTCTGCTAAAAACTTCTTCCGCTGTTTGGTGCAGCGGAATAAAGGTTGCTATCCATTTAGCAATACCATTATCACTACGTTCTGCTCTTGCGATCACGATGTGGTTTTCGTCGCAATGGTGTTCGAGTGGAAAAAGACTGACTATTTAAACTTTAAATTCTAGGTAACCGACGGTGGAATGGCGCGGAGTGTTTATGTTCAAAACATTTTTTGAAAATAATTTCAAGAATGCATGCATTCCATGAAGTATTCTTCAGACCAAAAGAAAAGAGGTTTGCTATATTCTCTCAAAGGGCAGTCACTTGCCAAGCCTTCTGCGGTTACAAGGATAAACTTCAAGGTTCAGTAGACGCAGCATTCCTCTCATTTCTCTGTATCGCTAATCTTACAAGTCTTTTGTGTCTTTTTATCTCTATCGCTTTCGAAGTTGGTAGGCCTAAAATCACACCTATGTTTTCCTACCTGTCGTTGTTCAGATGTGGTTGTGCTGATATACCCTGGATCTGCCTTCCACGACTTGTAGAAACAGTAATACAAACCAACGGTGTTGACGAAGAATAATGCCAAGATAAACGGGCTATTAACATGTATTAAAAGTTAAGGAAAATGTCCCATATATTCATAAATAAAGATTACGCAATTGTTGGTATATAACAATACATAAAGCCAAATGGATTTAAAAGATAGCGGTACAATGTAATCATTTGTGATGATGTTTACTGAGAGCGATCTAATCAAGTGTCGAAAGCATTCCAAGATGGCATTGGCCCAACTTTACAACGTCCTGTGACTGGTCGTAAAAAAACGCACCATACTCTTAACCAATCAGATGCAAAACTCTAACCACTGGTGACTCTGTTATGTGCGTTTTCTTGCGCTTGGAGCCGATTACGTGTATTATCCTTTGCTCTGATTAGCCTTTGCGCTAACTCTATTTGTGGTTTTACGAAAATCAACTGAAAAACGCTCTCAATCCCATTTTATTTCTGCTTTAAATGGTTTAAGCATGTCATGTAATTGGTTTTAGAGAGTTGTGATTGGTTAGGAATTTGCGCCAACAAGCACTTTGCTCATTGACCCTACCTTTGTAACATCTGTTTTCAGAGGTTAATCGTGTTTGATTGTTGTTTGTATCATGTTTTTACCGAATATATACTCATTAAATTGTTTACAATATATCATTAGTCAAAAGGTTGCCTTAGGTACTTTAGAGACTATTTCTCACAGTTAATCAAGCACTTAGAAGCTGTTCTTTTATCTTAAAGAACTCACTTCAAGTGTTTCTTGTAGAAGTTTTTGTTGTTTCATTAAGTTTAATCAAATGTTTCAGTTATCAGTTTTTAATCGAAACTTTTCTAATATCCTAAATGTTTAACCAGTTAGTTCATTCCAGGTTACCCGCCAGCATCTTAGTTGATTTCCCTAGTTCGCTGGTATCCATTCCTTCTCCTGGGTGTATGGAAACGCTGTGAAAACGATATTTTTCTGATATCATTTCCGTCGACAACTCTTCAGATTCTGTTGGAACGATTCTTCAACTTTCCGACACCCGGTCCACAGAAAATGGATCACAGGCAATACAACCATCTTTATCAATCAGCTTGACTTAAAATGGCTCCACCGCTCCCTTACTCAGTTGCTTTGCCGAAAAAAAAAAAAAGGAACGAGTCTACGCTTCCGGTAAACAGAATTCGGTCAAAAGGATATAGGGCCAGAAAAACACAAACCATGTGGTATACATGAAGATTTTAGTGGCTAGGTAGACACCCAGGGGTATACGACTTGAAAGGGTGCCCCCCTGGAAAATTCTGTAAACAGAAAATTAGGTTAGCTCAGATGTCGAAAGTAATCTGGGATTGCTATGAATTCCATTTACTTCTCTCTGTGATTGTTCAAGAAATATCGTGCCACCCCTCGACTCAACCAATCAGATGCCAACTCTGGCCAAATCGCAACTTGTTCACACGCTTTCATTGTCTTTTTGTAATATCTTTCCTATCTCTTCTAACTGGCAATTAAACTTTTGTTTTAGTTAAACTTTTGTTTTAGTTAAAAAAAAAAAAAGGGCGGAAAGCGCTGTGATCCGCAAACCGAGACGTTGCTACCACTGACAACAACTGCAACCGAAAATTTCAAGCTGGAAATTCAGGCAACCGTGAAATAAAGACCGACAACAAAAGACGGAGATCAATTTCAGCTCTTGTGATCGTGCAACGTGTCATTAAATTACTGTGCGTATTACCTATGCTTATTCGTTAGCTTTATCTACAACAGAATTAACGATGTTAATTGTTATGACTTCAAGGATTAAAGCACTGGCTGAAACAAATTAATTTCGAACTTCTGATTCGCTAATCGTGAACAATCTTGAATTTCGTTTTGTGTTGAAAGAATATGTTTATGAAAATTTTCAACCCCTTTTTTACATCATGATGGATAAAAATGGATAGTTAAAATCATTTCTTTGGTTTGGTCAGTTTGATAAGGCATACGTGGGTAGCGAATGTAAAAATCTAGGGTTGTCTTAGATTGCTTATAGGATAGGTTCCAATCGCTTACTTTCAAGAAAATTAAACCTTTGATAGCCATTCTGGTGCAAATTAAATTGTTTAAAATTATGCAGTTTGCTTTTCTGATTTTACATGTTTTCTAAAATTGAAGAACACAATGCCTTTTCTTTACACCTCAAAAACAATAGAATTTAGTATCTCTTATGTGGTTGTTCGTTTTAAAAAGCACATAAATTAAGTGGGCAACAGTGGTTCTGCACTGTGTAGCTGCTTAAACATTTTACACACTATACCAGAACTTTTAGCAATTAGTTTTGAAAAAAACAAGCATTTCCCAGAAAGGATGAAGTCATCGACAAAAAGCCAAAAATAATTAATTGTGCAGTTAATAAATCTAAAGCAATGTTGGAAAGGATATAATACAAATACACAGTTAAAATGTTGTAGTAAAGATAAGCTTTGGTGGCCAGTGTCCAGCCGAATACAACAGCACTACCAGCAGAATAGACTAAAGTGAACCAACTGTGAGTAAAAGGTAGTAATAAAATAAAGTATTAGCAAAAACAAGTGCATCACTGCTATGCCTGAAACGGTTCTAAAACAATGTATTTAGATTACTTAGTACTAACTTCAATGGTTCAAACCAAGTTTACAGAATAAAATCCAAAAAACTGGTTTAAAGTTGATCAGCTGAGTTGTTGGCTTCTAAAGTAACAGTTGTGTCATGTTGGGTACAAATGAAAGCCTTGGTTGATTATCAAATTCATGTTGACAAAAAAGGGTGAATTTCTGTAGCAAGTTATGAAAAACTGAAACCCCAAGTATTTGGCAATTATTGCAGTTACTGTCAGTAGTAATAAAAATTTGCTGAGGCAGTTTATCTTCCTTCATTGACTCCCATTTGAAAATTATCTAGAAGGTGATTCATATAAAAGTTAGCTAAATTGAGGTAGCAAACTTGCTGTATATCAGATCCATGCTCAGTGGTCATGTTCCATGACAAGCAGCAAGAGTTCTCAAGACATCAGGTGGGACAAGAAGCACCTTTCCAGCAATCCTTGTCACCACAATTCACACCCAAACTGCATATTACAGGATAATCAAAGAAAGAGTCAGCTTCACTGTATATATTAAAGAACAAATCTAACAGTACTTACTGCATTGTATAGTACGCTGTCAATCCTACAGCTAAAAAGAGTGGCAGAGAAATAAACCATGCCGATGAATACTCTAAAATCGCACCAATTGAGAAGATGGTAAAGAATGGCAGTCCTATTTGAACATAGCGTTGAACAGCCTGAGAAGAAATTTCAGCAAATACCAGGTTAGCTTTGATCAGTATTTTCAGTTTTATGCAGCCTAAGTCACTGAATAAACTAAGCCCTTTATGCCATAGCTTTCTAAGAGAAATAATAATTATTGTTTCTCTTTTGAAAAAAAAATTGAGAAAATTTTCAAGAGAGCCTACTCATTTTACAGTCACATATTTGTCCAAACAGTCAGCTGTTACTAATTGCAAGATTGGAGGTAAGCATTATTAACTGTACCACACCCACCTTGTCTCTGGTCAAAGATTGTAAAAATACTGGTTTTCCTTCTCCTTTGTCTTTTTGCATCAAATCCATTTGAACCAAAATCCACTTGCTTTTCTTCTGTTTTGCCAAGTCATATGGAGACTGACCCTGTCAATGTGTTTGTTAAAAAAAAAATTATAATCAAAACACGTAACAAGAACATCACAAACAAAAGTCATATGAACTCATCCATGTGCAATTTTTGGAAGCAGCACAACATAGCCACAGTTGTGCAATACCAAAGCTGTGAGAAAGGACTCAATACAGGTATTGCATGTCCAGCTGATATTACAGGAATAAGTCTGGTTCAGCTATGATTTTATTCATGTCAAAAGAATACCAGTTAATTCTCATTTTTACAGTAATGAATGTGACTAAAAAAGGAAGAACAAAGGCTGTCCACCAAGTTGAAAGTTAGAACTTTTAGAGCATTAGACAGACTGTGTACCTCAGCATTCAAAGCATCCATGCTGGCACCAGCTTTAAGAAGTGTTCGTATCACATTGTGGTTGTTAGACATCACTGCCCAGTGTAAAGCTGAGAATATAAAATGATTGTCACTAGGTTTAGGTCATGCTGGTTGCTAATTTTCTGCAAAAGTTGCCATTTTTTAAGAGGACAATTGAAATTCCCTCAATTCTTAGGAGTCACATCGGCTAGGATAGAATAATTTGAATGTGTCATGTACTCAAACCCATGGTACTGTTCCTTTAGTTGGTTCAACTGAAATCCTAGATAATTACATCTATCAAGTCTGGATAACCTTGCCTATTAACTGACTACTGTAGGGTGAAAAAGTCTTCAAACTGATTTGTAGATTAGTAATTGAACACAACCTGAACCCAATTTTTTAGCTAAATTGCCAAAGCACTGTAAAAACTCATTGAAAATTGACTTTTGTTAAATATCGAGGAATTGATGATGGTTTAAAAGAAAGGGATTAGGCCCCATTTAAAAGAACAACACAACAAACATGTTTATTACAACATGGCGGCTATCCCAGTCAGGCTGCCTTTCAATGCACATACAGATAAGACAAGTGCTGGCCAAATACATCACATTTTTTTTTACTTGAGTAACACCAGCACCTGTATTTTTATGAAACTTGTCAGCCAGTGCTATTGAGGCATTCATTGTCAAGAGCATCCTTGTCAGCTCCAACCTAGTGAACATTGTGAAATGATAATTATTTTCTAAAAATGTAACAAATTTATAAGTCAAACAAAAAGACAAATTAGTTGTTTCTGCATGTTTACATCTTTGAACAGAGTCCTTTCTTATTCAAGCAACTCCTTAGTAAACTTTCTTTTTGTGTACATGCTTGGAAGCCTATAAAATCTAATACACATCATTCTCCAAAGGTTTGACCTCCTCCATTTCCCCTGTCTTGCTTTAAACATCCTAACTCCTCTAAATCTCAAGGAATACAGATTTAAAGTTACACTCACCCAAAGCATCTATAAGATGCCCACATCAAAGGTGACATTCCATTTCTATCCAGCAAATCAACATCCTGCAATAAAAAAATTCAATTATAAAATATATTAAATTTCTTTATGACAAAGAAATTTATGCTCACATAGAGAAAATGTTAGTTGGAAATAATAATACAAAATAATACATACCATTCCTTTAGAAATCAAATAAGCCACAACTCCCATCTGACTGTTCTGAACAGCTACATGTAAACAACTGCACCCTGTTGTGTAAACAACAACAAATGAGTATCAAAATTCATTGAGCAATTAGATTGTGAGGTCAAGAATTCTAACACATGACAGCTTATGAGGGCAAAGCCTGAATCAAGTATCACATGCAGAAATTGAGAGCAAATAATCTAACTCTTTTGGTGAAATTTTGAACTCTGTTGTTTAAAGGAGAAAGGCTCATGTTTTTACAGAATAATGAAAGGAACATTATTAGGTAAGGGATCTCAAAGATAAAAATAGTATGCGTAAGAATAGTGCTTGCATGTAATTTTATTTCTTAGTTAATTTCAAAACATGCCCATGTACCTTCTATGTCAAGTAATGATGGATCAGCTCCATGCTTCATTAGAAAGACAACCATCTCAAGGTGGCCTTGCCTGTGATAAAAAATGCAAAAACACTGTTAGGTGGTTCAGTCAAGAGACAAAGAGGTCAGAAATTTTTGCACCAATGAAGCAAGATTACCTACCTGACAGCCCAATGTAGTGGTGTGGCATGCAAAATACCACCCTTCATATCAACAATAGCTCCCTTTTTGACAAAATACCTGTTGTAAATAAATATATCATGGAGTTTTGGACAAACAAATCTTACTAAAAAACTCATAGAATACTAGTCAATTTACCAATTAATCCTTAAATCAGTAACAAGCAGGCTTCAGACTGAGACCAACTTTTAATGCTGACCTGTATTAACAACATAATGAAGATACAAATTGAAAATTGTATCAATTCATGCTTACTCAGCAATTCTTATTCTATTGTTGATTGCAGCCCAATGCAATGCCGAAACATTTTCTTTGTCAGGAGTATTTACATCTACTCCTTCCTTGTCAATCAGCTCAGCACATCTGTCAAAGATGCCATACTGTGTTGCTCGGACCAGGTCAAACTGGCTGTAGTCTGGTTGGTAATATGCTCCACCATGTTGACTGTATGGATCTTCTGGTTGAGTGGGGTATGGCTTACTTTCCATGATGGATTCCTGCACATTTGAAAAGGACATGATTAGTTAAGTATTGTAAAGAAAGTGTGGATGGAGCATTTCATTTGTGACACTTAAAAATGAACAGATCGTAGTCTCTATTTGGCGTGACAAAAAGCTTAGATAATTGTGTGCAACAACAATATGGTCTGAGAAACAACTTCTTTTCTGAGAGCAAAACTCCAGTAAAACTGTAAGCTTTGAGGGATTGATAACAAGGAAAAATCAGCAAATGTATTTTAGCCCTCTCCCTTTTTGGCTGAAACAAGGGTGGTGGCTTGAACCATGGAACATCAATTGCAACTGGCCCAAAAACAGGTGTACAAAGAACTTTGTTCTTTATAATAACACGTGAACTCCTCCTTGTTCAGAATAACCTAAACATTTTTGATAACCTCTGTAATGATTATGCCAGTAACTTTTGCTATCAGTCCACAACATGTCTTAGCCTAAATGAAGTGCACACTTCGAAATCAAGAGAAGTAAATTAAACATCATTTGAAGTAGCAGCCTAATTTACAATCTTGATGAGGTTAGTTCTTATTATAATTCCTGCTAAAAAAATTTTCACTCCTAACACCATTTATACCTCGCAAACTTTGTATAAAACGCTTTATTCAATGCCGATTTCATCAGTCGTTAAAACAAAACGATAAATTTCAAAACAAACGCTGAAATTTTAACAAGCTGTATTTAATTAGTATGGAATGATTCACTTTGCTTGGCATCACATCTGTACTGGTCAAAAACAACCTTAAGGTAATATTTTTACGAAAGTAAATCTATATAAGTTTCGATCTTCAGTTAACGGAGAAAACTTGCACAACAATTGTCTTGTGTACTTCTGATTACGACATGGCGTGATTTTGTAAAGAAGGGAGAGGTAATAACTTTGTTACAATTTGACATGCTGGGGTATCGTGTGTTGTGTCACGCCGTTCCTCCAGCAAAATGGAGATTTGACACAATCCTTCTCAACTCAGTAGACTTTAAAAGTTTATACAGAAATGACTTATGTGTATTTTATGGAAAAAGCCACCAACCGTACCTTTTTTCCTGTTTCGTCTAACCCAAGCTCACGAGAACCATGGAACCCATCCGCCATGTTGCCTGACAATTGAACTTACTCCAAATATGGCACTGTTCACCAAATTTGGGAAAATAGCGGTCGTTTTCAAAGGTCAGAAAAAACGAAACGTCTCCGATTTCGTTCGACCCCAAAGCAAAATAGAAGAATCTTTAATTCTTAGAAACATAAATCCACAAAGAAATGGAGGGTTGTAGTCTGAAATACGACGAAGAAGTGCAAAAACAACCACCGAAAGCGTCGATCAGGTAAAGGATAGAGAAACAGTTGATAAAAATTCGAAATTCTGTGGCGTTGATGTTGATCTCCATCTGAACTATGTGATATTTACTTCTTTCTCTTGCATCTCTTTGCAGATCAAATAATCCTACCTTTATGAGTCCAACAGACAACATGTTTTCACCATGTACCCGGAAGCTCGTCTCCAAACGAGGACTGCACCATCCCAGCTTGATTTCACTGTAGGTTCTGTTGTAAGCTTTTCAAAAGAGAAGGCAAACGCTGTTTCGTAAACATTTGGAAAACGTTTCCCATAATGGAACTAGCAGAGTGTATGTCCAAGAACTCTAAAAGCACCTTTAAGCTTATTTGTAAATAATAACGGACATTTTTATTGTTTCATTTAGGAGTCAACGACGACTTGGGAACGCTTTCCAGAATGAGAGCTGCAATCAAGATGGCAAGGAAAATGTACCAAACTGATCGATTTACTCATCGTAATTGGTTGTTTTCTGTGGGAAGAGTCGCGTCTGTTTTATGAATACCAAGTCTCCAGTCGATAAGATTACTTCGATCATAATTATTGTTTTATTTATGAAAGTTGATAAGAGTAAAACCTTATGGTAATGTATCCAGGCATGTTAATAATTCACAGGTCAACTAGTCAAGATGTAATTGTTTCCCTTCCATTTTTTTAAATTTCCACCAAAAGCAAAATTTTGTAACGTACCTTACACCATACGTATTTAAAAAAAAATCGATAAAAGTAACAATAAATGCCATCACTTTACAATCACTGTGGGATTATAAAAAGATACATAATGGCAATTAAAGTTGAAGTGCTAACAAACTCTTTGTGTTGTTAAGTTACAATTACCCATAGTTAAAATCTGATGGAGTTCATATTCAGTCAAGAGTATTGGCAGTTAAGCAATGCTGGCAGGTCACCTAGAAAGATTTACTCATAAACTCCATGTTATAGTTATAACCAAGAGGGGGAATGGGCCACACTGGGTTTAAGAGACAGCAGAGATGAGGACAGGAAGTGGAAAATGAAAACTCATGAACATCTGTAGATTTAATTAACATTGTTCTTCAAAAGGAAGTCACACAACAGGAGAGCAAGGCACAGGAAGCTGTGGATTCACCTCCCTTCCTCCCCTCCAGAATAAATAGGGTCTGGCAATGACAGCTGGTCATTCCAAGTGCACATGTAACTTTGTCAATTTATCATGGTGTTGTTTAAACTCCCAAGGTCTCAAAATTAGTGATTCTCCCATCTGATTACAATATGCTGTTTTTATGCCTGTTCCAAATAAATTGGTTTTACAACCAAAAATATTTTCTTGGTTCTCAGTTCTGTATATGCCTGAGTATGACAAAAATATGTAACCACCACATCAAACTCAGATCAACATTTTCAAGAAATCTGTATGAGATTGTTAACTTACAAACAGGTAAATGATTTTCAAGTGGCAGTTTATTATATTACCCTAGGGGACCACTTTCTCATTACAGTGACTGACACATTACAAAAATGTCATAATTTATGACCCATACAGAAAAAACTTCTACAACATGTGCTGTCATACTTCACAAGAGTAGCGTGTACAAAAATTGTCTCACCTACTGAGAAGACTTTTTTTGGAAGTTAATTTTGGAATACTTCTTAAAAAAAAACGAAACAAAACAAAACAAAATTATATTGACAAACTAGCAGAGCCCTTAGTACTCCCTGTAAATTAAAATACAGTACGTATCACTTCTTCTTTTGTCACCAGAAGTTAGATTTCAAAACTTGGAGAGGGTACCTCAACCTTAATTTAACATTTATGCAGATTTATTAATGGTACCCTAGAGATGTTTGCACATGTTCAACAATTTGTAGAAATTTCAAGTCTACAGTCTCAGTAAAATCAATCCAAAGCTTTTTTTTTTTTTTACCATAAAACTCAGATTGAATCAGATTATCAGCTTTCTATAATAATTCCACTCCAAAAATATTCATCATTGAAAGATTATCTACTTTCTTACATAATAATTTAATAATGACAATAATGTTATTACAGTTCTACGCATATTGGACACCAAGAACTGGTTGTTTCAAGAAAAGATGATTGATCTACAGTGCATCTAAAGATGATCAAACCTTTTACCTTTACCAAAAAAATATTGATGAAAAAAAAGCAACCTTTCAAATCGCATTTTATCATAAAGATGGCTTTATCTGGGCATAAAACAACTGAAATCTAAAGAATATCACAATAACAGGTCCGAAAAATGATAAGTTACAGGAAGGAATCTGAAAATATCCAGCTATTGCTTTTTTCCATATTAATCTAATTCTTACATTTTTCTTTTTTTGTTTTGGGTGTGTTTGGTTGATTATTGAAAGAGATTTTGGTAATGCCAAGAGGATCTGTTAGTTGAGAGATAGAGTAGAAAAAATTGGGGCATTGAGAAGTTAACCCTTTAACTCCCAAGATCTCATTAGTGATTCTCCTTACTGTCTACCATAAAATTCTTGTGATTTTAGTTTGGAGAATTTGCTTGATACTGTATTGATATTGTAAGGAGAAATTCTGTCTTGGTCACTCACTGGAGTTAAAGGTTAACAGCAGAGTGCCATTCTTTGTCTATCATTTACAACATTAAAGCTGCAAGAGCCATGTTTTATTACATACAACTTGGAGTTTTTTCAATTCATTGCACATTTAACTACATACTGAGTCTCATTTGACCACTTAAGAACTAGAAAAACATGGTTGAAGCTACAATCCTCAGGTACGTTGTATTTAGAGTAAGAATGAATATTGTGATAGAGTAAGTCCTTTGCGACATTACTGCACTTAACAACACATAAAAAAGATTAAGGGCAGCATGGGCATCTATAACTAGCACTATTTCTAAACAATGGAAAAGAGTTCATTGGGACATCAACAGGCACATGTCTCCCAGACAACATGTATGTACCAACTGATTTTCCCAATGTTCTTGAAGGAAAACAATCCACTTCATCCACGATGGTGTTATATTTATCAGCATATGCGATTAATTCACCATCAACATTGTCTGTAATGTCCACACCACTGTCTACCGAAACATGTCGCACAGGAGGAATGTACTTGCATATGCTGTCTGGGGGGACCTCTTCATATGCACTTGCGAAAGTGTGTCTTGTTCTTTTACGCTTTGTTGGCATGCATAATTTTGGGCCCTTTTTCCTTCGTTTTCTCCTTCCAACATTCAGTTCATCCAAGCCAATTGTGACACTTGTTCTTGGTTTGGGTCTATTTGTTTTAGAGTAGTACTTGTGAGCAGGAATAGCAGCTGAAGTGTCTACCCCATCAGCTCTGTCAACTGTGTGTAGGTCAACTGAAATCAAACAATCAATCTCCTCCTGAAAATTCTTTGCTGCTTCGCCTTCCTCAGGGGGTGGCAGCACTTTTGGTGAAGGATCATTATCAACATCAAGGAATGTGTCTGTAAGAAAAAGAAGATAAAAATAAATTTGTATTGAAAAACACTTAAATGGCAACTTGAGAGGTAAATTTCCAGGCTCAACAGCACCTAAATTATAAACACCCCTTGGGTAAGTTATTGTTTGGTCACCTGCAAAATCAAATTTCCAGAATAAGAAGAGTAACTTGATCAACCAGTAATCAAAATATTTGCTTTCACACATACAGAATCCTCTGTCAACAAAAATAATAATGCAGGGTTTAGACTGTCTCCAGTTGTGTCATAACTAAATATTTGAAGTTTTGTGACTCTCTTGATGAGTATGATGAGCAATTAGAGATTACTAACTGTAATATAATCAGTTTTTGTGAGCTTTCTACTACAGTTTGTTGACCTGTGCTTGTGAACAGAGATAAGTAAAGTGTTGAAATGTTATATCTTCTCTACCAACCTGAACTTCTTAAAACCAGAGCTCAGCACACTCATTTACAATAAGCATAAAAAAACCAAGGTCTGCAAATACACCTAAGCACATGTCATGTGAACATTCAGACAACATTTACCTGTCATTCGTCGTGCCAGTCTCTTCAATCTTTTATCTGTTTCTCTAAAACTGTACTTCTGTTTCTTGTCAACAGTCTTAACCTTAGACTTGAAGGCACCTTCACCTCGTCTGCAAGCCAAATTTGGAAGCAATATTAGGTACTTTTTATAAACAGCTTGGAATTATCAGAAAATCTCATTTGCCCCTTGGGATGGACCAGCAAGTAAAAGTTAAGAGATCTCTGTCTTGGTGGTCCAATTTCTACTGTTTACCACGAAGCTTGAAATTTGAGCCAAATTGCACCATCCAGAAACCAAAGGAACTCTAATTTATGATCTAATAAGATTCAGCCTGGAAAAACTATTGTCTTGAACTTTTTAAGAAACCCAGTTACACTCTGTTTTCATCTTCCTCCATTTTGACCAATCTTACAAATTAGCCTGTTGTTCTTAATTTTCTTTGTGGCTACCTACATACCACTAGGCAATCTTGTGGCTGAGATGAGCCCTTCAACTAGCCAGGGATCAACTCAAATAACCCACATACAATTGTGCAAAACATGTAAAATGCCAAAATACCTCTCACACGTCACACATTCACAGTTACAGTTTTTGTCACCAAAAAAGTCATCACCATAGTGACAAGTAATCTCTTCTCCAGGCTCAAGGTCTCGTAATACCTTAACACAGGCAGTTTCTCTACCAGTGGACACAAACTGATACCAGAAAAAAAAAAAAAAAAGGTGATGCATTAGACCAAAAAAAGCACAATTTAACTTTTAAAGTGGAGTCACATTGGTGCAAAAACTGAAGTCCTTTGAAAAGGAATTTTACTCGAGGTAGTCTTGTTTCTTAGACTTTCTAATTAACGATAAATAGCTCAGTTTAAAACAAAAATTCTTAATATACTCCCAGAAGCTCAGTAAAAGTTTTGTAAATTTAAAAGTTTACTGTCATGGTGTTACAGAACATAGTATCATGTTCTTTGGGTTATTCTACAGAGGCACGAAAGAAGCTCACCTTGCAATTGGGACGGCAGTCTGCAATAGAAGAAAACACAAGTTACAGACTTAAACTTGTTGCATTATTTACATGAAATTTACACGTAACTCCATTTATCAGTCAGTTGCTCTTACAATTTAAAATACACATGACAACAGCATAGTGAACAAAATAACCTTTGTTGTAAGCAAATACCTTACAGAGAAAGAAAGGGTGTGAATGGTTTTCTCTAGGTGCAGGCCAAAAAAAGAAAGGGCACAAAAATGAAGAACCAGTCCTAGCACATTTCCTTGAGTCACTTAAAATGAAATTTAAAATGCAGCACTTAAAATGCACCATATTTTAATTCCAACACCTGTTATGCACATTGTACAAAACAGAGGTCAAGGATAAAAAGCACATCACTGTGCAGTACTTTACTGGTCGTGTAGCTGCAAATAGCTGAGTTTTTCAACACTGCTATGACAGATACCATATGCTTCTCACACAGGTTGAATTAATAGCTAAATTTGACTACATTTTAATGCCAGGATTTTTAAACTGTCTTATAATTTACAAATATGTTTTTACCATGGTTAATGTAGGCTGCAGGACCAAGCCAAAGCTGTGATAGATTTTTCCTACAGGAGAACATGATACTGAAGTCATTCTCTCCTGGGCGGAGTAACTTCTTTTCCTCCTCCTCATTCATTTCTGCAATGCATCCACACAGATAAGGCAGCTTGTCACCTTTATTCCTGGGGAGAAATTGAAATCTTTTAAGCACCAAGAATGATCACAGCATCAAATATCTCCACAAACAAATTGCACATGATCATGAATAACGGTCATGAGAATGAAGGAATTGATCAGCAAAGAATAATGACCCCCAACCTTAACGCTTTTAACTCTTAGCATGATAAGCATTAAATTTCTCCTATGAATATCACGCCTGAATCAAACATTAAGGTCCTGAGAATAAAGGAAATGATCACAAACTGATAAAAGGCTCTTTTTGTTAGACAAATTCTCCTTAAAAGTACCATAGGAAATGTTAGACAACAGTATGAAGAACTTGCATATTACTGATTTTAGGGTGTGGTGGGGAAATTCTAACAGCTGCTGTTTCAAGAATAGCATCTACATCCTGACTGTAAAAAACTTTGAGGGATTCATGGAAATGATGTTAACCTTGAGATAATTTGAGCCAGCCATCTCTTTCAAGTATTACACCATGTTTGTCAAATGAAATAAATTTGACGTTTGACATTTATCTTAGACAAAAATCCCACCAAAATATTCATTACTGTAACATAAATTGTATGTGGTTGCTCAAAGCCTGCACAAGACAGCATAAGCCTTATGAACAAAATTCCATGAAAGAGCTTCTGGAATTCTCCAATAACATTTTGTAAACAATTAGAAAAGATTTAATCATAACCTTCTCCTCCTGTACTGAATCTTACTTACCATTCACAAGTAGCCACCACTTTTGCTCCATTATCTTCTCCTGAATAACGACTGCAAGGCACAACTTTGTAACCAGAATTTTTATTGAATATCCCAATGTATCTGAAGACCTACAAGTAAACCATAAGGGAATTTCTGACGAAAAATTAAAAAAAATAGGAAGGATGCAAAAAAATGCTTAAAAAATATTTCTAATGGAGTTAAATAACAATTAATCAAAATGCAAATAGAGAAGAGCATGGAAACTATTTTAAGATTTAAATTTAGTTACAGTAAAATAAATAATGTGGTACACATGTGAATAAAAAAAATTACTAATGTCATTTAAATTTATTCAGAGAATTCAAAACAATGTAGCTTGAGAATTTCTCAATCTCCAGTGCTTTCTAAACACTCTGAAAGAGCCCTCTTCAGCTTGACAGCAAACATTTGCTGATCATACCATCAAACATGATAATTGAAGATGACAGAAGTTTAAGTTACTTAATGTCTTAATCTGTGTACATGCCAAGGGACTCCTTGATGCAAAAAGACATGGCTTGTACATCTTATAACAAACAGCCAAGTCAAAACAATTTGTAGTTGAAAAAAACACAAAGAGAGAAATGGCTGATTCTATGCTTTTCAAATTCATATCAGTTACACTGTTGGTAAAGTGTTCATTGGGTGGCAAATAGATTAATATTGCATGCTGCCAGATCATCAATGTACTCTCCATGGCACTGTGCTATTTATCAATCCATTTGGAGAACAAAGATTCAAATAACTGATGCTAAGATTACTTGGACCGCAAGCCTGGAGTTCTACAGAGAAATTTAAGCAAAACAACTTCAAGGTGCAATCTACATCTTAACACTTTTGTTGGACATGTCAGGTGTATACTGTACAAAAATTTATCCCAACATTTGCTCACTATGAAAATTTGGCAGAGGTATTAAAGCTTAGATATCGAACACAATGTACTGCCCTAACAGGAAGTAATTGGCAAATGGTGAAACCGTCGATCTGCATCACAGCGAAATTATTACGTCATTATACTAATCCCAACTACCATTATGGCTACGGAAGTGGGAGGGATGTGGAAAGCGAAATTCTTAAAATTCAGAAAAACATACTTGAGAAAGGGAGAGGACGAATATAAAACTACAAAAATACATGTATAAAGACAGTTAAAAAATCTACGCTGAGCCTTGAAATAATCTGTAGAACCGATTTCGCATAAATTAATTAGGAACGCACAAAACTTTTGACCAAAGATCGTCGCACAATGACGAACACGCGCTTGAACGGTTGAATGCGAAGAGCGCATTGCAAGTTTGACAGTTGTTCTTAGTGTCTTACACTCCTTAAAAACATCCAAATCTAAAGCGAATTTGACGGTTTTAATATGCTACTTTGATTAAAAGTCTCTTCCACTTACATGTTCTTTGAAAGCCGCAATTTGAGGTTTAGATTTGGTGATGAAGTAACATCTTCCCCAATCCCCGGCGTTGAAGACGATTTCGTTGTAGGCTTGTTCCAAATCCCAATCCTGACGATATCTTTCAAGCGCCTTCTTCACCACTTCTTGATCGACTTTAAGAGGCCGAAATCGTGCTGCCATTTTGTGAGTGGTAAAGCCAAGCATAGAGTCCAACACTAAACTACTTGCAATGTCGTCGCTTTCGGCAAGTTGTCGTGCTTGCGTTGGCGATCCTGTTTTTTGCGATTCGTTGTTCATAACCATCACTTTTTCCTTTCAGATTTACCACTGGATTTACTGACCTAGATATCGTCCTACAAAAACCGGGAAATACAAAGCTTTAACCCGTGAAAGTTGTCTACGAAACGACGAACATTTTCATATTTCCAAGCTTACGCGTAGCGACATTTTTCCGTTATTAATTTACTAGTCACGTGACACGCTTGCGTGCGTTTCACGAGTAGTACCCAACGGGGTGGGCTGGGTGGACAACTCATAGACTGAACGTCACAGAAGGTAACCCAACACCCAGAAAGGGAACAAGATTGGTAGTTTCCTTGAAAAGCTTGCGACGTCTAACCTATTCTGCCTAAAAATAATTTGTCTCTTTGATATCATCATTAATTGGAGAAGATGATTTTGAATCCTCTTGTTGTGGACCAAACTATGACTGAGATTGTAATTTTATCTACATCAGAGGAACTTCGGAAAAATTTTGAGCAACTCTTTCAGTAATTTTGAACGTTATCTGCGATATATTAAATAATTTTGTAGAATGCTCTACATCTATCTATGGTTTTGGGCACCATGACAAATTGCATACAATTATGTTGAGATTATATCAGTTCAGTTCCTGAATGGCACTTAAAACAGGGTTTCGCTTCAGCACAAATTTCGCGACTACGGAAATTTGATTTACTGCAGTGCGGGGAATTCTAAACTTCTATAACCTCTTGCATTTCAAATTACGTATTGATTTACTTTTCTAATTAAACATTCTAAGATTGAAATGTCGTTTTCTGACATGACCTGTCTGTGTTCCAAGTGTCCGACTTTAGAAATTGGTCCGGCCATCACTGATATAGATATTTAATCAACTTAGTTCCTACGTGTAGCCGTACCCTCCCCCCCCCCAAGGTAAAACGTTAGCTTCCGGGGGTTAGGGCTGGCTGCGGTACACAGGTTAACGAAATATGTGATATACAAAATACCTCTTCTGACTAAAGGTATGTTCCATTTCGTCGTCATTTCGTAACCTACGTCTGCCATGGAGTCGCTTTTGAGGAATCTCGAAAAATATGTCACTTGTTCGATTTGTTTGGATAATTTAACCAAACCGAAGACCATAGCTTGTCTTCATACTTACTGCTTGAAGTGTTTGGAGGAACATGCACTGAAAACCCAAAGACAAGGACAATTTCGATGCCCAGATTGTCAAGCGGAAGTTAACATTCCTGAAGGAAATCGTTTCGATGATTTGCCGACTGGTTTTCTGCAAAACAGTTTGTTGAGTCTTCTCGCTGTACGACAAAGTGGCGATGGAAGTCAGATAAACTGCGCTATTTGTAAGAAAAAGAGCGTTGAGATCAGCTACTGCTTCGCTTGCGAAAAATTGCTTTGTCGTGATTGTGCAAACGCACACGAATTGTTTAGAGAAACTGCCTTTAAAGGACACAAAGTCACAGCAGTCAAACAGTTTCAACCTGCAGACTACGAGACATTGTTGAAGCGACAATCCTTTTGCTCTCAGCCTTACCACGAAAGAAAGTTAATGAAGTTTTTCTGTCTTGAATGTAAAGCTTGTGTTTGTCAAATCTGCATAAATACTGATCACAAGAGTCATGATGTTGATCCGCTTGAAAAAGCAGCAGATGAAACGAAAGTCAACATCGTGGCGGCAGCCGTGTTGTTGAAAGAAAAGAGAGAAGTTTGCAACGATGTGATTCGTGAATACGAGGAAACGGCCTTAAAACTGGATAGTAATATCAAGAGTGCTAAATTTGAAGTCAGCCAAGCAGCAGAACAAATGGTCGCGAGAATTCGACAATGCGAGCGAGAAGCCATTACCACCCTCGAGAATACACGCGTGTCGATCATGGACAAATTAAATTCCCTAACCAAACGAGTACAGTCCTTGGCCAAACAACTCGAACAAGCAGTTGAATTCGCTGATAACCTGGTTCAAAGAAGCTCAATTTCAGATATCATGCAAAGCAAGCAGAATTTGGAGCAGCGTTTTGAAGATCTAAAAAAAACCCAGATCCCATCAGCACTTCCGGTCAGTTCATTTATCAAGTTTGTCTCAACTATTGCACCTGACAGTTTCAGCCTGGGTTTCGTGACAACCAATGAAACAGATGTACATGGATCCACTGTTGAAGGACTCACTGAAAATTTTCAGGCTGGTTTAGAAGCAGAGTTTCTGGTTTGTCCAAAACTGAAGAGCAATGGGGATCTCACAAGCAAAGCTGAAGGAAAATTTCACGTTGAAGCATTTGTTGCACCTTCTCAAGAAGTGGCTAACTTGACTACTGTACACAAGGAAACTGAAAATGTTAGGGTAAAGTTTGTCCCCAAAATACCAGGCCCCTACAACATCACAGTGAAGATAAATGGAGACAAACTTGTTGAAAATCCATTTACAGTTCAAGTGAAAGAACGACGGATTGACATTCTGGGCGAGTTGCAATTGAAAGGGGAAATTCTCCAAAGCCCACATGGGATCGCTGTGAACAGTAAAGGACTAATCGCAGTAACTGACGGCGGAAAACATTGTATCCTGATATTCGATAAAGAGGGTAGTTTTGTACGAAAACTTGGCTGTCGTGGAGAGGGTCCTGGACAGTTCTTTAATCCAACTGGAGTCACATACCTGAATGATAACGAAATTCTGGTAGCAGATGAATTGAATCACCGCATTCAACAATTTAATGTACAAACCGGGAACTTTGTGAAAAGCTTTGGAAAATATGGAGAAGGAGACGGCGAGTTTAATCGTCCCGTAAACATTTGTATAAATGATGAAGGAAATATTGCTGTAGTTGACTCTTCAAACAGAAGAGTCCAGGTCTTTACAACAGATGGTAAACCTGTGCTGAAATTTGGAGAAAGCGGCCCTGGTAAGTTCACTGCTCCTACTGCATGCATTTATCATAAACAAAAGTTGATACTATCTGATGGCTTGGGCGGTTGTTTAAAAGTACTCGACAGTACGGGGAAGTTTTTGTATGAGATTGGAGAAAAAGGCAAAGGTGATGGACAGCTGTCATTCCCTTGGGATTTGTGTGTTGAGAAACGTGGCGATCATTCGAATCTCCTGGTGTGTGATAAATGGAATGGTCGCATTCAACAGTTTACAATGGAAGGTCGCTTTACTGGTAAAACTTTCGAGAAGTTAAAACATCCAATTGCAATAGCCGTAACTCCAGATGGTCGCATTTTGGTATGCGATGGCAATGCCAAAAAAATATATGTCCTAATATGAATGATTATATTATGGTTCCGAAAATGGAAAAATGTAAACAGGAATGAGAAGAAAATCTGAAACTCTCACTTTTATGTACCGAACAGCAATTTTTTCTCTGAATTTTTGATATATTAATGAAAAATATTCAATTCACCCATCTGTATTTCTCAAATCATTGATAAGCCGTGGTTAGACCGAACTGTATCAATGAGTAGTGAATTTGCTAGAATGTTTACAAGTTGTTTAAAAAGATCCGTAATGCAACCTATCTTCAAAAATATTGAAATGAACTCTGGCCGTCATTATGGATGCAAGCAGGTGCGCCCGCGATCCTCTCAACCAAGAGCACCGAAACTCCTTTGGACGAAAACTTGGCTGTCTTGGAGAGGGTCCTGGACAATTCTTTAATCCGACTGGAGTCACATTCCTGAACTATGACGAAATTCTGATAGCAAATGAAATGAATCACCGCATTCAACAATTTAATTTATAGACAGGAAACTTTGTGAAAAGCTTTGGAAAGAATGGAGAAGGAGACGGCGAGTTTGATAATCCCGTAGACATTTGTATAAATGATGAAGGGCATGTTGTTGTAGCTGACTTTTTAGCTATAGAATCCAGGTCTTAACAATAGATAGTGAACCTGTATTGAAATGTGGAGAAAGCAGCCCTGGTAAGCGTGACAGTCCTGTTGGATGCATTTATCACGAACAAAAGTTTAACATTATCTGACGAGGACGGTAGTTGAAAACTACTTGTCAGTTCATGGAAGTTTTTGTATGAGATTGGAGAAAAAGACAAAGCTGGTGGACAGTTGCTCTGTCCACCACGAGAAATGAAAATCTGAAACAATCACACCTATATACCGGACGGCAATTTTTGTTCTGGATTGATTTTATCATATCAGGTAACAATATTTCATCCACTAACGCTGTTAACTCAAATATCATTGATAAATCACCTTTAGCCCGTGCTATAGAGGTGGTTATGGAAATTTTTGAAATTTTCATAAATCACAAAAAGAGATCCGTTAGCCACCTGGAACCTTTCTTAAAAATAGTTTTAAAATGAAATTTTTCATTGCTCCTCAGTATGGCTGTTATCGGGTGCCCCTGCAATCCTTTCCACGGTGCGCACCAAAACTGCATACGAAGAAGCTAAGGCTCTCTCTTTCCTTTAACTAGTACTTTATTTTTCACTTTTGCACATCCCTGGTTAAACATTTTGAAATATTATGCGTCGATCAATTCGAAGCTTCAACATCCACCCCCCTGGGAACCCCCTAGGCTCAAATTCCCGCAAACCCATTCCACTTGGTCAAGATTGCGTTCAAATGCCCCAACCACTTTTGAACGATTCTTTGCGAGATCAACGAATGGATTAGTTTTACCAAGGATAAGTTTTTGGTGCTGCTGTTAGGTTTTTTCGCTTGTAAGTATCATTTTGCGATGTGAATTGTCTTTCTAAGCCGTTCGCTCACGAAAGCGCACTTTTTACCTTAAGAGTCCTTCAAATTCTCCACCCCGGACACAAACTGCTGGGTTGCCCGGAGGGGGAAGAGAACGTTGAAACTTCGAATTGTTGAGCGCACTAGAATAGTAAAAGGTGATGGGAACATTTTGGTGTTATATTCCTTTATTTAGCCGAAGTTTCTACAGAAATAGTTAAAGGACTGAATAACACAAGGAACCTGTGGAGATCTTGCTTTCAAAAAAAAAATTCCTATTTTACGGAAAAAACTGTTATATTACTCAACCGAAAAAAGCTGGACAGTAGAAACTTGTAAAGAGATGCTGCACTAGATTATTTGACTATTAAGTGAGAAGGGTCTCCCCTTCAAGGAAAATGAGCACATGTTAGGCACTTTGTAGAAGACGAGTCGTTCTAGTCTACAACTAAGTTAGTGACTTGTCAATGAGCTTATACTCATTTTATTTTTCGTGTGATTGATTTACTTGGAATGTATTTCATTGACGAATTATATATATATATATATATATATATATATATATATATATATATGAATTACGACGTGCCCGCCTAGCTAGATTTGCTCAGGCTACCAGCGGGTCAATTTCACTTAATTTCCAACATTATTTGTTTGTTAATAAAGAGTTAATCTTTCGTGTAAATGGTACTGGAAAGTGAATCATGTTGTACAGAGAGGCTTAGGTTCCTCAGATAAAACTTCTCAGTGATTTATTCGACCAAAGAAAACCACGATGTGGCCTCTTGTCGACGGGACAGCCGCGTTTATATATGACCGCCGGAACAGTAGGAATAGTTTTGCGCGCGTACAGACATCATTTTTCACGCGCGTGAATCGCCCTCCGTTCTTGCCACGCGCTAACTTCCGCTCGTCTGAAAAACGCAAAGAATATTGTCTCTACCGCAAGCTCTCTCTCTCTGTTTCTTTTTAGCCGAGAGGGAGAAGCGCGAGCTTCTCTTGAGGGCGTCACGCGAACGTACTGACGTCGTTGGCGTCATTGATAGAAAATTATTGTCTTTATGTGATCCCGACTGATGTAGTACGCTAAACAGAATTTTGTGCTCAGACATGGTTTGATGCTACTCTGGTTTACAGACTTAACGAATGTAAACGAAAAAGTTACAATTCATAGACCCAACGTTTCGACACTTCTTTCTAGTGCCTTCGTAAACCAGAGTAGCATCAAACCACGTCTGATTGTCCACCTGGTTGCCATGTGAACTTTAATATATCCCAAGATTTTTCCCTTTTTTGCGTTCAAAACAAAAATGGATTCTCTGAAATCAGAGGGAGTGTCCTAAAACGGACGAAAGCGTTCAAATCAAACAGAAGACTCTAAAAGCACACGATGACCTCTTAAATTGGACAAGTGTCTAAAGTCGAATGATAGCGTCCGAAATCGGAATCGTCCAAAAACAGACGTAAGTGTCCGAAAGCTGACGAAAGAGTTCGAATCCGGGTGGAAGTGCTCAAAGTCGGTCCGATCTGTCCAAAATCCGCCGGAAGCGCACGAAATCGGATGGCGCCTTTTAATATTGATATAGCAGATCAATGAGACGGAGACATCTAACTCACGAGACTTTCCGTCGATATTAATACGATTTTTTACTTTGGAAATAAACTCGACCTATTTGCAGAGAAACTGACTTGTCTGAGCAAAAATTCGAATTTAAAACATTTTGCATGTGTCACACCGCCTCTAAAAATCGAAGTTCTTATTCTTACTTAGGGCAATCTCATTTGCTTTTTCGTCATAGTGTCTGGTTGTTTAAGTAGGTTCTGACTTTTAAACAACAATGTTTTGCAAGTAAAGCAATAATACACTTAGAAGAGCTGACATTGAGCGATTGCAGAAAAGGCCTGGAATAAAATCCAGGCTTGGATGGGATTGGAACCCAAGCTCCCCTGATACCGTTACTAGTTGGGCAGAGCTGGGCACCTTTTAGAGGGACCTTGTTTCCCCGTGGAAGGATCTAATCATAACTTCAATGAAATGAATTTAGGTGGACCTGTGTATGAAAACCAAGTAAAGCAATGATCCTCGCTGGTGAAAAACACCTGTGTTGTTTCTACTACACATGATTACAATTAAAAAAATACTTATAATTGAACACAAAATGTAGTGCCTTATGGGAGTACAATTGGATTTTGTAAAAGTTCATTAGTATCATGATCAAGAAGCCCTCACATATCAAAATTACAATGCTTGTTGTTGTTGTAGTTGTTTCATTGTAATCAGTTTTGTGGAATCACAATTATTCATGAACCAGTTTTTCAAAGAAACAAGTTCCTTGCTGACAAACTGCTTTTTAACTAATCTCAAGGCAAGTATTCACACCCACAGTTAAAAGTCAAATGGTAAGATGCTCCTGCTGGTATTGGACCATTCCAGTTGTTATCGCAGATTTGTAATAAGAGACTTTATTCTACATCAATGTATACAAGACACCAAATTAGCAACTTTTGCTGCCAATTAAGTCAAAATAACCTTTTTTCTATCACCTCCTCATTGGCTTTTGAGGATTCCATCTAGGCCTCCTCAATCATCCTAATCCAAAATGGCAGTAAACAAAATGAAAATCATTACATGTGTAACATTTTTCCAACTCAAACAAAAACATTTACAATGATCGTCAGAAGAAGTTCAAAATGGTAAGTCTTATTTTAATATTTCAAGTTACTCTTTCTCCTCTTCATTTCCAGAATCACTATTTGAATTGCTTTTTTCATCCTCACTTCCTGAATTTTGATCACCTTCTTCTTCTTGATCATGCTTCCTATTCAATTTTCTCTGCTCTTGCAACTGTTGGAGTATTTCATCTTTTGTGAGATATCTTTTGTTGCAATGCTTGTGAATGGATTCCCTTGCTTCTCTTCTGCATTTCCTTCTCTTGTAACTCAAAGAGACACCAGTGCACTTGGAACAAGGTTTCCCAGCATGACAGACAAACAACTGACACTTTGAAGAAAAAGCTCTATTTTGCATTGGAACTTCACTGTTGTTTAAAGATTTGAGGACTCCAGTTTGATGCAGAATTGGAGACACACTTGAGTCATCATCAGAAAGACTGCACCCCAGACATAATTTAGAAGTGTCTATAAAATCCAATACAAGCTTAGCTTGTTCATGCACAGTTAGCTCTTTGACAATTCTTTCAATATTCAGGGTGGACAGATGGAGCTCACACGAACGAGACTTGACAGAGTAAGATACATTTTTCTCGGGAGATAATTCCATCACAATCTCTTTATAAATCCGCTGGTTTCCAAATTCCCAAGGCTCAGGATGTATAAAGCAAATTCTACAAGGATTGTCCACAACCTTAAACCAACCTGTTGGTAGCATGAATGTATCATCTTTAGCCAACTGTTCAAAATCATTTGTCACATCATAGTCTGGAGGCTGCACAGTTTGTCCTTGTTTTTGAGTTAAATTCAGCACATAGGCCTTTCTATCAATTCTTTGACCTCTTTTGACTTTCTTGACTCTATCACCCCACAAAAGATTAATGAGTTCCCCAAAAAATTGACGACTTGCAGAGATTTCTATTCCCAGGCTGTCTCTCTCTCTTGCAGCATGTTCCACAATTTCATTAAGCAATGTCAGGCAACCTTGTGAATAAGTATAATTCCTCAAGAGCCTAACATAAGACAGATATTAGATATAGTTAGCCAGAGGCATAGGTGGTAAACCAATAGAAAGTGTGGTCTATTGCTTTTATGGGTTTACTGTGCAATAAACGATAGGTTTTCGACCAATCAGGGCACCTGTTTTGGTAACCCTATCTTTTTCTATTTTACAGTACCCCCTTTGGCGACTTTTTGTAATGTTTTATTGTTTTTTTTTTTAATTTTTTGTGTCTGTTTGCAAGGGTCGTTTTCTCTAGGCAAACATTGCGCTTCTTGGAATCAATGAATCATACTAACAGGCAGTGTTCAAACTATGCTAGCACGAGTTACGGTTCTGTACGTTGCTGCGCAAGTAGTAAGAACGGGTTCATGAAAACTGGCCGACCGGTTCCTCAAATGACTCAGCCGGTTTGGCCAAAACTGGTCTGTAAGGTCTAACAACTGAACTCCGTTCAATATACGGCCAAGACTATCTGACGGGTCACTTGAAGTGATGGAAAGCTTCTCTGATCTACTTTGATGACAATCATACCTAAGAAAACAACAAATGGGTTTGCAGGCCGAGGGTTCTAATCCAAGGGGGATTTCTCTCACCATAACTTCCACTGATGACGGGACCGACCATTGAGGGAAGATGCTCTCTTCCGCTTCAAATTTGAAGCACCGTTTTCTACATCAACCTCTTCGTGAGCTTTACTTAACTCTGCATTTTGCATTGCTGCTTCGGAGGTAGACATCGTGTTCAAAATGGCGCCCTCCGGTGGAAAAGATCCCTGGGAAAATTGATGATCGGTACCAGTCCCCTCACCCTTAATTCGTCCTCTTTGACGCCATCTTGAAGAGTGAGCTAGTTATTCCTCAAAATGGTGAGTATTGAGTCATATTTAACTTTATTGGAATCACACAAAGAGGGTTTCTTCTGCTAGATCCATTTATTAAAGTATTATTGACTGGATTCGCTCGCGATTGCAGCAAGATGACCAAAGAGAGTGCTAATTTTGTAACAATTTCACAATGTTGTACCGTCTTTGAGTTTATGTTGTTCTAAATTTCCTTACTCTAGCCGTCCCACAAAAGCTTCAAAATTAAGAGAGTTTTGGGCAAGAAAATGAAACAGAACAGGCCTATCCCTCAGTGGGTGAGGCTCAGGACTGGAAATACCATCAGGTGGGTTACTGTTCAACTGTACGAGAGCACTATCCGTCCTTTAGAAGCTCTATAAACTTAATGACAATTTGTATGATAGCGTAGGGAGGAAAACAGAAGATCAGGGCTCAGTTGTATAAAGGGCGGATAACACTATCCGACGGATAAAGTGCCATCCAGCAGCTAACTTTTAACTAAATATACTGCGCTCTTCACCGGATAGCGAACAACCGAATAACCAGTGCTGGAACAGTAAAGAAATCTTCGAGGGTGCTTATGGCAATCGATATGAGAGCTACAAAAGATACCTTACCATCACAGAAGAAATTTTGCTGATTGTGTATTAGAAGTGTGTCGATATGCATGTGAAGTATCCTTACTAAAGTGGAGCAAGAAACTAAACTACTTACCAATAATGTTATTTAGAATTCTCCCGTGTGTTATGTACTCGGAGTATTTTCCTACTAAATAAAATTTATTGTCTGCCTGGCTGCAAATTCATAAAATGTGACCTATTGAAACATTTTTGCAATTTGAGTTGATAGTAAACAGCTTTTGGTTTTGTAGATGATCACTAACTCTTGGAATTTGTAAGACAAGCATTGGTGTAAATGAATCTTAGTAGCTTTTGGTCACTGGAATCAAGGAAGACCCTCTCATTGTGATGATCAGAATTCAGATTATTAACCTCATCCTATAACTGTTTGATTTCAGATACAACGCTAAGAGACGTCACTGGCGTAGAACCAAGTTGGGACTGTAGAAGAAATCACAAATCTTTGTCATACTTCATACCAGAGTTTGTGTTAAAATGGCAACAATCAACATCAACTTTGTGATATCTCTGTACAAAACCCATTAAAGCTTGTTAAACCAACCATTGTAGACTTATGTTGTTACTATATCTAGAAAATAGAATATTGACCCTTTTGAGAGAATCAGTACAATTGGATGAAATGTCTGATGACAAAGTATTATGGTGATATTGGTAAGCTATGCATGTCTAATAACTTGAAACAGTCATTTTTCTCTAAGTTCTAATTAAATAGGTCTTTAGAACACTGCATACTTGGGTAAAAAGCAAACAGTCTTGAAAATTGTTAAGTTTGCATCCTTTAATCAGTAGCCATGTTGAAGTTCAAACTTCTCACAGAGATAAATTTGGATTCATGTCCATCTTTTCTCTTGTGAAGAGAAATTTTGACTCTACATGTATCCTTTGGAAATATTGTGTGTGATACAAGAGAATCAATGCTGAATTTTTGGAGTGTGAAGGGCTTAAACCATGTTCTGTGGATAGCCAAGGAATGGTTAAGCCTGAGAAACCATAAACCTACTGATTGTGAGAACTCTCCCCTCTCACTGCTCAATGTTTTCTGGTGAATAAGTTCAGAGCATTTATTGATGGATCAAAATAACACTCTGTACTTGAAAGCCTATCTATTTCTTGTACCTGTTTGGTGAACAATGTATTAAAATTCAAAAGAGAAAGAACAATTTACTAGCATACTATGGACGTGACACACTAAGAAGGAGCATGAGGGAAGGATAAAGATTAGCCAGAGAAGGATATACACTGTTATCTCCTTTCAACATTTCTTGGAATTTTTCTTCAAGTAAATAAACAGTCATCAGGTGTTATTCAATGTTTGTTCTTCAAGAGCTGAGTCAAAAACTGGTGCCACACACTTCTCAGTCCCCATGCTTGCGTTAGAAGGGTAAAGTCAGCTTTCAAGCCTCATTGGCCCATTTTGTTCATAGAAATCTCTCTTTCTGTGGCATAATGCAACTTGGAGTATTGCTCTTTCACCTTCCACTGAAGGTTTCTGCCTGGCATTTTGTCAGTGCTCTTAAGTGTCAAGAAACCAATAGTCTCTGTAGACAATCTCTGATTGAACAATTGCTTGTATAGAGATTACACTAGTGAGCCTGAATATTCTCATTTAAAACTCTGACTGCTCTCACTCTGAAAGGTTATGGTATTTGCTTTGGTGGGAAACTAAACTTTGGTGTCAGGGTCACATTATCATAGTCAAAGTCTGTATCCAGAGTGAATGGCTGAACCTCATCAGTATCTTCAACTTCCTGAAAAAGGGAAATGACCTACATAAGTACCACTTTGCTAAATATCTCTCTCTTACTAAAAAAATACCAGGTGTATCCACAGATGATTCATGACAGTGTATAGTTTCTGTTGGGCTTTGACACCTGTTGTGGTTATTCATCCAGCTGAAATACTACAATCAGTATGATATAAATTGAAGCATGATGCAACACCCATGTGCAGGCTCAATGGGGTTTGTTATTACTGGAAATTCAGAAGAATTCCATAAAACTTGATATTAAGAAACAATTATTAGGAAAATCAGTCAAAACAATGAACCAATTTCCAGTTGACAAATGTGAAAGTGTTAATTATAGGTCTTTTTCCAGGTCAACTGGCAAATTTATTTCATTGAAGTGAATATTTTTTAACATTTTTTCTTATTGGTTGAAAAAAAAAAGCACCAACTTAAACACACATTACCTCACTTGGGCTTCTTTGATCATTCTTTCTGTCACAATTATTTATTCTTGTGGAAATCTGTAATTGTGTTATTTTGGGTGACACAATTCCATCAGAGGTGTTATCTAAAAATCAGTAAAAGACAGAAGATTAGTAAATTTTAATCATTTCAATCAGCAATTTATTTCTATTAAACACACAGAGTCATAACATTCTGCTTATTTTCTGTCCCTTTACCTTGCTCCTCATTCATTTTGCTATCATCAACTTCCCCAGGAAGTATTGAAGCATCTCCTGCAGGTAAAGACAACAGTCTGTCAATGGCTTGGACCTTATATTGACAATGGAGTGATAAACAGAACTAGAATCTGATAATAACTTTGACAAGAAATGCAACATCCTGATCCCTGCATCTACCTCCTCTTAAACCCATCCCAGAAGGAATTCAGTTTATCACAAAGAACTAATGTCAGTTACCAGAGGTTATCTGGTTTTATAAAACTGACATAAATGAAGGCTCCCCAAAAAATGTGTATATATTATCCATTACCTGGGAGATAATATATTTCTTTAGTTGCTTCAATGCCTAAATCAACGTTAGCTGGCATATCTCTTGCAGCTGAGTTCGTATCTTCTACATGCTTCAAAGAATTTGAGCTAGTCACTGCTGAGGGAGAATAACCAGATGTGAATATGCCATCCTCCAACACGGAGTCAACATTTGAAATGGACTCTTCATCCTCACTCTCCTCATCTTCACATTCAACAAAGTTATCAACCTGCGACAAGAACAAAAAACAAAGACTCAATAATTTTAACTTTATTATTCTGAGCTGTTGCCTACTGGACTACATGTTGGATCTTTCTTTCAATAACTGCAACTTAAAAATGAGAAGAATTTTGCAAAGTCAGCTCATTATTTTTGTATGGACCAAAAGAGAGTGGACTGTGACACAACAGTTTACTGGTAGCATGGGATTGAAACTGGATTTACATGCACTGCTGTAGCTCTACTGAGTTATCATGCTAGGATCTGAATTAAGCCAGTGCAGATTGAAATGTGAAGGATGAAAAAACGTATGGTAAACCTATTTCTGGAAATAACTGATTTGCAAAGTACCAAAATAGCAGGGTCTGCATCTGTAATGATCTAATTCCAAGGATACACTTGAAAAATTGGTGCAGATTTATAGGTAGCATTAAATCAAAGATTATTACAGTAAATTTTAAATGTCATCTTCCAAGCTCCAACATATATCAACCAATGTAACACACATCAACCAATGAAACACACAATTACCTGGAGGATTTTTCCACCTGATGACTCAGGTGTTCTCATGAGAAATGGAACCGATGTTGAACCAGGCCCTAGTACCTACAGGTTCAAAATCAAGAGTAACTGTTTAATTGAGTATCAGTAAAAGTTTTCTTATCAGGTCTCTGTTTAGATGGGTCATTGAGAAAAAATGAAAAACTTAAAAAACCGTGTAAATTGTTTCCAGAAATAACAGATCTTCAGAGAGACTTGTCCATGTCAGTACCCCTGTCCCTGAAGCTGAGACAAGTTCCCCATTCCCCCAAAACCCCATTAATTCAAAAGAGCGTTTGTCTTTCAAAACTGATTATTTCCCATTTTGGGAAGTATGAACTTACTTCCTCGGGTATGTTGTCACTCTCTGTCCACTGGCCTTTTGTTTCCATTGAGTTGTGGCCGTCAACATTACGCTTTGCCATCTTGTTGTGACCGGACGCACCATTTTGGAGATCGTGGGTATTCCCTTGAGAACTGCCAATTTTTGATCCAGAAATATCATCTGTAAAAGGTACATTCGTTCAAGGAAATAATTTTAGTTGAGCCAGCACCTGATGAAGGCAACTTAAAAACTGTATCAAGCAAATTAACCCAGAAGTTGATGAGCTTGTTTGATCTCCAGAAAGGATCTATTTGTTTCTCTAACAGCTAGGCTGTACCTATTTCAAGCTGTCACAGTTTGAATTAGAGCTTTTTTTGTCACTCACCCTTATTTAGGAACATAAAACTCTGCACAAATTCATCGTAAGACTGCTCTTCCTTTCCAAATATCTCATCAAGTGCTTCCTTGGCATACTGATCAAGATCTGGAGAAGATTCGTCGCTCTTAACGACTCCTTCACCTTTCGCCATGATTGTTTTTTCAGTCTCCAAAGAGCCGAATGGAGACTGAGCACTAGGATCTGTGTAACCAAGCACCGAAATTGAAAACATACCCGGACGGCGGGAAGATGGTGAGAAAATTATCCTCCTTTAAGCCCATTTTTTCCAAGAAATGTTAATTTTAGCACTTCCTCAGGATAATTTGACTGTTCCAGTACCCTGCGTAGGACTAAGATAGGTTCTGACGTTTGCAATGCGAAATAATTCGATCATGTACATTGCATGTAGATTGCATTTTTTGTAGACAATTCACTTGATTATTAGTTGACAAGCTGAAATGCAATGCATTGCTAAGCTTTAGAATTATATTATACATTATGCTCCAACTAATTGAGATGCTGAATGTGACCTGCTGCCGATTCAGACGGCCCAGCTCATGCAGTTAATGTTATAGATCCTACATGTCAGCAACATGTCAGCTGTAACAAATCAAAGTGGCGTACCCCTTTCTCTCCTAAAATTCAGTGAGATTCAGTATCTTAACTGTCGCCCTTATCTCCATAAATTTGCGACAATGTTCGTGAGATTTTTTGCCCCAATTTGATATATATATTTTTTTAATTTTTGTCGATTTTCCCCCGGTCTGCTTGACATTGTTCACATTTATCTGCATTTGAGGAGAAGTTATTCTTTGATCACATATTAGAGTAAGAGAATTGAGTTTAAATCTTCATTGTCTATTATTTATGATGAACTTGCATAAATTTAAGTTGATTTTCCAGTAGTGACTCTTAATTTTCTGACTCTCAAACACCCATGAATTGGTGACCAAATCAGTGAATTGCTTTTTAACTGTTTTATTGAATCCTTTATACAAAAAGCCTCCTAAACCACCTGCTAAGGGAAAGAAGAGTGCAAAACTCTCAAAAGCAGAGAAGGAGAAGTTGAAGAAAGAAGAAGCAGAGAGGAAAGCCAGAGAAGAGGGTAAGAGATGTACTTCAGTAATCAACAGAGAGTCCTTGGCATTTTAGGGTAAAATCTCCACTTTAAAATTTCCATTTTAGGGTAAAAAATCCCACTGACACAGCACCACAGTTTCTTTAGAAACTTACCCTTTTATAATTATCACTAAGTTTGCTGAAAATGAAATGGCCCAAATGGGACCCTCATGCATTCCAGCCCTGAGCTATACTGTAACTCCCATGGGAAAGCCTTAAATTTTAAGCCAAAGTTATTAATATAGTGGCCAATCCTAGAGAACTGTTGTACAAAATCAACCTTCACTACAGTTTGCAGTTTACAATCAAGACAACAAAATACCATTTCTATTTTAAGAGGAGGCACGGCTTCAAGCTGAACAAGAACAAAGAGAACGAGAAGAAAGAGAAAGACAAGAAAGAGAGGAAAGAGAAAGACTAAGACAACAGGTTAGACTAGAAAATAGAAAATTAATTCTCCACTTATGTAAGAATTAAGGAAGAGTGCATTGGACCTGTTCAGGAGTTTAATGATTCATTGAGGTGAACAAATTTCAATGCAACTCATCACCATTGATGGTGTTTGAATTATAATACAAACTCGATGAAATAGGAACATACTCAATGAATGGCAAAACTGAAGTAATGTTAAAGTAAGAATTATGAACCAAATAATCGAGAACCTGAGGAATTTCTATTATTTTGCAGCTCTGAAATAATTTTTTTTCTTCACTGAATGGTCTTGTTACAGGAGAGTGCAAGACACCAGGCAGAAGTGGATGAACTCAAAGAGAAGATTGAAAACAATTCGCAACAGTTGAAAAGCTTACAAGAAAATGAGCGTGCAAAGGCAAAGGTTGGTGGAAATAAAAAAAATTGTGGCTTGAAAAGCAAAGAGGGAGTGTAATCAGTGGTTAAAATAATATAATTATACAATAGTGAGCTTGTTGCTCATTCAAATTAATCATTAAAATTATTCAGGACTACCCTCAACTCTCCTTGAAAAAAAAAGGTTATTTTTTGTTCCTTCTATCCTTTCTCTCTCTTTTGTAATCAAACTCCATCTTTCCTTAGCTTCCTTCAGCTTTCCCTTATTCACTTTCATACTCTCACCTCCACCCCTTTTCCCATTATTCTTTGTACTCCAACCCATTTTTATTTCAATCTTCCCTCCTCCTCACTCACATTTCATTCATCTTGAACTACTCTCCTTCCACCTTCAAGTTAACTAAATGTTACTTCATTTTTTCTTCTTCTGTGCTTAATTTATGGATATTGTATAAAAACAGCTACCTGCGTGTAGATATAAGTTTTTTTTTTGCCTTAACAGTGGGAGAGGTACATGCTGTGTGATGGAAACCCTGATCCTCTGAATACCCGTGATCTGAATACTTTTGTGAACCTGTGGAGAGATGACAAAGAATACAAACCCTTTCCAGTTGTACTCAGTGAGGGTGAAAACACTTTAAAGGTAAAAATAGATCAGAATTTCTGCAATGATGTATTAAAACTAGAATTCAATTGTGTGTATTACTCAAGAGAAGAAACAGTTAGCCAGTTGTTCTTAATGATGTATCGGCACTGATCAGTTTGCTGAAAAAAGTTTATAAGAAAATTTAATGGATACATATCATTATTTTACAGCTTATAGAGGAACTTGAGGGTTTTCTATCAAATTCAGAAGATGAGGGTTTTACAGAGGATGATGTTCAAAGGCTTAAACAGGTTTATGCTGTTTTTGATATCATTCTACTTTCAGTATTGTATTATCATAATTACAATTCATTAAATATAAACAAAGTCATATAGACTATACATACTTGTTCATGATTGTCTGTGATCAAGGAGTGGTCAAGGAGCTAAAGATGCACAGAGTGTCAAAGTGTACCTGCCAACAAGGTGGACTGAATAATACGAGAGTTTTGTTGATAACCTGATTTTAGTCAGACTCCTGAAGGAGATAGCTCCTGAAGAATTCCACAAAGTCTTGACACAACTATACATTTCAGCTGTTAAGGTTACTATTCCATAGCTCTCACTTAGAAATTAGTAACACCAGATTAGCAGATAAACAGCCAATATTGAATTTCTTAGAAGAAGGTGGACAGTAGGTCCTGCATGGACACACTCTTCCTTTCCCTTCTGATAAGAGAGAGGCGCATGTAAATATAAGTGACCTGGACTGTCTGAAAACAAGGCTTGTTGATATGTTTCCTTTTTTCTTCACTTTACTCAAGACATTTAGCTTCCAATATTTGATGATGGTATAAATTGTACTCTTTTACAGTCAGTGATTAAACTTCAAGAATTGATAAGCTATAAGTTGGATGAGGCAACCATGAATCTTCTGCAGGTGACTAATTACAGCAGCTGTGTCTTAGAAATGATCAGCCTTGAAATTCCTTTTGCTATTTAATTAGACCATCAAAGAGACAGGTAATGAGAATTCAGAAAATCAGGATTAGCAAACAAAGAAATGTTTTGTCCTTAAGTAAGACAAGTGTCTTACAGATACAAAAAGTTGACAGGTGAAAAGTTTGTCAGTTTTATAGGAACTGAGATGGAGTGTTCTGAACCACTCATCACAAGAGTAAATGAAACCACATGTAAACATTCTAATAATTATTAAATATAAAATTCTACACAGTTTATGTCCACTAACTCAACAGTGACAATATGATCTATCCTAGAATGCTTCTGATGATGTAGATCCTGATACTCAAAATTTACAGTATATGAGTGCATCAGAAAACATAACGGTTTGTGTCTGGGGAAACATAGCCAAGAATCCAAGGTTTGTTGCATTTTTTTTTTTTCGTAGTAGACCAAAACTTGTAAGGCTTTATAGATTTTTTCCAACAGTCTGATCATTTAATTAACTGATTCTTTTGTCTAAATCAAGTGTTAATTTATTATTTTACTTAATACTTATAACTGATTACAGAATGAGCGATTATGGTAAACTATCTATTTTCTACCCAGTAATCATGTGCAAAGTTTCTAGTGATAAATAGTTAATACTGATAAGATATATATATTTTTTGCTTTAATTTGCTCCAGAGTGAAGTCATTTTCATTTGAGAAAATGGGATTTACAATGGATATTCCAAGAGTTATTTCCATTGGCAGTATGGCTGTTCGTGTCATGTACACTAAGTATGATCATCTATCACCGTTGTCCAAATCTTTCCATCCAAAGCTAAAGGTTAAGCCTCCAGAAGTTGTCGTAGATGAGGTTGTTCCTGCAGAAGAAGCTGATGGAGAAGGGGTGATGTTCTTTTTTTGTTTTGTTTTGTTTTGGACAGTTTTAATAAAATGATTTTAGCTATAACTAAGTCTAAAAGCAAGGTTTCAGATTTAAACCAAAGATCCAACTAATTATCAATGAAGTTTTATATTCAGTATTCTGATTATAACTGACCAATCATTCCTTGACCCTATAACCCCTCAGAGTGACTAGCTTCCAATTTCTCTTTACAATATCACCCCAGGATCCAACATTAAGGTCACAAGAATAAAGGAAATGATCAACAAATTAAGAAGCTCTTGATCATTGAGCAAATTCTTCTTATCAGCACCTTAGGAAATGTCAAGGGGACAGTTTGGAGAATATGCATACTGATGTTGGGGTGAACACTGGGTTACATTATGTTGAATGTTTTAAATCACAGTACAGGACAGTATGTCCTTTGTTCTAATTGCATTATTTGTGATGCAACAGGCAGGTGAAGGGAATGAAGGAGCAGATAAGGAAGGAGTAGATGACACACTTGAGGCCATGCCACCTAAATCTGCATCACAAGCGAGCCGATCTAGTAAAGCAAGTAGGAAAAAGGTGAGCAAAAAATTAAAGATAACCATTACATTTCAATCAACTGTGAAGTCTTGAGGCGGTTACACTATGTTTTTATTTGTTAATGACAGCCTAGGTCAGTTCAACATGAATTTAAAACTGCTTCAACAAAAAGTTATTACATATTATTTAAAATTAGTTAGGTGTTGTGAGATCTTGTAACTAATGAGGTTAACTATTTTTTTATATATAATTACATCCCCTCAGGTATCCATTGAACAGATTTAATCAGCTTATATGAAAAATCAGCCTTTGCTAAATATATTAAATGAAACTCAAAATTATGTAAAATAAGGTGTGAATAGTGGTTCTCTTACTGTCTTTGATTTCTTAGTATTTTGATGGTGGTAAAGTGAAATAATCTTTATTGTTTGTGATTTTCTGTATGTGTTTGACAGAGTGGAAGAGCCAGTAGTGGTAAAAGCAGTCGAAGTCGTAAAGCTAGTGCAAAGAGTGTAAGAAGTCAGGTCAGTGAAAATGAGACTCAGCAGGACAAAGAGGGTGAAACTAAAGAGGGAGAGCAAGATGGTATGATATACATTTTGTTTCCACAACTCATTATATACCGTATTATTTTAGAAAGCACTTCTGTATTGTTAATTTAATTTTTTTGCATTTACAAGACTTAGTTCAATGCTTAGTTGTGAGGGGTTCTAACTGAGTGCAGTGTTTATCTAAAAATCTTGATATTTTAGACAAGATCTGCATTTCCAGAAAGAGGGCTAAGTTATGGTTGCCACTCATCACTATTTTAGCCCACACATGCATCCTTCATTTGGGGGCCATGCTATGTGCATTAGATGGGACAATCCCAAGGTCAAATTGAAATGATCTTTGTTAAATTATGCAAAAAATTCTTACTTTTTTTAGTAGAGGAGGTATTTGTTGAATGAAAATTTTATGTAGTACATGATTTTCTGGTTAGGTGAAGGAGGGGAAGAAAATCGTGCATCTACTGATCAAACATTGGATGAGGCTGCTGGGGCAGGTTTGGAAGGTGGAATAGAGGAAGAAGAGGAAGAAGATGATGATGTTGTAGACCTAAGAGCATTCAGTGCCATTGGCCCTGTCATGATTATTGAACTGTTAGATCTTCCACCACAGCCAAAACTTGCGAATGGGTGGATTATGCAGCAGAGTAAGGGCTCTTACAAGTATTTCTTTATTGCATAGTTAATTAAATTTTAACCAAGAAAATACACAGTGTATGTAGACCAACTCTCCATCCCTACTTACCTGTATTTTAGATAGAAGTGGTACCCAAACACAAATTATTGTCTTCAAAATCAAAGTTACTGAAATGCAGCTTGAGGTATATTGCATTTCTCTCAGTAGTTTACAAAGTTAGAAAATCTTTTGCCTTTTGTCATGTTAGTTGTATCATCAGAACTCAAAAGAGTCAATTATCAAGTTGAAGGGCAGACTCCAGCAGATACAAACTCGACAACAAGTACCCCTGCTCCACCAAACTCTGCATCGGCCACACAGCTGCAAGCAACCAACCCTCCAGTGATGATCACCTGCAAGTGAGTTTGACAGTGCTTCTGTATGAACTTCCAGTAATGTCATAACCGAAAAAGTGTCATAACCAAAAAGGCTCCATACTCCCCTACAGCAGTGTAGAAAAGGGTAAAATTAGCTGGAGAAAATAGGTGTTTTGTATTTTCCCTATGTGTTAGGCTTCCAGGAGATGTTATGTATTTTGAGCAACCTCAGCTGGCACTGTGGGACTCCATGAAGAACAACTGGAGGCTTGATGCATTTGCAGACTCCCAATATAATGAAGGTTTGCAATGATGATACAAACATTATAATAACAATAAACTTGCCCTTTATAATTATTCATTTTTGACAACAACACTCTTGGGTAATAAGTCAATACTGGTTTAATTAAGTACCGGTAACAACTGGCAGAAGTGGATTCACAGCAGTCACTTTTGAATTTATAATAATAAAAGAATAAAAGAAATATACACAAATCTACAAGTCATTAACAACCAGGGTAATATTATATAAAGTCGTAGAGAAAAAAAAAATTGAACAAATGCAAGAATGAAAGAGAGCTAAGCTACTGGACTGTGGGTCAATGAGGCTTGCAAAGAAAAACTTAGGATGTTCATGTATCATCTTTATCTTTTGACAGAGGAAAGAACAGTCGTATTCAAGATGTCTACCTTTGGGCCCATTGCTACTTTTCAGGTATGATTAAATTTGTGAATGATCATTTTTAGGAGTAGTTTCAGCATATAGGCTTAGATGGTTCTTTTTTGTAAGTTCATTAGTCAGAGCAAATTTCCTCAACTAGATTTCAAATAAGAAAAAAGAGAAAAAGTTTCTTGATTTTCATGAGGAAGATTTAAATAAAGACTGAATAATTTGTACACTCTTTATTGATATCCAAAATTCTCTACCTTATAAATTTGTGATGATTATGTTCTATTTTTGTTATTTTTACAGGATCTTTATCTGAACATGCCATTTCAGTCATGGGAGCTACGTCCTCATGCCACAAACAGTTGCCTGTTTACACTCATTGCTGCCATCATTGAACTGGAAATTGAAATTAAGGTTAGCACATACTAGTAACAGGTATTTTTAAAGAAAAGAAAAATGGTACCAACATAGTAACAATAGTCTCTGCCTCAATCTGTTGTAAATCTTTTAATTTTGATTTAAAACACAAGGTGTTCATCAGGCCCAGAATATTTTTAGGATTTCATCCCTGACTGTGAAGCTAGTTTATTTATTTCAATTTGAACTACTTTCAATTTTTTTCAGGATTCTTTGTGTTCACTGACACAGCCAAATGATGTCTCAGAGCTTTCTCATTTGAAGGGAAAGTGGATGAAGCCACATAAGTTGATTGAGGTATTTTTTATTAGAACCATAGTAACAATGTGATACATTACTTTTAACATAGAATGAAGAGAGTATGGCAGGTACCATAAACCTTGGGATTCCTAACTTACAGTACATCTAGTGTTGTTTAACAATCCTCTTTACGGCTTGAAACTTAATATTCTGTACTCTTCAGCTCCCATACTAATTCCCATCAAGTTCCCAATTTCTTGGGGAATTTCCCTCTATCCACATCCCTCTACTTCAGTCACTGTCCAGTGAATGTTGTGTTAATTAATTGTTTGAAAGAGCTCTAGACTATTGGACTGACCAAATCTGTATACAGGCCATGCAAAAGGCAGGAGTGAATGTCTTTCCTGCGGTTGATGCAGAGAAGTATGTCAGCTTAAATTCCAAGGTACCTATATGTTGTGGATAATTACTTCTGGTGTCAGAAAAGTGCTGTAGTAAAAGCTCTTCCCTGCAGAAGAATTTTTACTTATTGCAACATCCAGAATTTTTTTTTACTTATTCATGGCATTTGATAGATGAGATGCAGGCACTCTGTTTTGCCAAAAAAAAAGGGGTCACATTCTTTAGTAAGAACCTAATGCAGCACATCTAATTTTAAAAATAGCAGCTGAGAATTTATTTTTTAATGTTTTTAAAAAAGCAATGTGGATTCAAAAGAGGATAAAAGCCATGGTTGCACTGAGGACACAAAAGCTGTATCTTTTAATGTGCCGGTAGTTCTGTGTTTAAAAGCATGAAACATCCTTCAATTATAGGAGGATTGGCTGGAGAACAACATTTACCAGGAAATGGCATTGACAGCATCAGCATTTGCTTATACATGGAGTAAATGGAATGCTGATTGTGGCAAAGATAAAATTATCATACAAGCTGTTGAGCAGCTGGAAGATGAACAGCCTCTAGAGGTAGTTCTAATCTTTTTTCAGACTTCAACTCATCTTCACATTTTCCTATACAAATTTTTTTAAGGTGGCTCCAAAATAATTAATAGTCCTGAAGCCTGTTTCTCAAATTTCCAGGTAACTTAGTGGGCCCTTAAAGTGTTCTATCTTCATTTTAGATGTGGGTTTCAAAATTTTTGGTAATTTTACAATAGAATTTTCAGCTAAAGACACAAAATTGATTGGTTAGGGTGCCAGAACCTGCTCCTCTATTCTTTAAATTTTGATATTCAAATATGGCTTTGGCCCATTAAGTTACTGGAACTTTCAAGAAACTAGCCTCGGAATTTCTTATGTTCTTCTTCATAGCAGCTGGAAGTTAATCTTGAAAAATAGTTTTCCTAAGATAGCATCTAGAACTTTAGTAGTAGGGTAAGAATTTCTGATATTGATTTGCTACGCATTGTGAGCTCCTCGATCAAGAACAACTTTTAGAATCTCTGGGTTACCATTATCCCCAAATTATATATATTTTATAAAACACCTCCCCATTTAAATAAGTACTTCACCATTTTAATGTGTACTTGAAATTTTTAGGTATCTTAGTTCCTGAATGAACCAATCAGATCTCAAATACATTTTCAATTAGTTCTTTGGGATATAAGTCATTGTGTCAACCAATCAGATTTGGTTTGTAATGTGAAACTTACTCTTCAGCAACTAAGTTCCTCAACAAACCAATGACATGGAAGAATATAGGTCAGGTCATTTCTAAAGTAAGGTTTGCCTGTTTTATTTAAAACTTTGTTGCTTGCCTCCGGCTGCCAATGCTTTTTGCAGTATTTGTTATGAATTATATCCTTCTTCAGTCTATGACACAATTTTATTTGTTTTTTGTAAAATAGGAGGATTGGTCATTGTTTAACATAGGGACACATAGCTCCTGTAAGCTAAGGATGAAAGAGGAAGATAGTGAGCTTTCTCATGACATTGCTGAAAATACTCAGGTGTGTTTGTCAGTTTTGTTGATTTCTATATATATATATATATTTTTTTTTTTTTTTTTTTTTTTTTTTTTTTTTAACAAATTTTTGGTGCATGTTTGCTGGACAAGTTATGCACATTTCAACATAAAACAAGATGCACTCTCATGCACTGGATTAGCTCTCTCTAACTTCATTTTGACCATTTTTTTTGTAGCTTCATTCTGATCTTTACCATATGGTGCTGGATGGAGCTTCAGAAGAGGCACAACAGAGGGTGAAAGCCTCTCACTTTTTATTTATTGACTGTGTATATCAGCTGCTAAATGCAACAAAAATCGTCACATACTCTTAAAAATATTCATAATTATGCTGGGATGCATGGATTTCAATTAATTTGGTAATACTGTTGTATGTTCCTTGCTGTGTTGTACAGTTCCCTACCAGTATTTGAGGCATTTCAGTGTTCATCTAAATTATTTCATTGCTTGGTGCTTATGCATTACATTTATAATGAAGTAATTGTTTTGTGTTGGTTTGTACATATTTTCATCATGAAACCATAGAAATGTAGAGAACCTTTCTTATTGGTGATGTTTGGATTACATCTGTGTTGATGGAAATAGCAGATGATACTTCATTTTTTCGCAAACTATATGATTAATTAGGACAAAGGAACTACCTTGTATTTGTAATATTTTATTCTGATCTTAAACCTGCTTCCCGGAAATATTTGTATATAGGTATAACATTTTTTATTTCAACAAGAGTACTTTCTATAACAACTTGGTAAAATGAAATCATGTTGGCAATAAATAAACAACATTTATCATAGACCTTACGGGTCAGAAATAATATGTAGCATCATAAAATCATATAGATAACTTCCTCTAAAAATTCCCATCCTATTATTTTAAAAGGATAATAATCCAAGGGGACAAAATGTTCTCTGGCGGGTAGAATAATATTCAAGTACAAAATTCCACATTCTTTGGCATAAAAATTTCTGGCGTGTTGAAATCTATACTTGCGCCAACATGCTTTGAAGAGACCTTCGAACACTTGAAAAGTCCTGTTGTTGCTGAAGGCAAGAATACAAGAAGAGCCTGTTAGAAGTTGTTGATCAACTGGAAAAAAGAGCTTCATTTGCTTCCATTAATACTTAGCTTAATTTGATATGTAATCCCTGACATTTCCCTAATTAAGTTACACTCTTCAGCGTCAAAGACAGTTTAAATCACCATACCGTATCCATTAGAATCTTTTTTTGCAAAACGTTAATCTCCTTGCGAAGTTGCTCCTGGACACTAACGTGTTGGGCTTGGTGATTTTTCTGCATTTGTTGTAAGTTCTTAGTATGTTCTTCATGAAGCTGGCGTACCCGTTTGAGTCTTTGACTCTGCACAATGCGTTGTTGTTGAAACAGCTTTTGTTGCTGTTTGTACAGATTCTGTATAAATGAAATAAGCATATTAGTTGTGGCCTCTGCTTGGCTGACTAAATGACCCTTTTTTAACGATCTGGTGACTTGATGAATGGGTGCAGTGGTAGAATGACGGTCTGACTGACTGAAAAAAATTAGCTAAAATATTCATAAAGTTTGACAGGCTAAAATATAAGCCTGTCAAACATTGCTAGTCAATTGTTCAATACCTCTAATTTCTCTTCTGCTTCTCTTGTTTTTTGCAAATCTGTTTCCCACTGGTTGAGCACATTCATGACCTGTTTGCTGAATTCATCATAATGAGTGCCTCTAATAAAAAGTAAAAATAGTCTAAAAAATGACCTTGGCAACTAGGCACACAAATGTTTACCCAATCTTCATTTTCGCGACCTACAATATATAGAAAGCTATGGAGATGTGATAATGATATATATGTATGTTTTTTTTACCTTTCGTGTTGCTGTGACTGCCACACCTCGTCAAACTTTCGAGTGCTTGCCTTCATTGAGGCTTGCGTGAAGGTTTGAATTCTCTTACGTTTGGCTGTCAACGTCTTTGTTATGTCAGCTAAAAGCAAAACTCCAAGAGCTTTATGTCAACGCTTTTGCTTAACTAGTTCATTTCAGTACCTGAGTGTAGTGAAAAAAATTGTTCCTGACCTCCAAAACTGTTCAGCATTCCTTGCATCTCAAGATCACTTCCGCTGTAAGAGAAGAAACAACGACAGGAACAGTAATAGAAATAAAGACCTTGTGTAACATACCGATCAACCCCCAATTCGCCCCTACATTATGGATTGTAAACTGCAGTACTGTAATGAACTGTTTTAGCACTATTGCTAAAAAAAGAGACATAAATGACAGGCCTTGGAGGTAGCCTAGGTACCGTTTAGATCATACCTAAACGTAAGGAGAGTGTTGGTTTATATGCAGAAAATGGAGCTATGCTATCGGTGGGAACATGGAGACGAGAAGACAAGAATAGATTAGTTGAATTAAAAGCACACGGTTGATACCTTGGAGATTAAAGTCGGCCCTTAATGTCAAAAATCCAAAATCGGCCACTAGGCCAGAATCGGCCAATAGGGTCCAAAATCCACAATCGGCCACTGGTGTCCAAAATCCTAAATCGGCCGCTAGTGTCCTAAATCCAAAATTGGTCACTAGTGTCCAAAATCCAAACTCGGCCAGTGTCCAAAATCCTAAATCGGTCACTGAGGTCCAAAATCCAAACTCGGCCACTAGTGTCCAAAATCCTAAGTCGGCCGCTAGTGTCCTAAATCCAAAATTGGTCGCTAGCGTCCAAAATCCTAAATCGGCCACTAGGGTCAAAATCCCCAATCATTCTAAGCAGCATATGGCAGCTTGCGGCCTTTCCCTACATCTAGGCAGTTCGGAAAGCCGCAAAACTCTAGAACAAAAATTTATCTTCCAAATCGGCACTCTTAATCCCCATAATATCAACGACCGCTTTTCATTCAACTAATTTATTCTTGTTTTCTCGTCACTATATTCCCACTAATAGCGTTCCTCCATTTCCTTCATATAAACCCACACACAGCCCACAATTTCTCCAGTCGCTCTGACGAAGGGCCAACGCTCGAAACGTCAGCCTTTAAACTCTTTACGGTGGCCAATTTACGTTATCAACTCAAATAATAACACTAAATTATCCTGTTATACTCTCCCACCGACGCAGCACCACAGTTTCTCTAGAAACTTGCCCTCTTTCAAGGTAATGAGAGTTTAGAAGAGTTAGACGATTTCAGGTTTCTTTTTACTGCTTACATAAACGTACCCCTTGTCATATTCATCATCTTCGGGATCAGAATCTTGGAACTCCGAAGCAGGAGTAACAGCCTGTCTCTTTTTCGCCTTGACCACCTGTGCAGGTTTTTGTTGCTGTTGCTCAGGTTTCGCTGTAACAAAGAAGATTAATTGTTGTTAAAGAAAGCAAGGGCGAGGGGTGGTTATATCTCTCTGGATAAAGAGATTGGCTTCCTCTTGGAACTCGTACGAATTGCTTTTCTAATTTTCAATAGCTAAATCCAAGAGCTTCTTCATACCAAATGGACCAAAATTCTAAACGTGAATTTACCAAATTTTAAAAAGCAATATTCATCCAAGAACCAAGAGGAATCCAAATGCAAGCTCGCATGGTTTCAAGTCATTAAAGTTCAACATTGAAAACTCACTCCAGAGTGGAGCCCACACAAATCAAAATAACAAGAGAAGATTTCTTTTTTCCAAAGTAGGCCGCATACCTTACTAACTGCTTAAGCAACTTTTTTTTGTTGCACAGGGTTTCACTCTGATGGTGAAGGAAGATCAAACGTCAATTACTAAAAGAAGTGGGACGAATTTTATGATTTTTCTCAATCAGGGGGAGGGCTCCATGTTGAGAATCATATGAATAGTTTTCCCAATATTTACGTCGACTGTGTCAAAGAGCACCCATCTCACAAATGTGTCCATTTAAATTGTAATCACGTTGATCACGACTCTATATAAATGAAATCGTGGTACAGTAACATTCAATCAAGAAATTACATGGATCGCCATAAGGAAAAATATTTAATCAAGACAAGTCAGCTTTGAAAATCATGTCGGTACTAATTGCGTTATTTTTTAAATCAAAAAATCTTTTTTGTACCAAATGCATATCGAGATAGAATGGTTCTCTAAAAATTCCAAACTAAAGCTTACCTTCAGAGAATTTGAACTCGTCTTCATTTTCGTAAAACTCCTTTAAATTTTCTGTGCACTTTATAGCACTAGTCTTTCCTTTCTTTGGATTGGAGGGCATAATAAACTTGTACACGAGAACACTTGGAAAAAAAAAGCACCATATTAGACTATATGAATGAGAAATGAACGGAAATATCCTATATGTTTACTACTAAGCGTCAAAGTCTTTAATTTTTAGCTTAGAATATCATAATGGGCTTAAATGTCAATGACGGAAATATATATGCTCGTACGAAGGCAAGGTTGTGATTATGCAGCAGGAAAGTTTTTCCAAACTCACTGTCACTGTGCAACCTAAAGAAAACAAGATTTTCGGTGGCTTTCTTGTGATTATTCTGAGGGTAAGATGATCCTCAAGTACTGCAAAATTTAATTACAGAAGGAAAGAGAAACGCTTACTGTACCTGAATAAATTCTGTCTCCCTGAGTGCCGATACTGGCATTTCCCGCGCTTTTCACCCCGCGCTAGAGCGCATACCAAAGTGGCGGGAAATGGTTGGACGCAGACCTCCGCAACCATCAGTGAACTGGGCTACCGACCGAAGCTTTGAAACGAGAGAGTGTCTTTTCCCTTCCCTAAGACTTCATCGGAAAATACTCGCTATTAAGTAAGAGGGTGATATTACAGCAAGGAACGGAAACTGGAGGAGTGGGAAAAGAATAAGAAACATCAGAAAATGATTAAAAGCATGAGATCCGGAAGTGTTAATATCAACGCAAGCTAAAATTTAGGCCCAGTTGTACGGGATTGTGGAGGGAGAATTTCCCTTATCGGTTTAAAATTGAAGAGAGATATAGTGAGTTTCAAGTAGCTTCGAAACAAGTTATTTTTTCGTGCTAGGAAATAGACGTGATAACGATAGAGTTTCAGGCATATTTAGTCTCTTAATTGCAATCTCTCCCCCACGCGTTACGAAGTGGAGAAAATGACGCTTGAATGCGAATGAATCATTCATATCAAGTGGGGATGGGGGCATTCTTAGCAGGACGAGTTTTTTTTTTTGAAGTGGGGGGCTAAAGTTCCCCCCTCAGCCCCTCCCTCTGCGCGGTCTCTGATCAAGACCAACTATCTTTCACTATTAGCTTATTCAAAGTGGGGATTGCGAGGAACAAATAAATAAAATGGCGTTTAGCACAGTCATATAGTATTTATTTCATCATCAGCTAAATAGTTTTGATAATAAACGTTCACCAACGTGACAAGACTGGGGCGAATACATCCCTCTGACAAATCATTCGATCTCAGTTAGGCTATAGATAAGCTGTACACTCGCCTATTTCGTTCGTGTCAAATTACAAGATGTCACCGAGGTTTAATATCTAGGCCAAGCCTTTTCTCCCTAATCGGATCCATACTGTAGAAAGAGCTCCATGTGACATATCCCCTTTTTTCGTAATCGTTCAAGGGATATGAAATCAAAAGCACGAAGCTACAGGTCCCACAACTCTAAAGGGTCACAACTGGTATATTTAGATCCCTGAGAAATTTCTTCACCGCCTCAGTGTATTCCTTGTTGTGGACGTAAAAGTGAGAAACATGCGGTGAACTCTCGAAACATTGCTGACTCACAGTCATGTTCAGTTCATTCTTCCAGTAATCTGCGCATGCTTGGCACGTGTCCACATCAGCGACTTTGTCGTCCTTAGAGAAGAAAAACAAGGCCGGTGAACGGACGGGGTTGTTGTGGAACAAGTGTGAATGCGCCAAGTAAACTTTGGTCGTGTGTCTTGCAAAGATCGCCAAGTACGCCTCAATGGACGATTTCATCAACCAACGAACGAAGGGATTTTCGGAGGCTGCGTTGGAAACACCGTAAGGAATCCCGTGGAAATCCACCGGGCTGTCGAGCACTTGTCCGCGGATTCTTTCCTTCACCGACGAGAACCTGTCTTGCTTTACCATTAAGTTGAGAACGTGGCTATAAAGATAGCCTCCAACTGAAAAGCCATGGATTACCACAGGCCTATGTTTGTTTTCGTCAGATATTAGCTTGTTCAACACTTTGGTGGCTACTTGTTCCGCTTTTTTAGGCCGGAGAATCTGCAACAAAAGGGTTTATAAATCAAAACTGGTTTAGTTTAGAGCTAATTCTTCCTTGATTCTGTGGCTTTGTTATCTACTGCGCGGTGGGTCAGGAAGATCTAGAAATCGTGCCCAAAATCTTAAATATGGCACTGCGGAAAGATTCATTATCAAGAAAGTGCTTATCGAGACAGAATACAGAGACCTAGCTCCTTAAATCGATGCCTAGTTGCTTCCCCCGCGAGCCTAAGCGAGAAGCCCCTCCTCTATCTTTCCCTCGCGCGCGGCATTGGCGCGTTCACATCTCAAGCGAGGCGCGCAGTACATGATTGCTCTTTGCGCAAGCCAATTTAATCTGAACCCTATATTACAAAAGAACTCCGTCTATTACGTGGGCTTCAACTGAATAACATTACTGACATCTAGCTATACGTTTTTCTGTTCCAAAAACCAATTATTTTAGGGTGTCATTTTCGTAGGAGCCAATTTTCTGTGCCCAAAGAAATGACTCATAGTATTGTAACGGAACAATGCCAGTATCTGAACACCTATGCACCTACCCCTCTCCTAACCCAAAATTATCCCTAACTTATTATCAGTTCACTGTTGTTGGGTTAAGGGAGGGGTAGGGTGGGCAGTTGCTGAAATACTGACATTGATCCATTGTGACATAGCTCACCTACAAATATTTTTCTTACCTCCATGACCTCAAGTTTTACAGTAATGACATCAGCTCCGTATTGATGATACAGCTCACCATATTTATGGAGATGACGGCTTTTGGCCAAAAGCCATCCAAACAGGACCACTACAGGCCTGGTGTCTCCTCCTTGCCTATACTTCTCTGGGCATGGATGGACCTCTAAACTTTGTCTAAGGGCACTGCAGTGAAAAGGCCTGGAAGCAAAGAGCCATAAGGTCGTTGATACAGTCGACTGCAGTAAAAAAGGGGTAAAATAGTGAGTATGGATACTATTACAGTTTACATACAAGATAAGGGTGACGTAAAATGATAACAATATCAGAGAAAGAAAGAGATGTGCTTTAGTTTCCATGGGAGAAAGGAAGTGCCCAAAGGTTTTCTTCTCATTTCCAGCATATTTGTTAATAACCAAAGATTAAGACTAACCACTCTCTTATGTTACATGTAGACTGTTAGCTGTCCTTCCTGGCCATCTGAATGGGCTAGAATAGGTTAATGGTCTAAGTTACTTGTTTTTATCATCACAGCCACCAACCCACCCCCCCCCCCCCCATCCCCTTTAAAATATTGTTTAGCTTCCCCTGAGAGGTAATCTGCTGCATATCATGCAAACCAACCTAAAAATTTCATTTGGTTATAGAGTAACAAAGGATGCTGGCACAAGTACATATCAATCACAAATTTTCTAGTAGAAGTAACAGGTTTTGTTGCCTTGTATCTGCAAATGATCCCCCCTTCCAAGCAAAACTGAGTTGCTATTTTGAGATGACACCTCACTAGCCATGCTTTATTGTTTCATTGAGGTGATTACATTTTATGGCAGGTGGGTACCTAAAGAGTCACTTCTGTAATTAAATTTTAAAAGATTGATTTTTAGGAGAGTTGGGGTTCACTAACACAGAATAAAAAGGCTTTATACTTCAGCAATCAAAGAGAGAGATGCAAATTCTTATCTAAAAAACTATGGAGTGTAAGTGGTATCATTGAAAATGATTACCTTACTTTTCCTTAAGACCATAAACACAAGTTATAAATGCATTAACACTACAAGACTCCCTTCAACAGGTTGCTAAATTGGTGACTTAAGCTGTAAATCTAGTTTCAAAAATTCTGCTTGTGTGCTATTTAACAAATAAATTCTATGTTGCTGTGCATCTGTTCAGTGATGTCAAAATGTGGCAAGAACAAGAAAGTGGCACAAGAGGCACAGCTGAGTGTGCCAATGAAGTTATTGACACATATTGGCATCTTCAGTGATTAATTACTGTACAGCTCCATGGTAACATGGAGCCTATTTGTTTTATGTAACAGAAAATAATAACACAAATGGCAATGTCATAGTTGTTTCTATCCTTCAGTTAATCATAACCATTACAATTTCCTTAAACGTGATTGGTGCATTAGCTGCTTTATTTTTCACTAATAATTCTATAGAGCTGTAATTGGACAGTGTAATCAGACAGGTGGCTGTAATCGGACATCTGTAAGTGGACAGTTGAAGAAGCTAATCATACTAAGTCCACTCAGCCCAATCCACCAATCACAGAATTAATCAAAATAACCATAACAACAACCACTTATCCTAAAAAATAATTGAGGAATTTCCAAAATGGAGAAATTTTTTTACTTGAGACATCTATGTGAGATATTTGACCTAAATGTATTTGTTGTTTTTGGAAATTGTAACGACTATGATAACGGGATTTATTCTCATCCAATTCTGTCTGTAATCATACTCGTGATTGGCAAATTGGACTCCTGCTTCACGTTCATCCAATTTTGTGAATCACTCATATGATTACAGACCGAATTGGACTCCACTCGGTCCTATTACCATTGTAAATTATAAGAAAAAAGCAATCTCAGTTTGTGTTCTCTTTCATTGACAAAACCACCACAACTGATGGTTTTCCTGGTTCTCTTTCCCTATCTGCTGGACTGTGTGATGAATTTTCATGGAGAACTCATTAATTTATAATCGCTGAATGAATCAATGCATTTCAAAGATTTATTTTAAAATATTTCCAAACGTACACGGCCAATTAATAACTGTAAAGGTTTTTTTTTTAATGGATTTAAGATGAGATTTTGAAGAGCATTCTCATCAATACTCCACGTGTTCGGAGCACAAAACACGTAACTTTTTACATGAATAAATTTATGACGTTCGGCAGAGCTCCTAGGGAAAACCTTGAATCTGAAATAATTTCTGGCTCACTCACAAGTCGATGGGAGAAATATTTGCATTCAAAATGAACATAAGTAAAAAAATCAAAACACTGACATCACGTCTTGCACGCAACATCGATCGAGAAGGTAAATAAACGAAAATTCGCGGTAATATTAAGTTCCAATTGCAAACAGTATGTAGTAAAATATCCAAACAAGAGACCTTTGAACTTGCCAATCAATTCGCTTTCGACATCGCGAGCCAGTGCACAGTAGGTCTTCCCCTTCAATTAATTCGAACAAGATAGTGCTGGAGCTTGCATCGCACTGGACGAATATTGAACTGCAAAAAACCTCTGCGCTTACCTTAAAGTTATTCCTGCAAGTACTGATCATGATTCTCCACGTGGTAAGCTTATTCTACTCTAATTATTCACGCGCTGCATAGATACGAAGCATTTTAAAGTAATTACTTTAGCACTCTTTCTCATCTGTGATTGGTTGTAACACACGATCGCAATTGTTATTTGTTCAAAGGTCACGCGTTCGGCGAGTGCTTGCGAAATTTGTCCCAATAAGTTTTGCAAGGGTACAATACAACCAAAATATATATAAATCAATCAAAAAATTAAAATGAAACAACATATGCAAAACGCACGAATCTTGGTAGAATACGCGTCAGGGAAAACTTATTACACTTGGTACGAGGCCGCGGATCCAGCTTCTTTCTGTGATTGGTTTATCGGCTTCGAGCTTCGACCGGAAAATCTAGGTCTGTAACTAACAGTGGAGACCGCGAACGAGGTTAGTTAGAGGGATTCAATTACTTTCTGTGTTTTCTAAAATAAACAGGCAATACGCTGAAATACACGTTTGAGTTATACTCTTTTGTTTAATTTCAAGATTATTACAAGTTTGTAGATATATGAAAATCATATATATGCACTGCGGTGAAGAAACGAATATAAGAGATCCGCAGCTATGAACACTACTGAGATAGTAGTTGAAATAAGACCTGAAAAAAAATTCAGGTTCGTACGGGATTTACACCCATGACCTTTGCGATATCGGTGCAGAGATCGTGGGTGCAAATCCCGTACGGGCCTGAATTCTTTTCAGGTGTTATTTCAACTACTAGCTCAGTAGTGTTCATAGCTGCGAGGATCTCTTATATTCGTTTTTACAACTTTATTTAATTCTAATTTCTGTTACATTGGGTTGGATTTTTTTTTCCTTTCAAAATATTGTTTGAAATATATTTATGTTGAATTTATCTGTATTTTCATTGATTCTTGTCGAAAAATATAGTAAGTTTTACACAAGCCAGTTGTCAAAAAGGTTTTCGGTGACAAGATAAACAATCGTGTTTCGCGACTTGTCACTGTTCCATAACGAGCAGCAATAAGCAAGCAAGCTGAAATAATTTGGAAGCATCCCAAGTATCGTATTGAAATGAAGAACAAAAATATAAAATTGTGCAATACTCATGAAATTTTGTTGTTAGTTTCTAAATGTATCCCATGATGCTATCGAAGTGGCCGCACCCCTTGAGAATAGAGCGGATGACGTCAGGGCACGAGCGAAGGAGCACATGGTACAGAACACAGACGGCTTGTAACTCGGACCAGTGAGGAAATTATGCCAAGCGCTTCATCGCAATCTTCCATGCAGATCACAGCGCAAATGGAGAACAACGACCTGACCAAGAGTGTCTTGAGCTTGTTGGAGAAGAAAGTTCGTAATTTGGAAAAGCGCAAGGTGAGGTTTCGGTCGAATCGCTCGGCAATCGTAGTCGGTCTTTTCGACCACGCCATTATGAAGATATTTGTGTTTTTTAAACGTCCAAAGAGATATCCGTTTCTGTTCGCAGGGAAAGCTTGATGGCTACAAGAAGCTGGTCGACGCTGGACAATCATTGAATGATGATCAAAAGGTGCGTTTATCAAAAGCGAATTTTAGTTCTTTGGGCATCGTAGCGATGAGCCGAGTAAGACAGAGCAGTTGTCCAATTTCGATTGAAGTTGCCAGGTGTGCTCTTGAGTAAATTAGAAAGTCTTTCACTGCAAGATCAAGTTTCTTTTCAAGATTTAATGAATTGTTCACTACACACGAGATGGGCAGAAATCTCCAGAAAACGTAGATATTTGACGATTTGGAGTTACAGTAATAGTGAAATCTTGTCAGGTATGTGTAATATTTACACACTATCTGACAATTTCTCCACGCGGTTTACGAAAAGATGACTTCACATAAAGGTAAAATGCATTATCCTGGCTTTAAGTCGACATGTTTTGGTCAGTGAATCACAGGTTATTCTCCAGATCACAAGTGAAGCATGAACTGATTTACTGATCAGGAAAGTGTTTTGACGGAGACAATTGTTCATGGAACAAATTCAATACGAAATATTTTGATCTTTCTCCTTTTTGGTTTTCCCAGTTTGGTTAGATGAGTCATTTTATTTCTTGGCTCTGTAAACAAATCATGATTAATTTATTTTATTGGATTAGGATATTAACTTCTTGCAGGAATAATGTTTTGGAAATTTAGACAATGACAACTGATATTTTTTATTTATTTATTTGTTTATTTATTTTTATTTATTTATTTATTTTTAATGGTTGGGTTCAACCCATTTACCTTGAAATGCTGATGTCTCTAAACTGAATCTTTATCAGACTGATGTGGTTAGAACCACTGAAAGCCTTGGGAAAAGCAATTACAATACTGCCTCGTGTTGACAAGTCAAGCCATGATAACGTGATGGGTAATTTCCATTGCATTGCATAGCACCCTTCATTCCCAGGAACTTTAGAAAGGAGGCATTGTAATAATTGAGTTAGTATGTGCACTATGACAAGTCAATTTAGCAAGCTTTTTTTTTACTGTACAGCCAGCTTAATTCAAAAGTTTGTTTGAATTGCAATGTTTCCCCTCTATTTAAACCCAGAGTTATAATACATGTCTTACTGGTCACATTTTCTCAGTCCACACTGTAAGTTACAGAACTTTGCTTTTTCCTTCCCTAATTCATGGTCCTTGTGCTTCTGTCTTGGGCAATAAATCCAAGAGGAAAATCATGGCCTATAACTTACATTACAGACCTTGAGCTTAGTTAGTAAGAGGTATCTATTTGAGAAAATTTATGAACACTGTCTTTTTTGCATTCATGGACATGTGAAGTGTTTTTGATAAAGCTTATTAAAAGTTTGTGTTAATG